GGCAGTGAGCGATGGAGGTTTGGGCAGGTGGACCTCACTCCCGAGGGATCTGGATGGCTTGTGCTAGAAGCAATCTTGGGTGAATCCTTTTATACCGGTATAGCGATCAACCAGGTTCGCCTGTCTAGTTGTCGGACGTCAGGTAAAAATTGTTCACAAAATTGTTCACATAATGTTCTACTATGTGACTACAAAAACCCATCTTCCCACATAAGTCTTTTTATTGTAGGTTCATATTCAATTATAAGTGTTTAGCTAGGAGTGTCCTTGTTTTCATGGAAAAGTAGCAATGTTAACTTGTGTGAAAATGGTATTTTGGCCGGGGGGATAGAACCAAACAAGACAAGACAAGACTGTTAAGAAGGGTCACATGTAATGAATTGACGATTGTTGGCTCTGTTGTCATTTTAACTCTCAAAAGTATGCAAAATCTGTATAAAACACAGAAAGCAGACTCCCTGTGTGCAGGATATGACGGTCTAAGTTGTATATTTAATGCTTGTGGAGCATTTTACATGATGGATAAAATAATATGTGATACATTCTCAAAAATTCTGCGTCTGCAGATAATGATTGATATGGTACCAGAGTGCTTTTTATATCATACCTAATAGAGTACCAAGAACTGTGACGTCATAAAAATCAGTTTTTAGAATTTCTCAATTTGAACTTCATTTTCCGAAAGAGCATAAAAAATAATGTCCAAATGTCTAAAACCAATTGAATTTGTTCAATATTTGTTGAGATATGACGATCTGAATAAAAAAGAGTTCTTATAGGTACTCGTAATGTTATGATCCAGAGCAAAATAACACTGAGTTCTTATAGGAAATCTGTTTATTCAGATGGAATGGTCATATCTCGGCCAATACTTAATATATTCAATGATTTTAGACATTTGGACATTAATTTTTATGCTCTTTCGGAAAATGAAGTTCAAATTGAGAAATTCTAAAAATATTTTTTTTGATGACGTCACACTTCACCACTTTATTGAGTGTACTTAGTTCACATGATGATCGTTTAATGTTATTTAGATACTTTTTTTTTTCCAATTCAGTTCAGTTCAGTTTATTAATTTTTCTCAAGCATAAAAACAATATTATAATATATACAAAAATGGCTTACATACTTGATATTTTTTATTAATTCTTCTTTTTGATATACAATTACTTTCATATGCATTATTCAAACTGTGGATGAATTTACTAAAAGCATTATCAATATCCTCACACGCTAAAACTTCATCCCACAAAATAATGGATAGATCTTTCTTCATAGAATTAATAAATGATAAATCAGTCTTTTGTATAATAGGAGATATGTGGGGTTGATTATTCACAGTATAAGTTAGTTATTTGAAATATGGGCAGATGATCTGTAATATCACTTTAGAAAATCCCAGACTGAACAGGAGAAGCATGTACATTGGTTAGGATATTGTTGATAAGAGTTGCAGATTTTGTGGTAATTCGTGTGGGCTTGTCGACTTTGATACTTAAATAAACCATAATTTAACAAAAGTGATTATGATATATTTACAGAAGATGGAGAGTATGATATCTTCCTTGAGCCCGATAGTATTTTCCACCTGCTCTCTCCGAACTTCCCTGAACCCTATCCAAATCTGTTCAACCAAACCTGGTTGATCACCGCTCCTGAAGAGTCTGGAACTCGAGTCGTTTTGATCTCCTACATATCGAGCCTGTGTTTGACCTTCTGGTCATTGGAATAGGACACGACCCATCAGTCAGTGAGAATATTGTTCGGATCATCTCGGGGTACGACAGCAGCCTCGACCCAATCCTCCTGGTCAGCAACCTGTCTTGGGTCAGCTTCGAGACTGATTATACGTCCAGAGACATGGGCTTTGTTATTGCTCTAAGTGCAATCGAAGACTTCTCGGGTAATGATCTAATTGATTAATTGGCTAGCTCTTATTCTTCTTCTACTGGGCCATCAAGAAACACAAATAGTGTTGAAATTTTCCGCAATCCCTTTAGCGCCGAGGGTAGAAAAGCCTATAGAAAAGTCAGCAGGACAATAGCAATTTAATGTTGGTCAAACAATCAGGGAGAAATAATGGGCAAACAGATATTAGCCCACGTCTTCAATATAACCAGGGAATCCCGATATAACTAAGCACATGCTCACAATATGAATATCAAATCTGGCTATTGTTTGGAGACTGCTATATGAAGCATGTGTATGCTCTGAATTAGGCAAAAAGGGGACCGGCGGGTTTAAGACCTCTCCGAACGAAATGTAATGTTGAGTTATGCCTTACCATAGCATATCGACTTGGTTTCTAACCAGGGAGCTCCCGGTTACGAGCTGCTCTGCTCTACCACTGGGCTATAGCGCCTCCCTCCTTTTAAAAAGGTCTTTTAAAATTTGCCGTTTTTTTTAGAATAAGAATCAAAACATGTTTTGTATGTTTTTGTATCTGTGCATTATGATTTCAAAATTTCACTTTCGCCACTTAATTATAAAAATCTACGAATAAATGATTTGAATGTTAGAGCAGAAATCAATGTTTGTATTTGTGTCCCTGCCCGTTTTGCGATCATTTAGTACATATAGCGCAAAGTAGAAGTCGAATGATAAATTATCACCATGAACTGATTAATGTTTTGTATTGCATTTCCAATTGCTGCTCAACTTTATCACCATCAGGCTATGCTTTTTTTTAACATTTTCATGACACACATGTTTTATAATCTCGATATAGTTCCCGGACTCTTTTTTCTATTTATTCCACTTTTAAAAAGGGCTATGGAATTATTATGATTTAAAACGCCTTTTCGACGGGCAATTTTCGAAGGCAAATCTCGGGCGTGAAATCCTGCAACGGCATTTTATGTTTTTTCCTTGAGGCCACTTAACAAAATATACATGTTTAGCATCCCCGCCCGCTTCCTTTTTGGGGGCCGCCTCCTATTTTTTATTTTTTGGGAATTTTGTTTAAATTTTTTTTTATTTAATTTTTTTTTTATAATTTTTTTATTTTTTTTAAAGAAAAAAAAAACATGAAAAACACTGCTAAAATGGATCTATTAATGATTTAAAAAAAAAAAAAAAATGTCGGCGGCCATCTTTAAAAAAAGCCCGACTGTCAGGGAAAATGTACCGAGCGACCATTTTGAGCGGCCAGTTTGAAAGAAAGAAGAAAAAAAGAAAAAAGAGGGCCTCCTTCCTATTTTTCGAAAAAAAGAGGACGCTAATAAAACATTTTTTTATTTTTTATTCGGCCTTAGAGTGTACTTTTCTTTTGTATTCGCTCCGTAGAACTCTACTTTATCAAACAGCAAGGTGAAATGAAAAGAGCGTCATCTTGAGTAGATCGTTTGTTTGATGTTATCCTTCTTATCCCTAATAAGAAAACCTTCAATTTATTAGAACCAAGTCATTGGAGGAAAAAAAAAACAGGATTTGACTGACAAAATATAAATTCTCCCAAGCTCAGGCTGTGGCGATGTGCAACGCGTAGCGTGAATATGAATGACGGGAGAGAAAGATAATTCCTTTGTCCATTATTACGATGCTAGAATCATATCGCGATGTGGGAATTATATAAATATATTGATAATCATTCAAATTACAAACATACACAAGCGACCCAAACAGTAATCAATTTGCCGACTATAACCGCATACATGTAGTCCTTCACATCATTCGTCTTTTATTTTTGGTTGTTGGGGACAATTAAACTCGCAATTAAATAACCATTAATCGTACATAGTCATTTTTATTTCACATTTCATACAGTTGTCACAAAAATTAAAAGGAGGCGTATTAAACCCAACAAAAATAAATCATAATTTATTCTGATCAAGATGAACGAGTTGATTGCCCCCCAAAACAAAGACGATCCCACCAGACAAGTTCATGCGGTGCTGTAGCAATGTACATCGCAAAGCTTCGCCACAATGATTGGAAAGATAATACCCCGCCCGTTACGACGCAAAACGGCGCGAGAAGAATAGATTGCGACGCGAGAAGAATACATCATTTTTTTTTACAAACAATGGAATTTTTATTGGAACAAAAACCGGAGGAGGGGAAAACAGACTTTGGCCGACAAATACTTTCTGTATATCAAGTTTAAGCTTTTCCACGCATCACGAGCGAGAACAATGACGGGAGAGATAATCTTCCATCGCCTGGTGGGGCGCAAAAGGGCGCAAGAAGAATAGAGCGGGCTTATACCAACAATAGACAGTTTCTTTTCATATGCAAGAATCAGGTGAGGGTGACTATTGCGCCCCTTCGCGCCCCTTTGCGCCTCAATGCGTCTCTTGGGACGCGACTGTTCTATTCATCGCGCCCCGACGCGTCCGGGCACAGTCGCAACTTTGGAAGGCTCCCCTAACCCTTCACCCCACAAAAGCAACAGCTTATGCAATTTGCGTGCTGACAACTGTTCATGTCCTTAAGATCATTGAATACTTTTGATTTAGGGCAAGTCAATTTGTAATGGGGGGGGGGGGTGGGGGGATTAATCTACTGGTAGAGGAAGCTGGTCAACCAAAATTTCTTGGGCCAGTTGGTTCCAACCCCAAATTATATTACTTGTGCATTTAGGTTGATTAAATTTTGGCAATGATAAAGCACCTGTCAGTAAATGATATGATCATGAATTTCTATAGTTTCATGTTGACCAGGGTGTAGCAGTGACTCTTTCACATGTACTAACAAGAATTGCATTCTGAATTGTCAAACTTGTGACTGTTTCAATGATTGTGGTGACTTTTCTGATGAGGAGTATTGTCATAAGCATACACATTTTTCTTCAGTTGACTTGTTCAATCTTGTGAATTTGAAATGGCATCATCCTTTCCAGGTCACAAGGTCCTTTTTTCAAGTTTGCAACATAGAATGCAGCAAAATTTTAAAAGTCTGGGTTTTGATATATTGACTACCAAAACAATTGTAAATCATTGCGACATTTATCTAGTTTATATTTTTGCATGCATATGCACATGACTTTTAGTTCAACTGGCATTAACTGTATAAGTGCACTTTATTCCAGCAACCCCCCCAGCAAACTCGTCCTGCTTCGAGTGTGCATCTGACTATGAATGTGTGTATGATCCAAGCTGGGTTTGCGATGGTGACTATGATTGCTTTTACGGAGAGGATGAATTGAACTGCACAGGTAAGATTGAAATTGTTTAAAATCACAGTACTATTATGTAAATTGAATGTTGCATCACTCTCTTGCTCAATGTGGCAACACTATTATGCAGAAGGTTACAGCTCACTTATTTTGAATGTTTCAACTCTCTTGTTTTAATGCTGCATCACACTTATGTTAAAGATGGCAAGATTCTTAGGTTGAATATTGCGACACTTTTTCTGTTCAAGATGGAAGATGGCAACATTCTTAGGTTGTAAAATTACTAAAATATAGCAGTTGACAAATTAATTTCATTTATGCTAACCCTTCACCCCACAAAAGCAACAGCTTATGCAATTTGCGAGGTGACAACTGTTCATGTCCTTAAGATCATTGAATAATTTTGATTTAGGGCAAGTCAATTTGTAATGGGGGGGGGGGGGGTGGGGGGATTAATCTACTGGTAGAGGAAGCTGGTCAACCAAAATTTCTTGGGCCAGTTGGTTCCAACCCCAAATTATATTACTTGTGCATTTAGGTCGATTAAATTTTGGCAATGATAAAGCACTTGTCATTAAATGATATGATCATGAATTTCTATAGTTTCATGTTGACCAGGGTGTAGCAGTGACTCTTTCACATGTACTAACAAGAATTGCATTCTGAATTGTCAAACTTGTGACGGTTTCAATGATTGTGGTGACTTTTCTGATAAGGAGTATTGTCATAAGCATACACATTTTTCTTCAGTTGACTCGTTCAATCTTGTGTATTTGAAATGGCATCATCCTTTCCAGGTCACAAGGTCCTTTTTTCAAGTTTGCAACATAGAATGCAGCAAAATTTTAAAAGTCTGGGTTTTTATATATTGACTACAAAAACAATTATAAATCATTGCGACATAGTCACATTTATGTCCTTTATATTTTTGCATGCATATGCACTAGTGACTTTTAGTTCAACTGGCATTAACTGTATAAGTGCACTTTATTCCAGCAACCCCCCCAGCAAACTCGTCCTGCTTCGAGTGTGCATCTGACTATGAATGTGTGTATGATCCAGGCTGGGCTTGCGATGGTGACTATGATTGCTTTAACGGAGAGGATGAATTGAACTGCACAGGTAAGATTGAAATTGTTTAAAATCACAGTACTATTATGTAAATTGAATGTTGCATCACTCTTTTGCTCAGTTGACATGTTCAATCTTGTGAATTTGAAATGGCATCATCCATTTCAGTTCAGCTAGAAATATACGAATAAAAGACAGACTATAGCAAAACCTTTGTATATGACTATCTAAAATTATCAAAACTAAAAGCTTTCATCTGGGCCCTCCTTTATGAACCTTAATATTAACAATAAGAAAAGCTCAATTTCTACGACAAATTTGCTCTTTGCCAATCAAATGCGTTGATTTCAGTAGCTTTTAACAGTTATTGTAATTGATAACAATTTTAATGAAACAGGGCCCGGGTGTGGAGTAAAAAAAAATGAATGTTTAAATATGAAGAATATATGATTTTAGGGTAAAACGGTTAAATATTATGACCTTAATTGCATAAATTACCACAAATATGCAAACATCAGCTTATTTCCATGCAATTTGCATTCAGAAAATTATAGCACAAAAGATAATTGCAAGCGAATGAAATACTTCATCACTGCACACACATGTGGGAAGGAAGCGTCTATAGATTTGAATACATTTGCTTGATAAACGACTTTGCATAGTAGGCCTATGATATCGAGCAAATGGCGATGCCTATGTTGTCCTTAGAAACTGTACATTATGCTAAGAATATCTTGTTTTATATACCTCTCACATACACTTTGATGGGGGTATCATGTAGATTAATGGGCAAGAATACAATAAAACTCTCAGAATAACTTAAGTTATTTCTTGGGGTGAGGTTTCCTTTAATCATTTTAACAGACACAATTCATCATATTATTTTACATGGGTTTTCTTCTTTACACTACTAAATTTTCAGCAGTGCACCTGACTCTAGGAGAAATGTGTTTGATCTCATCACCAAACTATCCTTCATTATTTCATATCTTACACTTTAAACAAATATTAAAAAATAATTTTCTACATACTCTTAATTAATAGTGTTGAGAACAGTATGTGTGTGCATATATGTGTGATTGTATATTTCTTTATTCATACTGATTAACAGGCAAAAGTGAAATGAAACACATGCCTTTGTTTTATATTTAAGCAAATAATGCAATATTCTTTTGTTTTCCTAGGTACTACTACGGCTAGTCCAACCAATGACACGATTTCAGGTATTACCATGATAACTACTCCATTAGTAAACACGTCTTTAAACACTGCACTCAATTATTTCATATATCTTTAGACAAACGTTTTTAAATAATTTTCTACATACTCTTATTTCAGTGTTGAAAAGAGTAAGTGTGTGCAAATGTATGTAAGTGTGTGCTATTTTTATGTGCAAATACCCCATGTGTCACCTGTATTTTAGAACTATTTTATCTGACCTTCTTTGAACCTAAATGTGCATACCTTATATTAAGCTACATTAAGGGTTGTTGTTGATTTTATTTAGACACAGTAAAAACACACTTTCAGCCCCAAAGGCTGCGTTTCAGTATGTCCGTTTGTATGGTAATACCCAAATGAATTTGACGTCAAGATTACCATACACCGGAAAAAATACAATACAATCATATGAGCAAAAATAATGTTGGACATTATGGCAAAGTGCAATTGCAGTAAATAAAAGTAAATAAAATAGATTTTTTTAAAAGAATTTAAATCTATGACTTGAACCAATTTGATGATCTGCATGTTCTTTTTTCATTTAAACAGACAAAATTTATCATCAAATTATTGTACTTGGTTTATTTCTTACACTACTAAAGTTTCAGCGGTTAACCTGACTGTTGGAGAAACGCGGTCAATTTCATCACCAAACTATCCTCATGAGTATCCAAACAACGCCTATTATACTTGGTACATCACGGCTCCATCAAACTACTCTGTGATCATCACATTCATAGCATTTAATCTGGAATCTTGCTGTGACCATCTGAGCATAGGGAATGGTCATACACCTGGGAACTTGGCGGTAAAAACTTTCTCAGGACAAGATATACCAGCTTCTTTGAGGTTTGTGTAAATGTATACATTATTTATATTTGTGCATTTTTTAATGCACATGTACTTGCATTTTAACTTGAAGAAGCCATATGAACAAAATAGTGTTTCACCTATACATGTGTCTCTAAATTTGCACATGTGTGTGTGTTCATGTAACTCAAATGTTCTGTTATGGTGGGTGTGACGTCTCATCCCAACAAATTTTGATATAAAGTACCGGTACATTAGTTTTTGTTGTGTGTCAGTTTCTATATTAATGCAATTTTGTCATTTTGGTCGGTCTGTCTTTTGTCATTATGATAAGGATATTTCTCTATTAAAGAAAGTAGGTGATCTTGCTCTCAACAGCAAATCACTTTCTCCTGTGCTACAAACTGAAAACCTCTGAGACTCTGATGTTGTCTGCCATGTCTCAGATATTTAAAACCATTTTTGCCTGTACGACAGATCATGAGTTGGTGCCAGGAGGTTCCTTCACACTGGAAAAGAAAAGAAAGAAACGATGAAATCATACTTTGGTTAGTCTCTCCCAATGACATCTGATGTGGTTTTGGACACTGCTCTATGAAACGACTAACTATAATAATATGCAAATCAGGATGGTTTGCAGGCAAGCTACAGTTAGATGAGTTTTGGGGTGTTCTTGCAAATGCAAACAAAAATCGAAAGGATTGCTATGACTATAAAATGTTTTTTTTTTTATGATACTACGTCATTGGTGCTGAAGTGTGAAATAACAGTGTATCCAGAACATAGTGAATAATCAGATAATATGTGTTGATATCATGAAAGGTGTTAAAGAATTTTGTCTTGTTCTACAGATTGTACAGTTCTAATAGTTGGATGCGATTCACCAGTGACGGTTCAGTCACGCATCAGGGATTCCAACTGCAGCTAACAGTGATCCCTAGATCTTTAGGTATGTACACACATCTAGTTTTGGTTTTGGTTTAAGCTCATCTGGCCCGATTGGTGCAATGAGCTAAACAGTATGCAATTGCATTTGGCGTCCATCATCCATCCACAATTTCTAAATGCTTCCTCTTCATAATTTCTCATCCGATTTGGATTCTGTTTTGCTTTATGGATAGGGCTGGGTAGGGGGAGTGGAAACTTCTAAACAGAATTGTGAAATTTGTATTAATTGTGCTTATTCATGCAATATTTTGGTATGATTGTATTTGTATTATATATTTTGTATCAGTTGTGAATTGTTTATATACATGTACGTACCACCTGGAAAGAAAGTTTCTTCTTTCTTTGGAAGAAGACAATAAAATTCTATTCTATTCTATTCTAAAAGCTTTAGTGTTAAAATACTCTATGTTTAAGGTCACAACACTCCTATTTTCAAGTTTGCAACATAGAATGTAGCAAAATTATAAAAGTCAGGGTTTGTATAAAATCATTAACTAACAAAACAATTGTAATTCATTGCAAAATGTATGTACTTTATATTTTTGTATGCATGCACGAGTGACTTTTAGTTCAACTGGCATTAACTGTATAGGTGCATTGCATGTGATTTTTAAAAAAAAACCTTATTCCAGCGACCCTCCCAGCAAACTCATCCTGCTTCGAGTGTGCATCTAACTTTGAATGTGTGTATGATCCAAGCTGGGTTTGCGATGGTGACTATGATTGCTTTAACGGAAAGGATGAATTGAACTGCACAGGTAAGATTGCAATTGTTTAAAATCACAGTACTATTATGTTCATTGAATGTTGCATCACTCTCTTGCTCAATGTGGCAACACTATTATGTAGAAGGTTACAGCTCACTTATTTTGAATGTTGCAACTCTCTTGTTTTAATGCTGCATCACACTTATGTTAAAGATAGCAAGATTCTTAGGTTGAATATTTCAACACTTTTTCTGTGGAAGATGGAAGATGGCAATATTCTTAGTTTGTAAAATTACTAAAATATAGCAGTTGACAAATTAATTTCATTTATGCTAACCCTTCACCCCACAAAAGCAACAGCTTATGCAATTTGCGTGCTGACAACTGTTCATGTCCTGAAGATCATTAAATACTTTTGATTTAGGGCAAGTCAATTTGTAATGGGGGGGGGGGTGGGGGATTATTCTACTCTAAGAGGAAGCTGGTCAACCAAAATTTCTTGGGCCAGTTGGTTCCAACCCCAAATTATATTACTTGTGCATTTAGGTTGATTAAATTTTGGCAATGATAAAGCACTTGTCAGTAAATGATATGATCATGAATTTCTATAGTTTCATGTTGACCAGGGTGTAGCAATGACTCTTTCACATGTACTAACAAGAATTGCATTCTGAATTGTCAAACTTGTGACGGTTTCATTGATTGTGGTGACTTTTCTGATGAGGAGTATTGCCGTAAGCATACACATTTTCTTCAGTTGTCTTGTTCAATCTTGTGAATTTAAAATGGCATCATCCTTTCCAGGTCACAAGGTCCTTTTTTCAAGTTTGCATCGTAGAATGCAGCAAAATTTTAAAAGTCTGGGTTTTTATATATTGACTACCAAAATAATTGTAAATCATTGCGACATTTATGTACTTTATATTTTTGCATGCATATGCACTAGTGACTTTTAGTTCAACTGGCATTAACTGTATAAGTGCACTTTATTCCAGCAACCCCCCCAGCAAACTCGTCCTGCTTCGAGTGTGCATCTGACTATGAATGTGTGTATGATCCAAGCTGGGTTTGCGATGGTGACTATGATTGCTTTTACGGAGAGGATGAATTGAACTGCACAGGTAAGATTGAAATTGTTTAAAATCACAGTACTATTATGTAAATTGAATGTTGCATCACTCTTTTGCTCAGTTGACATGTTCAATCTTGTGAATTTGAAATGGCATCATCCATTTCAGTTCAGCTAGAAATATACGAATAAAAAACGGACTTTAGCAAAACCTTTGTATATGACTATCTAAAATTATCAAAACTAAAAGCTTTCATCTGGGCCCGCCTTTATGAACCTTAATATTAACAATAAGAAAAGCTCAATTTCTACGACAAATTTGCTCTTTGCCAATCAAATGCGTTGATTTCAGTAGCTTATAACAGTTATTGTAATTGATAACAATTTTAATGAAACAGGGCCCGGGTGTGGAGTAAAAAAAATGAATGTTTAAATATGAAGAATATATGATTTTTGGGTAAAACGGTTAAATATTATGACCCTAATTGCATAAATTACCATATGCAAACATCAGCTTATTTCCATGCAATTTGCATTCAGAAAATTATAGCACAAAAGATAATTGCAAGCGAATGAAATACTTCATCACTGCACACACATGTGGGAAGGAAGCGCCTATAGATTTGAATACATTTGCTTGATAAACGACTTTGCATAGTAGGCCTATGATATCGAGCAAATGGCGATGCCTATGTTGTCCTTAGAAACTGTACATTATGCTAAGAATATCTTGTTTTATATACCTCTCACATACACTTTGATGGGGGTATCATGTAGATTAATGGGCAAGAATACAATAAAACTCTCAGAATAACTTAGGTTATTTCTTGGGGTGAGGTTTCCTTTAATCATTTTAACAGACAAAATTCATCATATTATTGTACATGGGTTTTCTTCTTTACACTACTAAATTTTCAGCAGTGCACCTGACTCTAGGAGAAATGTGTTTGATCTCATCACCAAACTATCCTTCATTATTTCATATCTTATACTTTAAACAAATATTTAAAAATAATTTTCTACATACTCTTAATTAATAGTGTTGAGAAAAGTATGTGTGTGCATATATGTGTGATTGTATATTTCTTTATTCATACTGATTAACAGGCAAAATTGAAATGAAACACATGCCAGTGTTTTATATTTAAGCAAATAATGCAATATTCTTTTGTTTTCCTAGGTACTACAACCAATGACACGATTTCAGGTATTACTATGATAACTACTCCATTAGTAAACACGTCTTTAAACACTGCACTCAATTATTTCATATATCTTTAGACAAACGTTTTTAAATAATTTTCTACATACTCTTATTTTAGTGTTGAAAAGAATATGTGTGTGCAAATGTATGTGTGTGCTATTTTTATGTGCAAATACCCCATGTGTCACCTGTATTTTATAACTATTTTATCTGACCTTCTTTGAACCTAAATGTGCATACCTTATATTAAGCTACATTAAGGGTTGTTGTTGATTTTATTTAGACACGGTAAAAACAAACTTTCAGCACCAAAGGCTGTGTTTCAGTATGTCCGTTTGTATGGTAATACCCAAATGAATTTGACGTCAAGATTACCATACACAGGAAAAAATACAATACAATCATATGAGCAAAAATAATGTTGGACATTACGGCAAAGAGCAATTGCAGTAAATAAAAGTAAATGAAATAGATTTTTTTTAAAGAATTTAAATCTATGACTTGAACCAATTTGATGATCTGCATGTTCTTTTTTCATTTAAACAGACAAAATTTATCATCAAATTATTGTACTTGGTTTATTTCTTACACTACTAAAGTTTCAGCAGTTAACCTGACTGTTGGAGAAACGTGGTCAATTTCATCACCAAACTATCCTCATGAGTATCCAAACAACGCCTATTATACTTGGTACATCACAGCTCCATCAAACTACTCTGTGATCATCACATTCATAGCATTTAATCTGGAATCTTGCTGTGACCATCTGAGCATAGGGAATGTTCATACACCTGGGAACTTGATGGTAAAAACTTTCTCAGGACAAGATATACCAGCGTCTTTGAGGTTTGTGTAAATGTATACATTATTTATATTTGTGCATTTTTAATGCACATGTACTTGCATTTTAACTTGAAGAAGCCATATGAACAAAATAGTGTTTCACCTATACATGTGTCTCTAAATTTGCGCATGTGTGTGTTTTCATGTAACTCAAATGTTCTGTTATGGTGGGTGTGACGTCTCATCCCAACAAATTTTGATATAAGTACCGGTACATTAGTTTTTTATGTATGTCAGTTTCTGGATTAATGCAATTTTGTCATTTTGGTCGGTCCGTTGTCAGTCAGTCTGTCAGACTTTTGTAGGTCTTTTGTAATTGTGATAAGGATATTTCTCTATTGAAGAAAGTAGGTGATCTTGCTCTCAACAGCAACTCACTTTCTCCTGTGCTACAAACTGAAAACCTCTGAGACTCTGATGTTATCTGCCATGTCTCAGATATTTAAAACCATTTTTGCCTGTACGACAGATTATGAGTTGGTGCCAGGTGGTTCCTTCACACTGGAAAAGAAAAGAAAGAAACGATGAAATCATACTTTGGGTAGTCTCTCCCAATGACATCTGATGTGGTTTTGGACCTAACACTGCTCTATGAAACGACCAACTATAATAATATGCAAATCAGGATGGTTTACAGGCAAGCTACAGTTAGATGAGTTTTGGGGTGTTCTTGCAAATGCAAACAAAAATCGAAAGGATTGCTATGACTATGAAATGTTTGTTTTTTTATGATACTACGTCATTGGTGCTGAAGTGTGAAATAACAGTGTATCCAGAACATAGTGAATAATCAGATAGTATGTATTAATATCAGAAAAAGTATTGACACAATTTTGTCTTGTTCTACAGATTGTACAGTTCTAACAGTTGGATGCGATTCACCAGTGACGGTTCAGTCACGCATCAGGGATTCCAACTGCAGCTAACAGTGATCCCTAGATCTCTAGGTATGTACACACATCTAGTTTTGGTTTTGGTTTAAGCTCATCTGGCCCGATTGGTGCGATGAGCTAAACAGTATGCAATTGCATTTGGCGTCCATCATCCATCCACAATTTCTAAATGCTTCCTCTTCATAATTTCTCATCCGATTTGGATTCTGTTTGCTTTATGGATAGGGCTGGGTAGGGGGAGTGGAAACTATTAATTTTGCATATTCATGCAAATTGATTCAAAGTCACAAAAAACATTTTCTCCTTCATTCATTGACCAACTTTGATTTTTTTTTCTTTTACAGAGCTGAATGAGATCCGCAGAAATTTTTCATATAATTTTGAAAGTTTGCTTTAAAATTGCCCCCCCCCCCAAAAAAAAAAAAAAACCAAAAAAATGCAAGAAATTACAAGAAAAACCTTCTTCTCCATAATTCATTGACCAGTTTTAATTTTGTCTGTTTTCTCTAATAGAGCTAAGTTACATACACAAAAATTCTACACAAAATGTTGAAATATTGACTCAAACATCAATTATATTTTTTGCTATTACAGCAGAACCTAGCATAACGCTAAAAAACAGCAGAACAGGGATAGAATGACGCTAAAATGCAGCGGAACATAGAATTACGCTGAAATACAGCAAAACGTAGAGTGACGCTGATATACAGCAAAACATATAATGAGGCTAAAATACAGCAGGAAATAGAATGATGCTGAAATACAGCGGAACATAAAATGATGCTTAAAAATGCAGCAGAAAATAGAATGATGCTAAAATACAGCAGAACCTAGAATTATGCCAAAATACAGCAGAACCTAGAATTATGCTAAAAAACAGCAGAACCTAGATTTATGCTGAAATACAGCATGAAGTAGAATTATGCCAAAATACAGCAGAACCTAAAATTATGCTAAAAACAGCAGAACCTAGAATTATGCTGAACTACAGCAGGAAGTAGAAATTAGGGTGAAATGCAGCAGAACATAGACAAACAAATCAAGAGAACACAGAATTGCGCTAAAATACAGCAGAACATAAAATTAAACTAAAATATGTAGGATATGATATTTTAGTGTAATATATAGGGGAACCCTGTGTGTGCTCTCCTAATATTTCACTTGAAATCAACAAGATTTGTTACCGTTATATTGTGCTCCCCTTATGCTTGATGTCATTTAATTTCTTATATATATAACTAGATTAAAGATACTATGTCCCTTTTGCAGCCAACATCACATTATGTAGAACGTTGCAGGAATTATGAATATGTCATGAATGTCCTATCTGTGAAATTTAAATGTTAGCAGTGTCCTAGTATTCAAATTATGCAAGGAAACCCATTTACTTTCTAGACTTCCCTGTCAGACACTATTGAGTGACTGACTGACATCTTCTTTTTCTTTGGTAATAATTACATACATAAAATGAGCTGTATAGGTACATTTGTCTACATCAATAACCCACTACTTGTAATGACCAAAATCAAACTGATTGAATGTTTGTGCAGCACCAAACGTAAGACCATTCGGTACAAGGGTCTGAAAATCAGACTATTACTTAGGTGATTGCAATCACTTATGTGGATTCAACAACTAATGGTCGTTATTTTTGTAAAAAAGCAATTTTCAAACCCTTTCGTTTTGAAGGTAGTTCTAAATAAGAATTGTCTTTCAAATGCCGTTGGAATCTAACATTTTTGATTTTTTTTTTTTTTGACCTGCAAATTAAATGGGACATAGAACCTTTAAAGTGTGCCACAGGTTTTGTCAAAATTTGTGTAAGAACAATGTCATTTTGACATTGCAAAAAACAAAGGTTCTAATGTCTGCCCACTCATTCACTTTACATTCAGTTCGTAATTTCGACATGAAAATCTGTCTAGGCTTGTGGATAAAAGTACTAAATCGGATATATCTCATTACTCTAGCCACACATTTATTCAAAGAAGTGTTTTGGGTGGTCTTTTAACATTAACTGTTTATGTCCGTTGGGCCGTTCAATACTTTGGATTGAGGGCAAGTCGATTAGATATTACATCTGCATTTAGGTTGATTCAATTTTTATCAGTAATTGATTTGTTTATGAGTTTCTATATTTTCATTTTGACCAGGGTGCGGCAATGACTCTTTCACATGTATCAACAACAATTGCGTTCTGAATTCTCTAACTTGTGACGGTTACAATGATTGTGGTGACTTTTCTGATGAGGAGTATTGTCGTAAGCATACACATTATTCTTCAGTTGACTCGTATAATCATGTGAATTTGAAAGGGCATCATCCGTTCCAATTGGCGAGAAATAACTATAACGGACGATATCAAAACCTAAATCTAAAATAATCTAAAATTATAAAAACTGAAAGCTTTCAACTGTCTCAACACCTTGGCCCTGTTTCAAAAAACTTTTTATCATTAACAAGTAACAATAACTGTTACAAGCTACTGAAATCGTGGCATTTGATTGGCAGAAAGCAAAATTGGCATAGAAATTTAGCTTTTGTTATTGTTAACAAGATTTATAAAACAGGGCCCAGGTGTTGAGTTAATGATACTTATTAATGTACCTACCAGTTAGATGTTATTGAAGGCAATGGATCATAACAATTGTATTGAATTCCTTTGCAATTTTACTTTTGATGATGTCTTTATGCTTAGAATAGAATACAACACAACACCTCTACTACCTTCCTTTAAGGCATCGGGTAACATTGTTAAATCTGAGAGGCATGGTCCTACGTGTTATCAGTGTCTGTGATATGGTGTAATAATGAAGCCCTGAAAAAATTGCGCTTCAAAATGATCATGAAGTGCCTCAAAAGAGTAAAAATCTTTGAGTGACCGGTTTTACCACACTCATTTTCCCCAATAGACTGTAGTGTTATGAAAACCGTTAGGCAAACACAAAATTTGATTCCGATTTCCAATCATAAATATCTTGATAATGAGACAGGCGACAGGCTTGTAAAAGTCATGGGGTTCCTGACTGACCTATTTATAATTATCATTGCAGCATGAGCTAAATCCAGGATTTTGTTTCAGAATCTGAGACAAAGCTACCCAATCCCTTAATATTATTCAAATCGAAAAATAATCTACTACGATCTTAATCATGTTAAAATGTTGACTATTTCACCTACCCGGTATATAAGTGATTTTCCATTTATGTAGAATGCTGTAATGTAGTGGAATGTGCTATTGTGTACCATTTGAATGATTTCTTAGAGACGACCAAAATATATGACAGATCTACCTATGAATGGTTATTTTCTGCTTAGACCTGTAAGACTCTTTATCATGTATTCTACCCAAATTTAAACCAACAAGGGATTCATCTTAACTTGAGATTTAGGTTTTCCTTTTGTAAAACGTAATTTCATACTCGGGGTTTGGGATTTGGTTTACTGAATTAGTAAAACACGAACCTACATGTACATGAATATACACATACAGCTGTTCATGTTAATTTTCCCCTTCTTATTATATGATATTTTCTGTTTATCAAACAGCACCCTGTGTTCCTCTAGAGAATATAGGTGAATGTGGACAATTACCGTATGACAGAACATACTTCTCGAATCAGTATTCTCCAAATTCTCCTCAGGCAGTTCTTTCTTACAATTTTGTGAGTAGCTCCAGTGTGTTTATATCTTATTTCATTCTCTGGATTACACATAAATATTTCTTTACACTTGATAACTAATGTGCTGTAGTAAAGCAATTTTTTTTCAGAAAGAAATTTATGAAGGATGTTATCAGTATTATTACAAAGGAGAAACTTGTATCATAACGTCCATGCTGAAAGTGTCCATATAGATTTCCTTCATACAAAAAAGTTGCTTTATGAGATGAACTAAATTTTATACAGGCCAAAACGATTGCATTGAACATACAAAATATATAACAGTAGCAATATGAGGGACTGCGGTGATGCTAGTTGCACAGTTTGTGTCGAACCTCTTTCTTATAATATTGAGTTGTAGTACATGTACCTTTACATTGGGAAACCCCATTTCATTTCATCCATCCTGCATTCATATTGAAAAGGCAATGTTTTGTTTTCTTCTCTATGCTGTTTGGGTCCATGTATTTTTGCTGTACACCTTGCCAATTAAATATTTGTATTTTTAATTACACTGTGCCATGAACCTGGGTTGAAAGGGAAGTCCACCCTGATATTAAGTTGGTTTTAAGAGAAACACGTCAGTGAAAGTTTGTGCAAAAACCAATTAAAAATAACAGAGTTTTTAATTTTTGAAATTGCTATCAATCAAACATAAATTGGTAACCCTGTGACGTATCTTGTGAGCTCTCCTCCCATTTGCCCTGTACTAAAAAACTTTCAAAAATTATATTTTCCCTGAAGAAAATTGTCAATCATACATTCACTCTAGATATAGTTATTGCTAATATGTTGTATGGCAACCCATGTAAATAACAAATGTATGCCGTCATCAATAACTAAGAAAAAAATGAAACTTTATGAAACTTTCTGTGCTAAGCAAATTGGACAGGAGGTCTCAAGATACATCACATAACTGCCAATTCGTGTTTGATTTATCGCAACTTCAAAATTCAAAACATTTCTTTAATATTTTTAATCAATTATTTTTCTTCAAACTCTCTCTTTCTGATCTGTTTCTCTCATTTTTCTGCTTCTATACCAAAGCAACTTAATATCAGGGTAGACATCCCCTTTAAATGTTTAAATCTTTTATCGCATTCCTACAACTATTATTTTGAATGAAGATTATACACAGTTTACAAGGTTGTCATCCCAGAGCCATCGACCTTGCATGCAACTTACTGTTTCCTGAATGCATCCATCAAGGACCTACAAATCGCCCATGCTACTCAGATTGTGTGAATATTACAGCACACTGTAGAGACCTCTTTGAGCAGCACTCAAACATGTCTTGGCCAGTGAACTGCAAAGACTTTACAGATAAAGGGAGAACACCTGATGGTTACTGCCAGGGAGCCACAGGAGGTAGGGATGATACAACATTTCATTTCATTTCATTTATTGGTTCAACCATTATTTTAAAACAACATTCAGAAATACAAACAATGTTTGAAGGACATATACAAAACATGTTGGACATACAAAGTAAAAATGGTTAGGGAACCTGAGAGAAGCTTAACCCTATTTAGCCCGGGCTATTTTGAAACTGCATAGCCCGGGGGGGGGGGGGGGGCTTCTAAGGCCCCTCCCCCCATGATCTCGGCCCTGAAACGCCCGATCGTCGCGAAAATTTGCATACATATCAAGTGAAGTGTTAAGCATTCTTTCTCACTACATATATTTGTTAGACCATTTGGAATAATAATACAACACAAAAATTGAAAAACCAGGGTTATTCCTTATGTTATTTATTGTTTTGATAATTTCTTATGTATTTCCTTGTTTTTTTAACATATGTATTTTATTGTTTTTGTTGTTTTATTTCATTTCCAACTATAATTTAACTATTTTGACCCAAAAATAAACACCTTAACTATATAAACAAGACCAAATAACCAATGTTTTATCTCTTTATTTGAAAAATGAGATTTCCATATGTTTTGTACACAAATCACAAAAATGAGCGATTTTCGGGCTGACATGCAAAGAAAAAAGGACTCGTGACTTTGTAATGGTAGGTCCGATTTTGGAAAAATTTCTTCCAAAAGATGCGCAAGGCTCAAAAGAAAAAAGTCACAAAATTTCAGTGCAAGATTTTCTTGCATCAAAAAATTATCGCGAAAAATGTCGAGGGGGGGGGGGCTTCTAAAGCCCCCCCCCCCCCGGGCTAAATAGGGTTAAGCTTGTAAGTGGAGTTCCCTGTACAATAAACAGGTAAAATTGTATAACAAAAACCAGATAATAAACTAAGACAAAACTAAACCATAGCACCCGTCGGCATTCACTGGCTATTTCGTTACGCCACAATAGCTGGCAGCAACTGCTCTGGGCGTTATTTCTTCAAAGATGTAGGGTTAGGGTTGAAATTGGGATTTTAGGTCAGGGTTGAGGCTATGATTAGTATAGCGTTGGGTATAGTTTTGAAATCAGGAACTCTTTTAGTTTTGTAGACAATAACCATTGAGCAATTATCGCAGAAGCATGTATTGAACAACTGCAATTAAAGGTACTATGTCCCATTTGCAGGCCAAAAAAAAAGAAAAAGTTAAATTCCAACTGCATTTGAAAGATAATACTAATTTAGAACTTCCCTAAAAAAGGTGGGGCTTGAAAATGTCTTCAAGTGGGAAAATAACGACTATTAGTTGTCAAATCGACTTTAGGGCTATAGAGCCCAAAAGTAATAGTCTTGATTTTCAGACAATTGTACCGAATGGTCATACGTTTTATGCTGCGCAAAGATTCAATCAGTTTAATCTTGGCCATCACAAGAAGTGGGTTATTGATGTAGACAAATGCCCGTGTACCCTTTACAACTCTTTTCATGTATGTTATTACCAAAGAAGAAAAAAAGCCAGTCAGTCACTCAATAGTGTCTGACAGTGAAGTCTAGCAAGTAAACGGGTTCACAGATGGGACATACATGACATATTCATAAGTCCTGCAAAGTTCTACAGCATTTGAGGTTGGCTGCAAAAGGGACATAGTACCTTTAATGTACACTTTAATACTATAGAAGGAGTTCCCAGTTGATGGCCCTGAATTTGATAATTTAATATGGTGTCATCTTGTGTAGCACTCATGTTCATCATGCTGTGAAGACCCTAGTGCTCCAACTGGTCCAGCGGTTACTTCAAATTGGTATCCTAGCTTGTCATAGCTATTGCATGATTACTTCATCAGTAAAAGAAAGCCAAATCCAAATCAGGAAATGTTGAATTCTGCTCTTTAATTTTCACCTTGTCTCTCCCTCTCTCGTTCTCACTCTTTCCTTGTCTTTTTCTCTTCCTGTTCGTTTCTCCCATCACTATTAAACTATCTCCCATCACTGTCTATCTTTCTTAATATTGAAACTCCCACTTTTCTCTCTTTCAACCCATCCCGTCTCCAAACATATAAAATACATTCCTATTATACATATTTAATCGTTTATCATTATTCATTGCATGTTGCTGTCTTCCTTTTACTAATTCGGCACATTATAGTTGAGTTTTTATGCACATTTTTTTTATTTGTTTTTATGGTGATTTATATAAATACATACAGGTGAATTAAACGGGTACCTGGTAGGAATTTATTCCTTGAAATGCTAGAGCGCCGTATGGCAGCCGTGCTAAAGCCAGGGTAATAATCGGGAGCGCCAGGAGTGTCAAATCTGACTGACATGAGCGCTATACAAGAACCCACTATTATTATTATTATTATACTACCAAATTTAAACCATTGTACTTTGCGATATTAGATAAGTGTTTCTTCAGTTTTGTAAATTTTTTTGCATGACTCCCTTAATATTGCTGATTAGCGCATGCGCACTAACGGGGTCTCTTATTTAACGTAAACCCTCATTTTATATTACTTATATAATTGAGATTAAATCTCAAACGAGTTCTCGTTTAATCTTTCAATTAAATTTGTTTGATTTTAGTGCAGAATAGATTCTTCCTTATTATAAACAATATATAACTTCACAAAACGTGTAATGCAGAGCGAAGAGAAAACCAAGGATATATGAAATTCCAAATTTTTACATAAATGATTTCAAGTGATCTGTCTATTATCTCATTTGAACAATAAATAATTTCTTTTTATTGCAGATTACGCAGGCAGTGTTCCACCAACATTAGGTATTGTTGTAGTTTCAGCACTTTTATCAATTAATACATTTAAAACCATATAATGCAAACAAATATAAACGTCTTTCCACTTTCTCCAACTCCTTTATTATCTCTGTAAATTCAAGTTATTAATTAGATTGCAGGCTGGTGCAGTGTGGTGGGAATTGGTATATAGGCTAGTCCCTGGTATTTCCTCTTGTGTCGCATACGTAATGATTGGGCACCTAATATTTGACTTAAAATTTGCCAATTTTTTATTAAAATTCCTTTGATGCTTAATGTGATTCTACATGTATTCATTACATTCTTTATGTTCCCACGTCTGCACACTCATTCAATTTACATGTCGCTTTGGGATATGATTCTTGAGTGGAAATTTACCATATCGAGGCTGGTGAATAGAATTGCTAAAATTTTACAGATATGTTTTACTTGTTTTTCACATATATCTCCGAGTCTATATCTATTTATGATAACAGAGACTCAAACAAATTTCTGTACTTTTTTTTTTTTTATTTCATAAGAATCAGTTGCACGTATATGTATGCGTAGACATATATAGGCACTCTAGCGATACTATGATTCATGGAATTCTTGATTAAAACTAAAATGTATCACTACCCTTGATATTTTCTTTTATATACTGCATATGAATATCCAAGGCCTCTGATTGGCCAAAACTGCAGGCATAAAATTTGAAACTGACTGCTGGACAGTGTAGCTAAACAAATATTGAATGCGCACAGTGCATATGTGAACATGCTTTAAATTTCACTCGAAAATGAGACAAATCCCTAAGTGCCATTAAAGGTCTGCATGGGTACAATGTATTCATGGGCATTGCATTGGGGACCCACTAAACACAAGAGTATTTATGCCATTAACAGCAGATACTGGAGATTGGCAATACACATCTTGTAGACTTGAAAGCGATTCTGTTTGTTTTTTTTAATTTAGGACTAATCAAATGTCAGGATACAAATTTTAACAAAAAATACAATTTTAACCAAAAAAAATTTAACAAAAATATTTGGTATTCTCTCTGACGTACTTGTCACAGCTACGTACAGCTGAGAGCACAGACAAGATACTGCTGATAGCGCATGCACAAATATATTGAAATTCCAATTTTAAACTACACTCAGCATAACAAGAAAGTGGACACTATTTCTAATTAAGATTTTCTAATAAGTATTGGAAGTATAGTTATATTTATATATCTAAATAAATATATATAGTAATCCTTGTTTAGATGATATGCACTTGGAATTGTACCATTCATGCATGAGTGAGCATAGCCATTTACCAATAAATGAGTTTCTAAAAGAAAATTGCGAAAATGGATCATCGATCCGACCATTCAAATGTGATGAGCATTTAGATCTTGTAGAATGAAATGTATCAAGAAACTACTAAAAAAATGGGATTTTCTTTCATTCAATTTCTTTATTCATACTGATTACCAGTCACAAGTGAAATGAAACACATTCCTATGTTTTAACAAATAATGCAATATTCTTTTGTTTTCCTAGGTACTACTACGGCCAGTCTAACCAATGACATGATTTCAGGTATTACCATGATAACTACTCCATTGGTAAACACGTCTTAAAACACTGCACTCAACGATTTCATATCTTAAACTTTAGGCAACTGTTTTTAAATAATTTTCTACATACTCTTAATTTCGTGTTTAGGAGAGTATGTGTGTGCAGTCACCTGTATTTTAAAACCATTTTATCTGAGCTTGCTGTGATGTACATTGTACCTTCTTTAAGCCTAAATGTGCATAATTATACTCTACATTAAGGGTTGTTGTTGATTTCATTTAGACACAGGAAAAACACACTTTCAGCCCCAAAAGCTGTTTTTCAGTATGTTCGTTTTTATGGTATTACACAAATGAATTTGACGACAAAATGACCATACACCTGAAAAATACAATACAAACATATGAACACCGTTAGGCAAACACAAAATTTGATTCCGATTTCCAATCATAAATATCTTGATAATGAGACAGGCGATCGGCTTGTAAAAGTCATGGGGTTCCTGACTGACCTACATATAATTATCATTGCACCATGAGCTAAATCCAGGATTTTGTTTCAGAATCTGAGACAAAGTTACCCAATCCCTTAATATTATTCAAATCGAAAAATAATCTACTACGATATTAATCATGTTAAAATGTTGACTATTTCACCTACCCGGTATATAAGTGATTTTCCATTTATGTAGAATGCTGTAATGTAGTGGAATGTGCTATTGTGTACCATGTGAATGATTTCTTAGAGACGACCAAAATGTATGACAGATCTACCTATGAATGGTTATTTTCTGCTTAGTTAGACCTGTAAGACTCTTTATCATGTATCCTACTCAAATTTAAACCAACAAGGGATTCATCTTAACTTGAAATTTAGGTTTTCCTTTTGTAAAACGTAATTTCATACTCAGGGTTTGGGCAACAGCTTATGCAATTTGTGTGCTGACATCTGTTCATGTCCTGAAGATCATTGAATACCTTTGATTTAGGGCAAGTCAATTTGTAATGGGGGGGGGGGGGAGTGGGGGATTAATCTACTGGTAGAGGAAGCTGGTCAACCAAAATTTCTTGAGCCAGTTGGTTCCAACCCCAAATTATATTACTTGTGCATTTAGGTTGATTAAATTTGGCAATGATAAAGCACCTGTCAGTAAATGATATGATCATGAATTTCTATAGTTTCATGTTGACCAGGGTGTAGCAGTGACTCTTTCACATGTACTAACAAGAATTGCATTCTGAATTGTCAAACTTGTGACGGTTTCAATGATCGTGGTGACTTTTCTGATGAGGAGTATTGTCGTAAGCATACACATTTTTCTTCAGTTGACTTGTTCAATCTTGTGAATTTGAAATGGCATCATCCTTTCCAGGTCACAAGGTCCTTTTTTCAAGTTTGCAACATAGAATGCAGCAAAATTTTAAAAGTCTGGGTTTTTATATATTGACTACCAAAACAATTGTAAATCATTGCGACATTTATGTAGTTTATATATGCATATGCACTAGTGACTTTTAGTTCAACTGGCATTAACTGTATAAGTGCACTTTATTCCAGCAACCCCCCCAGCAAACTCGTCCTGCTTCGAGTGTGCATCTAACTATGAATGTGTGTATGATCCAAGCTGGGTTTGCGATGGTATCGATGATTGCGATAACAGAGAGGATGAATTGAACTGCATAGGTAAGATTAGAAATTGTTTAAAATCACAGTACTATTATGTAAATTGAATGTTGCATCACTCTTTTGCTCAGTTGACATGTTCAATCTTGTGAATTTGAAATGGCATCATCCATTTCAGTTCAGCTAGAAATATACGAATAAAAAACGGACTATAGCAAAACCTTTGTATATGACTATCTAAAATTATCAAAACTAAAAGCCTTCATCTGGGCCCTCCTTTATGAACCTTAATATTAACAATAAGAAAAGCTCAATTTCTACGACAAATTTGCTCTTTGCCAATCAAATGCGTTGATTTCAGTAGCTTTTAACAGTTATTGTAATTGATAACAATTTTAATGAAACAGGGCCCGGGTGTGGAGTAAAAAAAATGAATGTTTAAATATGAAGAATATATGATTTTTGGGTAAAACGATTAAATATTATGACCTTAATTGCATAAATTACCACAAATATGCAAACGTCAGCTTATTTCCATGCAATTTGCATTCAGAAAATTATAGCACAAAAGATAATTGCAAGCGAATGAAATACTTCATCACTGCACACACATGTGGGAAGGAAGCGTCTATAGATTTGAATACATTTGCTTGATAAACGACTTTGCATAGTAGGCCTATGATATCGAGCAAATGGCGATGCCTATTGTCCTTAGAAACTGTACATTATGCTAAGAATATCTTGGTTTATATACCTCTCACATACACTTTGATGGGGGTATCATGTAGATTAATGGGCAAGAATACAATAAATCTCTCAGAATAACTTAAGTTATTTTTTGGGGTGAGGTTTCCTTTAATCATTTTAACAGACAAAATTTATCATATTATTGTACATGGGTTTTCTTCTTTACGCTACTAAATTTTCAGCAGTGCACCTGACTCTAGGAGAAATGTGTTTGATCTCATCACCAAACTATCCTTCATTATTTCATATCTTAAACTTTAAACAAATATTTAAAAATAATTTTCTACATACTCTTAATTAATAGTGTTGAGAAAAGTATGTGTGTGCATATATGTGTGATTGTATATTTCTTTATTCATACTGATTAACAGGCAAAATTGAAATGAAACACATGCCTTTGCTTTATGTTTAAGCAAATAATGCAATATTCTTTTGTTTTCCTAGGTACTACTACGGTTAGTCCAACCAATGACACGATTTCAGGTATTACCATGATAACTACTCCATTGCTAAACATGTCTTTAAACACTGCACTCAATTATTTCATATATCTTTAGACAAACGTTTTTAAATAATTTTCTACATACTCTTATTTTAGTGTTGAAAAGAGTATGTGTGTGCAAATGTATGTAAGTGTGTGCTATTTTTATGTGCAAATACCCCATGTGTTACCTGTATTTTAAAACTATTTTATCTGACCTTCTTTGAACCTAAATGTGCATACCTTGTATTAAGCTACATTAAGGGTTGTTGTTGATTTTATTTAGACACGGTAAAAACACACTTTCAACCCCAAAGGCTGTTTTTCAGTATGTCCATTTGTATGGTAATACCCAAATGAATTTGAAGTCAAGATTACCATACACCGGAAAAAAACACAATACAATCATATGAGCAAAAATAATGTTGGACATTATGGCAAAGTGCAATTGCAGTAAATAAAAGTAAATGAAATTGATTTTTTTCAAGAATTTAAATCTATGACTTGAACCAATTTGATGATCTGCATGTCCTTTTTTTCATTTAAACAGACAAAATTTATCATCAAATTATTGTACTTGGTTTATTTCTTTACACTACTAAAGTTTCAGTGGTTAACCTGACTGTTGGAGAAACGCGGTCAATTTCATCACCAAACTATCCTAATGAGTATCCAAACAACGCCTATTATACTTGGTACATCACGGCTCCATCAAACTACTCGGTGCTCATCACATTCATAGCATTTAATCTGGAGAGTGGCTATGACCATCTGAGCATAGGGAATGGTCATACACCTGGGAACTTGGTGGTAAAAACTTTCTCAGGACAAGATATACCAGCGTCTTTGAGGTTTGTGTAAATGTATACATTATTTATATTTGTGCATTTTTAATGCACATGTACTTGCATTTTAACTTGAAGAAGCCATATGAACAAAATAGTGTTTCACCTATACATGTGTCTCTAAATTTGCGCATGTGTGTGTGTTTATGTAACTCAAATGTTCTGTTATGGTGGGTGTGACGTCTCATCCCAACAAATTTTGATATAAGTACCAGTACATTAGTTTTTGTTGTGTGTCAGTTTCTATATTAATGCAATTTTGTCATTTTGGTCGGTCCGTTGTCAGTCGGTTTGTCAGACTTTTGTAGGTCTTTTGTCATTGTGATAAGGATATTTCTCTATTAAAGAAAGTAGGTGATCTTGCTCTCAACAGCAACTCACTTTCTCCTGTGCTACAAACTGAAAACCTCTGAGACTCTGATGTTATCTGCCATGTCTCAGATATTTAAAACCATTTTTGCCTGTACGACAGATTATGAGTTGGTGCCAGGTGGTTCCTTCACACTGGAAAAGAAAAGAAAGAAACAATGAAATCATACTTTGGGTAGTCTCTCCCAATGACATCTGATGTGGTTTTGGACCTAACACTGCTCTATGAAACGACTAACTATAATAATATGCAAATCAGGATGGTTTACAGGCAAGCTACAGTTAGATGAGTTTTTGGGTGTTCTTGCAAATGCAAACAAAAATCGAAAGGATTGCTATGACTATAAAATGTTTTTTTTTTATGATACTACGTCATTGGTGATGAAGTGTGAAATAACAGTGTATAAAATCAGATAATATGTGTTGATATCATGAAAGGTGTTAAACAATTTTGTCTTGTTCTACAGATTGTACAGTTCTAATAGTTGGATGCGATTCACCAGTGACTATTCAGTCACGCATCAGGGGTTCCAACTGCAGCTAACAGTGATCGCTGGATCTTTAGGTATGTACACACATCTAGTTTTGGTTTTGGTTTAAAGCTCATCTGGCCCGATTGGTGCGATGAGCTAAACAGTATGCAATTGTATTTGGCGTCCATCATCCATCCACAATTTCTAAATGCTTCCTCTTCATAATTTCTCATCCAATTTGGATTCTGTTTGCTTTATGGATAGGGCTGGGTAGGGGGAGTGGAAACTTCTAAACAGAATTGTGAAATTTGTATTAATTGTGCTTATTCATGCAATATTTTGGTATGATTGTATTTGTATTATATATTTTGTATCTGTTGTGAATTGTTTATATACATGTACGTACCACCTGGAAAGAAAGTTTCTTCTTTCTTTGGAAGAAGACAATACAATTCTATTCTATTCTATTCTAAAAGCTTTAGTGTTAAAATACTCTATGTTTAAGGTCACAACACTCCTATTTTCAAGTTTGCAACATAGAATGTAGCAAAATTATTAAAGTCAGGGTTTGTATAAAATCATTAACTAACAAAACAATTGTAATTCATTGCAAAATGTTTGTACTTTATATTTTTGTATGCATGCACGAGGCAATGACTCTTTCACATGTACTAACAAGAATTACGTTCTGAATTCTCAAACTTGTGACGGTTTCAATGATTGTAATGACTTTTCTGATGAGGAGTATTGTCGTAAGGATACACATTTTTCTTCAGTTGACTTGTTCAATCTTGTGAATTTGAATTGGCATCATCCATTCCAAGTCACGAGGTCCTTTTTTCAAATTTGCAACATAGAATACCGCAAAGTTATAAAAGTCAGGGTTTGTATAAAATCATTAACTTACAAAACAATTGTAATTCATTGCGAAATGTATGTACTTTATATTTTTGCACCCCCCAGCAAACTCGTCCTGCTTCGAGTGTGCATCTAACTTTGAATGTGTGTATGATCCAAGCTGGGTTTGCGATGGTGACTATGATTGCTTTAACGGAAAGGATGAATTGAACTGCACAGGTAAGATTGCAATTGTTTAAAATCACAGTACTATTATGTTCATTGAATGCTGCATCACTCTCTTGCTCTAAGTGGCGACACTATTATGTAGAAGGTTACAGCTCACTTATTTTGAATGTTGCAACTCTCTTGTTTTAATGCTGCATCACACTTATGTTAAAGATAGCAAGATTCTTAGGTTGAATATTGCAACACTTTTTCTGTGAAAGATGGAAGATAGCAATATTCTTAGTTTGTAAAATTACTAAAATATAGCAGTTGACAAATTAATTTCATTTATGCTAACCCTTCACCCCACAAAAGCTTTACAGCTTATGCAATTTGCGTGCTGACAACTGTTCATGTCCTGAAGATCATTGAATACTTTTGATTTAGGGCAAGTCAATTTGTAATGGGGGGGGGGGGTGGGGGATTATTCTACTGGTAGAGGAAGCTGGTCAACCAAAATTTCTTGGGCCAGTTGGTTCTAACCCCAAATTATATTACTTGTGCATTTAGGTCGATTAAATTTTGGCAATGATAAAGCACTTGTCAGTAAATGATATGATCATGAATTTCTATAGTTTCATGTTGACCAGGGTGTAGCAATGACTCTTTCACATGTACTAACAAGAATTGCATTCTGAATTGTCAAACTTGTGACGGTTTCAATGATCGTGGTGACTTTTCTGATGAGGAGTATTGTTGTAAGCAAACACATTTTTCTTCAGTTGACTTGTTCAATCTTGTGAATTTGAAATGGCATCATCCTTTCCAGGTCACAAGGTCCTTTTTTCAAGTTTGCAACATAGAATGCAGCAAAATTTTAAAAGTCTGGGTTTTTATATATTGACTACCAAAACAATTGTAAATCATTGCGACATTTATGTACTTTATATTTTTGCATGCATATGCACTAGTGACTTTTAGTTCAACTGGCATTAACTGTATACGTGCACTTTATTCCAGCAACCCCCGCAGCAACCCCCGCAGCAAACTCGTCCTGCTTCGAGTGTGCATCTAACTATGAATGTGTGTATGATCCAAGCTGGGTTTGCGATGGTATCGATGATTGCGATAACAGAGAGGATGAATTGAACTGCATAGGTAAGATTAGAAATTGTTAAAAATCACAGTACTATTATGTAAATTGAATGTTGCATCACTCTTTTGCTCAATGTTGCAACACTGTTATGTAAAAGGTTACAGCTCACTTATTTTGAATGTTGCAACTCTCTTGTTTTAATGCTGCATCACACTTATGTTGAAGATGGCAATATTCTTAGTTTGTAAAATTACTAAAATATAGCAGTTGACAAATTAATTTCATTTAGGTTAACCCTTCACCCCACAAAAGCAACAGCTTATGCAATTTACGTGCTGACATCTGTTCATGTCCTGAAGATCATTGAATACTTTTGATTTAGGGCAAGTCAATTTGTAATGGGGGGGGGGGGTGGGGGATTAATCTACTGGTAGAGGAAGCTGGTCAACCAAAATTTCTTGGGCCAGTTGGTTCCAACCCCAAATTATATTACTTGTGCATTTAGGTTGATTAAATTTTGGCAATGATAAAGCACTTGTCAGTAAATAATATGATCATGAATTTCTATAGTTTCCTGTTGACCAGGGTGTAGCAGTGACTCTTTCACATGTACTAACAAGAATTGTTTCTGAATTGTCAAACTTGTGACGGTTTCAATGATCGTGGTGACTTTTCTGATGAGGAGTATTGTCGTAAGCAAACACATTTTTCTTCAGTTGACTTGTTCAATCTTGTGAATTTGAAATGGCATCATCCTTTCCAGGTCACAAGGTCCTTTTTTCAAGTTTGCAATATAGAATGCAGCAAAATTTTAAAAGTCTGGGTTTTTATATATTGACTACCAAAACAATTGTAAATCATTGCGACATTTATGTACTTTATATTTTTGCATGCATATGCACTAGTGACTTTTAGTTCAACTGGCATTAACTGTATAAGTTCACTTTATTCCAGCAACCCCCGCAGCAACCCCCGCAGCAAACTCGTCCTGCTTCGAGTGTGCATCTAACTATGAATGTGTGTATGATCCAAGCTGGGTTTGCGATGGTATCGATGATTGCGATAACAGAGAGGATGAATTGAACTGCATAGGTAAGATTAGAAATTGTTAAAAATCACAGTACTATTATGTAAATTGAATGTTGCATCACTCTTTTGCTCAATGTTGCAACACTGTTATGTAAAAGGTTACAGCTCACTTATTTTGAATGTTGCAACTCTCTTGTTTTAATGCTGCATCACACTTATGTTGAAGATGGCAATATTCTTAGTTTGTAAAATTACTAAAATATAGCAGTTGACAAATTAATTTCATTTAGGTTAACCCTTCACCCCACAAAAGCAACAGCTTATGCAATTTGCATGCTGACATCTGTTCATGTCCTGAAGATCATTGAATACTTTTGATTTAGGGCAAGTCAATTTGTAATGGGGGGGGGGGGGAAGGGTGGGGGATTATTCTACTGGTAGAGGAAGCTGGTCAACCAAAATTTCTTGGGCCAGTTGGTTCCAAGCCCAAATTATATTACTTGTGCATTTAGGTTGATTAAATTTTGGCAATGATAAAGCACCTGTCAGTAAATGATATGATCATGAATTTCTATAGTTTCATGTTGACCAGGGTGTAGCAGTGACTCTTTCACATGTACTAACAAGAATTGTTTCTGAATTGTCAAACTTGTGACGGTTTCAATGATCGTGGTGACTTTTCTGATGAGGAGTATTGTCGTAAGCAAACACATTTTTCTTCAGTTGACTTGTTCAATCTTGTGAATTTGAAATGGCATCATCCTTTCCAGGTCACAAGGTCCTTTTTTCAAGTTTGCAATATAGAATGCAGCAAAATTTTAAAAGTCTGGGTTTTTATATATTGACTACCAAAACAATTGTAAATCATTGCGACATTTATGTACTTTATATTTTTGCATGCATATGCACTAGTGACTTTTAGTTCAACTGGCATTAACTGTATAAGTTCACTTTATTCCAGCAACCCCCGCAGCAACCCCCGCAGCAAACTCGTCCTGCTTCGAGTGTGCATCTAACTATGAATGTGTGTATGATCCAAGCTGGGTTTGCGATGGTATCGATGATTGCGATAACAGAGAGGATGAATTGAACTGCATAGGTAAGATTAGAAATTGTTAAAAATCACAGTACTATTATGTAAATTGAATGTTGCATCACTCTTTTGCTCAATGTTGCAACACTGTTATGTAAAAGGTTACAGCTCACTTATTTTGAATGTTGCAACTCTCTTGTTTTAATGCTGCATCACACTTATGTTGAAGATGGCAATATTCTTAGTTTGTAAAATTACTAAAATATAGCAGTTGACAAATTAATTTCATTTAGGTTAACCCTTCACCCCACAAAAGCAACAGCTTATGCAATTTACGTGCTGACATCTGTTCATGTCCTGAAGATCATTGAATACTTTTGATTTAGGGCAAGTCAATTTGTAATGGGGGGGGGGGGGTGGGGGATTAATCTACTGGTAGAGGAAGCTGGTCAACCAAAATTTCTTGGGCCAGTTGGTTCCAACCCCAAATTATATTACTTGTGCATTTAGGTTGATTAAATTTTGGCAATGATAAAGCACTTGTCAGTAAATAATATGATCATGAATTTCTATAGTTTCATGTTGACCAGGGTGTAGCAGTGACTCTTTCACATGTACTAACAAGAATTGCATTCTGAATTGTCAAACTTGTGACGGTTTCAATGATCGTGGTGACTTTTCTGATGAGGAGTATTGTCGTAAGCATACACATTTTTCTTCAGTTGACTTGTTCAATCTTGTGAATTTGAAATGGCTTCATCCATTTCAGTTCAGCTAGAAATATACGAATAAAAACGGACTATAGCAAAACCTTTGTATAAGACTATCTAAAATTATCAAAACTGAAAGCTTTCATTTGGGCCCTTCTTCATGAACATTAATATTAACAATAAGAAAAGCTCAATTTTATAACAAATTTGCTCTTTGCCAATCAAATGCGTTGATTCAGTAGCTTATAACAGTTATTGTTATTTGTTATTGATAACAATTTTAATGAAACAGGGCCCAGGTGTGGAGTAAATGATGATTATGAATGAACTGCATCAGTTTAGTTGTTATTGAAGGCAAGGTCGTTATGGAGTGCAATTATTGTATGGAATTCCTTTGCAAATATCATTGTACTTTTGATGATGTCTTTGTGCTTAGAATTGATTAGGATATTCGATCTTATTTTACTCTTTGAAAATGAATATTTTACTAGAATTTCCAAGGATCTTTCATCCTGCTTTTGTATAGCTTTTGTATCTCAACTCCCTGGGGAGCGTTCCAGCCAGGCATCATTTTACAGACGCTCAAAATGCTGAGCATACTTCATTAACTTTCGCATCCTACCGGGTACCCATTTAACGACTGGGTGGAGTGTGGGAAATTTAGATTAACGTCTTGCCAAAGGACGTTTATGCTGGGCTGGGATTTGAACCCCATACCTTGTGATCTGCGGTTCGATGACTTATCCACTAGACCACAACACCTCTACTACCTTTCTTAACCCTATATAGCCCGGGGGTTGGGGCTTTAGAAGCCCCCCCTCTACATTTTTCGCAATCATTTTTTAGTGCGAAAAACTCTTGCGCTGAAATTTTATGATTTTTTTCTTCTTCCGGGTCTTGAGCATCTTTTGAAATGAATTTTTCGAAAATCAAACCTCCTGTTACAAAGTCAGCCCCAAAATCACTCATTTTTGTGATTTGTGTAAAAACAAAAGAGATAAAACATTGGTTATTCGGTCTTGTTTATAATTTACCGGTAGGTGTTTGTTTTGGGGGTCAAAATAGTTGAATTATAGTTAAAAATGAAATAAAACAACAAAAACAATAAAATACATGAGTTAAAAAAACAAAGAAAACTAGAAATTTAATGCGTCATGGGGAGGAATTAGGTGGTCTGTCTTCAATTCTAATGATCATTGAAAGGTCAAAAAGAAAAAAAAGTGAAGAACAAAAATTGTTGGAGACGCCCGGACTCGAACCAGGGACCTTGAGGTCGGAAGTCAAGTGCGTTACCGATATACCAAAACGTTTCCCATAGCGATTACACGTAAACGGAAAATGAAATTCTCAAATCATACGTTGCAAGTGAAATATGAGCATGATCCCGGCATCTGATCGAGAAATAAATGGCACACTTATTGTCTCAGCTACAACATACTCGAAGCTCAGCAAGAACGAAGCAAAAACGACGGAGATATTGCTCGTGAAAGACGGGAATGTAGAATCCAGTTTTGAGAAAAAGTCATGCCCCATAGAGAATACACGCAAAATGTGAAAAATTGACATGCCTCCTTTAATCGCAAAAATACGCTATGATACTTTCGTCAAAATGAAAATTCGTGAATACTGCATTTGTAGAGAATTGTCTCAGCTAAAACATCAAAAATCGGAATTAAATTGATCAATATTTACAGAGATACAATCAATTTTCCAAAAATATGCTGACGTCATAATATGCATATTGAAATTTTGAGTTCGGAGGCCATTATGATGACGTCATGAGTTCATTAAGGGTCAAATGAGACATGAAATCATATCTCCAATTCATACTCTATCAAAATATGGAGAAAAAAATTGGGTTCACCTTGCATCCTAAAGCGCTACAATGGATTTTGTATAGGCATGTTTTTGCCCATGTATGCTAGGTATTACAAGAGCTCGCACGCACGGAAATTATCTTAAACAGACGCTCATTACCTTATTAATGTGCAGAAAAAGATGAACAGGGTATCAAAATGCTTGGAAAAATGTGCCGAATATGATGACAGAGAAAATCTGGCTATTCTATGTTGAAAAATACCAGTACGCTTGAAAACGCGCACGCATGCGTGCGTGCGCGTTTTTTTTGCAAAATGCTTAAAATGGCCTGAAACATATGCAAAATAAATTTGAGACGATTTGGAGCATTTTTATTTTTTGCGCACGCTTACGCGCGGACGTACACATGCGGGTGGTTCTTTGACCTGAAATTGACCGGACGGATATTGACCTTGATCATGATAAATATGAATAAGGAATGCCTTTCCGTTATGAATATATGATGATGAGTTGAAAGAACAAAAAAAAAAAAAAATGGCGCCTGGATGACGTCATAAAGACTTGATGTCTTTGAACATGTTCCTGTCATGTCTTATGGCAATGACCTATGACTGTGCCAAAATTGAACGAAATTGACTGAACCGATCTTGAGTTATCATCGGAACAAAAAAGTGTGGAGAAATAAAAAATAAATAATAATAATAAGAATAATAAGAAAGAAAATTCTGACGAAAACAATAGGTGATCTGTCGTAAACGACAGACCACCTAATTATCAAAGCAATAGATAACATACGGACTAACCTGGCTATTTCAAATTTGTTTGCTTTATTATTATTCCAAATGAGTATATGTAGTAAAAATGAATGTTTAAATATGAAGAATATATGATTTTGGGGTAAAAAGTTAAATATTATGACCTTAATTGCATAAATTACCATAAATGCAAACATCAGCTTATTTTCATGCAATTTGCATTCAGACAATTATTGCCAAAAGATAATAGCAAGTGAATGAAATACTTCATCACTGCACACACACGTGGGAAGAAAGCGCCTATAGATTTGAATACATTTGCTTGATAAACGACTTTGCATAGTAGGCCTATGATATCGAGCAAATGGCGATGCCTATGTTGTCCTGAGAAACTGTACATTATGCTAAGAATATCTTGTTTTATATACATCTCACATACGCTTTGGTAGGGTATCGTGTAGATTAATTGGGCAAGATTACAATAAAATCTCTCAGAATAACTTAAGTTATTTTTAGGGGTGAGGTTTCCTTTAATCATCTTAACAGACAAAATTTATCATATTATTGTACATGGGTTTTTTTCTTTACACTACTAAATTTTCAGCAGCGCACTTGACTCTAGGAGAAATGTTTTTTATCTCATCACCAAACTATCCTTCATTATTTCATATCTTAAACTTTAAACAAATATTTAAAAATAATTTTCTACATACTCTTAATGAATAGTGTTGAGAAAAGTATGTGTGTGCATATATGTGTGATTGTATATTTCTTTATTCATACTGATTAACAGGCAAAAGTGAAATGAAACACATGCGTTTGCTTTATGTTTAAGCAAATAATGCAATATTCTTTTGTTTTCCTAGGTACTACTACGGTTAGTCCAACCAACGACCCAAGTTCAGGTATTACCATTATAACTACTCCATTGGTAAACACGTCTTTAAACACTGCACTCAATTATTTCATATATCTTTAGACAAACGTTTTTAAATAATTTTCTACATACTCTTATTTTAGTGTTGAGAAGAGTACACGTGTGTGCATGTATGTAAGCGTGTGCTATTTTTATGTGCAAATACCCCATGTGTCACCTGTATTTTATAACTATTTTATCTGACCTTCTTTGAACCTAAATGTGCATACCTTATATTAAGCTACATTAAGGGTTGTTGTTGATTTTATTTAGACACAGTAAAAACACACTTTCAGCCCCAAAGGCTGTTTTTCAGTATATCCGTTTGTATGGTAATACCCAAATGAATTTGACGTCAAGATTACCATACACCAGAAAAAATACAATACAATCATATGAGCAAAAATAATGTTGGACATTATGGCAAAGTGCAATTGCAGTAAATAAAAGAAAATGAAATAGATTTTTTTTCAAGAATTTAAATCTATGACTTGAACCAATTTGATGATCTGCATGTCCTTTTTTTCATTTAAACAGACAAAATTTATCATCAAATTATTGTACTTGGTTTATTTCTTACACTACTAAAGTTTCAGCTGTTAACCTGACTGTTGGAGAAACGCTGTCAATTTCATCACCAAACTATCCTCATGAGTATCCAAACAACGCCTATTATACTTGGTACATCACAGCTCCATCAAACTACTCTGTGATCATCACATTCATAGCATTTGATCTGGAATCTTGCTGTGACCATCTGAGCATAGGGAATGGTCATACGCCTGGCAACTTGGTGGTAAAAACTTTCTCAGGACAAGATATACCAGCGTCTTTGAGGTTTGTGTAAATGTATACATTATTTATATTTGTGCATTTTTAATGCACATGCACTTGCATTTTAACTTGAAGAAGCCATATGAACAAAATAGTGTTTCACCTATACATGTGTCTCTAAATTTGCGCATGTGTGTGTGTTCATGTAACTCAAATGTTCTGTTATGGTGGGTGTGACGTCTCATCCCAACAAATTTTGATATAAGTACCAGTACATTAGTTTTTGTTGTGTGTCAGTTTCTATATTAATGCAATTTTGTCATTTTGGTCGGTCCGTTGTCAGTCGGTCTGTCAGACTTTTGTAGGTCTTTTGTCATTGTGATAAGGATATTTCTCTATTAAAGAAAGTAGGTGATCTTGCTCTCAACAGCAACTCACTTTCTCCTGTGCTACAAACTGAAAACCTCTGAGACTCTGATGTTATCTGCCATGTCTCAGATATTTAAAACCATTTTTGCCTGTACGACAGATTATGAGTTGGTGCCAGGTGGTTCCTTCACACTGGAAAAGAAAAGAAAGAAACGATGAAATCATACTTTGGGTAGTCTCTCCCAATGACATCTGATGTGGTTTTGGACACTGCTCTATGAAACGACTAACTATAATAATATGCAAATCAGGATGGTTTACAGCCAAGCTACAGTTAGATTAGTTTTGGGGTGTTCTTGCAAATGCAAACAAAAATCGAAAGGATTGCTATGACTATGAAATGTTTGTTTTTTGATGATACTACATCATTGGTGCTGAAGTGTGAAATAACAGTGTATCCAGAACATAGTGAATAATCAGATAGTATGTATTAATATCAGAAAAAGTATTGACACAATTTTGTCTTGTTCTACAGATTGTACAGTTCTAACAGTTGGATGCGATTCACCAGTGACGGTTCAGTCAAGCGTCAGGGGTTCCAGCTGCAGCTAACAGTGATCCCTGGATCTTTAGGTATGTACACACATCTAGTTTTGGTTTTGGTTTAAAGCTCATCTGGCCCGATTGGTGCGATGAGCTAAACAGTATGCAGTTGCATTTGGCATCCATCATCCATCCACAATTTCTAAATGCTTCCTCTTCATAATTTCTCATCCGATTTGGAGTCTGTTTGCTTTATGGATAGGGCTGGGTAGGGGGAGTGGAAACTTCTACACAGAATTGTGAAATTTGTATTAATAAAGTCACAATGAATGAGATCCGCAGAAATTTTTCATATAATTTTGAAAGTTTGCTTTAAAATTGCCCCCCCCCCCCAAAAAAAAAAAAAAATGCAAGAAATTACAAGAAAAACCTTCTTCTCCATAATTCATTGACCAGTTTTGATTTTGCCTGTTTTCTCTAATAGAGCTAAGTTACATACACAAAAATTCTACACAAAATGTTGAAATATTGACTCAAACATCAATTATATTTTTTGCTATTACAGCAGAACCTAGCATAACGCTAAAAAACAGCAGAACAGGGATAGAATGACGCTAAAATGCAGCGGAACATAGAATTATGCTGAAATACAGCAAAACGTAGAATGACGCTGATATACAGCAAAACATATAATGAGGCTAAAATACAGCAGAAAATAGAATGATGCTGAAATACAGCGGAACATAAAATGATGCTTAAAAATACAGCAGAAAATAGAATGATGCTAAAATACAGCAGAACCTAGAATTATGCCAAAATACAGCAGAACCTAGAATTACGCTAAAAAACAGCAGAACCTAGATTTATGCTGAAATACATGTACAGCATGAAGTAGAATTATGCCAAAATACAGCAGAACCTAAAATTACGCTAAAAAACAGCAGAACCTAGAATTATGCTGAAATACAGCAGGAAGTAGAATTAGGGTGAAATGCAGCAGAACATAGAATGACCAAACAAATTAAGAGAACACAGAATTGCGCTAAAATACAGCAGAACATAAAATTAAACTAAAATATGTAGGATATGATATTTTAGTGTAATATGTAGGGGAACCCTGTGTCTGCTCTCCTAATATTTCACTTGAAATCAACAAGATTTGTTACCGTTATATTGTACTCCCTTTATGCTTGATGTCATTTAATTTCTTATATATATATATATATATATATATATATAACTAGATTAAAGATACTATGTCCCTTTTGCAGCCAACATCACATTATGTAGAACGTTGCAGGAATTTTGAATATGTCATGAATGTCCTATCTGTGAAATTTAAATGTTAGCAGTGTCCTAGTATTCAAATTATGCAAGGAAACCCATTTACTTTCTAGACTTCCCTGTCAGACACTATTGAGTGACTGACTGACATCTTCTTTTTCTTTGGTAATAATTACATACATAAAATGAGCTGTAATATGGTAGGTACATTTGTCTACATCAATAACCCACTACTTGTAATGGCCAAAATCAAACTGATTGAATGTTTGTGCAGCACCAAACGTAAGACCATTCGGTACAAGGGTCTGAAAATCAGACTATTACCTAGGTGATTGCAATCACTTATGTGGATTCAACAACTAATGGTCTTTATTTTCCTAAAAAAAGCCATTTTCAAACCCTTTCGTTTTGAGGGTAGTTCTAAATAAGAATTGTCTTTCAAATGCCGTTGGAATCAAACATTTAAAAAAAAAATTGTTTGACCTGCAAATGGGACATAGAACCTGTAAAGTGTGCCAAAGGTTTTGTCAAAATTTGGGTAAGAACAATGTCATTTTGACATTGCAAAAAACAAAGGTTCTAATGTCTGCCCACTCATTCACTGTACATTCAGTTCGTAATTTCGACATAAAAATCTGTCAAGGCTTGTGGATAAAAGTACTAAATCGGATATATCTCATTACTCTAGCCACACATTTATTCAAAGAAGTGTTTTGGGTGGTCTTTTAACATTAACTGTTTATGTCCGTTGGGCCGTTCAATACTTTGGATTGAGGGCAAGTCGATTAGATATTACATCTGCATTTAGGTTGATTCAATTTTTATCAGTAGTTGATTTGTTTATGAGTTTCTATAATTTCATGTTGACCAGGGTGCGGCAATGACTCTTTCACATGTATCAACAACCATTGCATTCTGAATTCTCAAACTTGTGATGGTTACAATGATTGTGGTGACTTTTCTGATGAGGAGTATTGTCGTAAGCATAACACATTATTCTTCAGTTGACTTGTATAATCATGTGAATTTGAAAGGGCATCATCCGTTCCAATTGGCGAGAAATAACTATAACAGACTATATCAAAACCTAAATCTAAAATAATCTAAAATTATAAAAACTGAAAGCTTTCAACTGTATCAACACCTTGGTCCTGTTTCATAAAACTTGTTATTAATAACAAGTAACAATAACTGTTACAAGCTACTGAAATCGTGGCATTTGATTGGCAGAAAGCAAAATTGGCATAGAAATTTAGCTTTTATTATTGTTAACAAGATTTATAAAACAGGGCCCAGGTGTTGAGTTAATGATACTTATTAATGTACCCACCACTAAGATGTTATTGAAGGCAAAGTTGTATAGATCACAACAATTGTATTGAATTCCTTTGCAATTACCATTGTACTTTTGATGATGTCTTTATGCTTAGAATAGAATACAACACAACACCTCTACTACCTTCCATTAAGGCATCGGGTAACATTGTTAAATCTGAGAGGCATGGTCCTATGTGTTATCAGTGTCTGTGATATGGTGTAATAATGATGTCCTGAAAAAATTACGCTTCAAAATGATCATGGAGTGCCTCAAAAAAGTAAAAATCTTTGAGTGACCGGTTTTGGTAACCCGACACATGCTCCGCCGACATTTACTCCGCAAAACGCGACAATTGCTCTGCGACATTTGCTTCGACGTCAAATGCTCCGCCGACAGTTGCTCCGCCGACAGTTGCTCCGCCGACAATTGCTCCGCCGACAGATGCTCCGCCGACAATTGCTCCGCCGACAATTGCTCCGCCTGAAGTGACAATTGCTCCGCCGACATTTGCTCCGACGACATTTGCTCCGCCCAAAAAGTGTCCCATAAACTACAAATGCTACTAGTACTACGACAAATGCTTCGCCGACAATATTTTCTTTACACCTATTTTTTTCGTTTCTTTTTTTCTTCTTCATTTTCTGAATGCATTTCTTGAAATAATGTAGATGAAATGAAATGAATGAATGTTGATGAAGTGGGAGGAAAAAAGGAGTTACCTAAAAGTCATTTCGAATATACTGAAATAACTTTCCATCTATCACTGTACTTCCCATATAATGTATACTAAACACTCATTACATGTCGTGGGAAGTTTTTAAAAAAAAGTAGAGCAGCAAGCCACATTCCCCAATACGTGCATACCTCCTAGTTAATTTCAAGTAGCTCATCAATATGTAATACCTGAAATTACCTCGATCAATGCATCTTACTAGGTAAAGCATTATACAGTGTACTAGGTCATCATGGAAGTTTAGAAAATAAGGGCACTTATATACGTAAGGAAGAGAACCCATTCAGACGGGAAAAATGAGATGGCAGCCTTTCTGCTTATTCACATTTATACAAATCATTTTGTTGCAGTTTGATGTTAGTTCTTCATGATAAGCCAATTGCTCTTCTTCCGGTGGCCTCGTGAGTCCCTTAAATTATTCAGTGAAAACAAAGTACTCGAATGAAACGGAGTGTTTTACACACTAACATATATATATATATATATATTAAAGCTACATACACTTAACTAAAGGAAAGAAACCTTTAGAAAATGGACTGGATATTATTGAAAATATTATTCTAAACAAGAATGTACTACATGATTGTATTACTTTACGTTTCAATTTCACGAGAGAAATAGAACTCGAGAGGGGAGCAGAGAAGAAGTGATGGAAATGAAAGAAGACTAATAGCATGAGAGGAAAGAAAAGAGCAAAGAAGACAAGAAAACGGTGTAAACAGGAAAAGGAGGAGCATGGGAGAGAGAGAGAAAGAGAGAGAGAGAGATAGCCTTGAGCTTTGGATCAGCTAATGAGTAATACATGAAACAGATTTTGAGCGGAGTAATTATCTTTCGCCGGAGAACTTGCGTAAGGAGCTATAACTTTATTTTTTATTTTTTTAAATCAAACATTATGGGGAATAGCAAAAAAACGGTTGTCTTCTTTGCTCTTTTCTTTCCTCTTTTCTTTCCTCTCATGTTATTAGTCTTCTTTCATTGAGGTAATTTCAGGTATTACATATTGATGAGCTGTTTGAAATTAACTAGGAGGTATGCGCGTATTGGGGAATGTGGCTTGCTGCTCTACTTTAAAAAAAAAACTTCCCATGACATGTAATGAGTGTTTAGTGTACATTATGTGGGACGTACAGTGATAGATGGAAAGTTATTTCAGTATATTCGAAATGACTTTTAGGCAACTGCTTTTTCCTCCCACACATCAACATTCATTCATTTCATTTCATTTACATAATTTCATGAAATGCATTCAGAAAATGAAGAAAAAAAAAAAAAAAAAAACAACCCGTGAAAAAAAAATATTGTCGGCGAAGCATTTGTCGTAGTACTAGTAGCATTTGTATTTAATGGGACACTTTTTGGGCGGAGCAAATGTCGTCGGAGCAAATGTCACCGGAGCAATCGTCGGCGGAGCATGTGTCATGGAACCCCGGTTTTACCACACTCATTTTCCCCAATAGACTGTAGTGTTATGAAAACCGTTAGGCAAACACAAAATTTGATTCCGATTTCCAATCATAAATATCTTGATAATGAGACAGGCGATCGGCTTGTAAAAGTCATGGGGTTCCTGACTGACCTATTTATAATTATCATTGCAGCATGAGCTAAATCCAGGATTTTGTTTCAGAATCTGAGACAAAGTTACCCAATCCCTTAATATTATTCAAATCGAAAAATAATCTACTACGATCTTAATCATGTTAAAATGTTGACTATTTCACCTACCCGGTATAAGTGATTTTCCATTTATGTAGAATGCTGTAATGTAGTGGAATGTGCTATTGTGTACCATGTGAATGATTTCTTAGAGACGACCAAAATGTATGACAGATCTACCTATGAATGGTTATTTTCTGCTTAGTTAGACCTGTCAGACTCTTCATCATGTATTCTACTCAAATTTAAACCAACAAGGGATTCATCTTAACTTGAGATTTAGGTTTTCCTTTTGTAAAACGTAATTTCATACTCAGGGTTTGGGGTTTGGTTTACTGAATTAGTAAAACACGAACCTACATGTACATGCATATACACATACTGTTCATGTTAATTTTCCCCTTCTTATTATATGATATTTTCTGTTTATCAAACAGCACCCTGTGTTCCTCTAGAGAATATAGGTGAATGTGGACAATTACCGTATGACAGAACATACTTCTCGAATCAGTATTCTCCAAATTCTCCTCAGGCAGTTCTTTCTTACAATTTTGTGAGTAGCTCCAGTGTGTTTATATCTTATTTCATTCTCTGGATTACACATAAATATTTCTTTACACTCGATAACTAATGTGCTGTAGTAAAGCAATTTTTTTCAGAAAGAAATTTATGAAGGATGTTATCAGTATTATTACAAAGGAGAAACTTGTATCATAACGTCCATGCCAAAAGTGTCCATATAGATTTCCTTCATACAAAAAAGTTGCTTTATGAGATGAACTAAATTTTATACAGGCCAAAACGATTGCATTGAACATACAAAATATATAACAGTAGCAATAAGAGGGACTGCAGTGATGCTAGTTGCACAGTTTGTGTCGAACCTCTTTCTTATAATATTGAGTTGTAGTACCTTTACATTGGGAAACCCTATTTCATTTCATCCATCCTGCATTCATATTGAAAAGGCAATGTTTTGTTTTCTTCTCTGCTGTTTGGGTCCATGTATTTTTGTTGTATACCTTGCCAATTAAATATTTGTATTTTGAATTACACTGTGCCATGAGCCTGGGTTGAAAGGGAAGTCCACCCTGATATTAAGTTGGTTTTAATAGAAGCAAGAACATGAGAGAAACACGTCAGTGAAAGTTTGTGCAAAAACCAATTAAAAATAACAGAGTTTTTTATTTTTGAAGGTGCTATCAATCAAACATAAATTGGTAACCCTGTGACGTATCTTTTGAGCTCTCCTCCCATTTGCCCTGTACTAAAAAACTTTCAAAAATTATATTTTCCCTGAAGAAAATTGTCAATCATACATTCACTCTAGATATAGTTATTGCTAATATGTTGTATGGCAACCCATGTAAGAAACAAATGTATGCCGTCATCAATAACTAATACCCCATTCACAGTGGCCTCAAACACCGCGACAGCAGCAGGACTGTCCCGCTGCTGTCGCGGTGTTGTCTTCAGTGTGAAGGCTCGGACCCGTTATAAACTATCGCGGGATAACACCGCCTCGCGATAACGCCGCGACAAACTATCGCTAGGTTCGCCTAGCTACAGCAGCGGGACAGTCCCGCTGCTGTCACGGTGTTTACTCAGTGTGAAGGCTCTCCGCTCTAACACCGCGACAAACACGTGTGATTTGTTTACTTACCTATCACTGACGTCTTTTCTCCAGCAATGGGGAACATAAAGCGAAATAGAAATAAAGTAACCAGTGGATTCAAATTGATTTTATTATAATGTAGATATTATAATTATCCAAATAAAAATATTTCACACTTCAAAAAATTAAAATATTCTGACTGGAAGCAATAAAAATGCTAGTTTTTTAAAAAGTAATATGATCGAGGATACAAAAAGCAACTATATCGGGGTCACTCGCGGGTCATGAGCCATGCATACACGTGTTTGTTACGGAGGTAATAAAAATCACCCGCTGCAGCGTGAATGGGTACATGATATTTATCCCGCTGCTGCAGCGGGATAACTTTTCTACTGTGAATGCATTTGTAGCGGTGTTATGGCGGTGTTTGCTCCGCTACAACGCCGCTACAAATTTCAAAACCACTGTGAATGGGGTATAAGAAAAAAAATGAAACTTTATGAAACTTTCTGTGCTAAGCAAAGTGGACAGGAGGTCTCAAGATACATCACATAACTGCCAATTCGTGTTTGATTTATCGCAACTTCAAAATTCAAAACATTTCTTTAATATTTTTAATCAAATGTTTCTCAAACTCTCTCTTTCTGATCTGTTTCTCTCATTTTTCTGCTTCTATACCAAACCAACTTAATATCAGGGTAGACTTCCCCTTTAAATGTTTAAATCTTTTATCACATTCCTACAACTATTATTTTGAATGAAGATTATACACAGTTTACAAGGTTGTCATCCCAGAGCCATCGACCTTGCATGCAACTTACTGTTTCCTGAATGCATCCATCAAGGACCTACAAATCGCCCATGCTACTCAGATTGTGTGAATATTACAGCACACTGTAGAGACCTCTTTGAGCAGCACTCAAACATGTCTTGGCCTGTGAACTGCAAAGACTTTACAGATAAAGGGAGAACACCTGATGGTTACTGCCAGGGAGCCACAGGAGGTAGGGATGATACAACATTTCATTTCATTTCATTTATTGGTTCAACCATTTTTTTAAAACAACATTCAGAAATACAAACAATGTTTGAAGGACATATACAAAACATGTTGGACATACAAAGTAAAAATGGTTAGGGAACCTGAGAGAAGCTTAACCCTATTTAGCCCGGGCTATTTTGAAACTGCATAGCCCAGGGGGGGGGGGTGGGCTTCTAAGGCCCCCCCCCCCCCCCCCCCCCCCTATGATCTCGGCCCTGAAACGCCCGATCGTCGCGAAAATTTGCATACATGTCAAGTGAAGTGTTAAGCATTCTTTCTCACTACATATATTTGTTCGACCATTTGGAATAATAATACAACACAAAAATTGAAAAACCAGGGTTATTCCTTATGTTATTTATTGTTTTGATAATTTCTTATGTATTTCCTTGTTTTTTTAACTTATGTATTTTATTGTTTTTGTTGTTTTATTTCATTTCCAACTATAATTTAACTATTTTGACCCCAAAATAAACACCTAAACTAAACTATAAACAAGACCAAATAACCAATGTTTTATCTCTTTATTTGAAAAATGAGATTTCCATATGTTTTGTAGACAAATCACAAAAATGAGCGATTTTCGGGCTGACATGCAAAGACAAAAGGACACGTGACTTTGTAATGGTAGGTCCAATTTTGGAAAAATTTCTTTCAAAAGATGCGCAAGACTCAAAAGAAAAAAGTCACAAAATTTCAGTGCAAGATTTTCTTGCATCAAAAAATTATCGCGAAAAATGTCGAGGGGGGGGGCTTCTAAAGCCCCCCCCCCCCGGGCTAAATAGGGTTAAGCTTGTAAGTGGGGTTCCCTGTACAATAAACAGGTAAAATTGTATAACAAAAACCAGATAATAAACTAAGACAAAACTAAACCATGGCACCCGTCGGCATTCACTGGCTATTTTGTTACGCCGCAATAGCCGGCAGCAACTGCTCTGGGCGTTATTTCTTCAAAGATGTAGGGTTAGGGTTGAAATTGGGATTTTAGGTCAGGGTCGAGGCTATGATTAGTATAGTGTTGGGTATAGTTTTGAAATCAGGAACTCTTTTAGTTTTATAGACAATAACCATAGAGCAATTATCGCAGAAGCATGTATTGAACAACTGCAGTTAATGTACACTTTAATACTATAGAAGGAGTTCCTAGTTGATGGCCCTGAATTTGATAATTTAATATGGTGTCATCTTGTGTAGCACTCATGTTCATCATGCTGTGACGACCCTAGCGCTCCAACTGGTCCAGCGGTTACTTCAAATTGGTATCCTAGCTTGTCATAGATATTGCATGATTAGTTCATCAGTAATAGAAAGCCAAATCTAAATCAGGAAATGTTGAATTCTGCTCTTTAATTCACACCTTGTCTCTCCCTCTCTCGTTCTCACTCTTTCCTTGTCTTTTTCTCTTCCTGTTCGTTTCTCCCATCACTATCTATCTTTCTTAATATTGAAATTCCCACTTTTCTCTCTTTCAACCCATCCCGTCTCCAAACATATAAAATACATTCCTATTATACATATTTAATCGTTTATCATTATTCATTGCATGTTGCTGTCTTCCTTTTACTAATTTGGCACATTGTAGTTGAGTTTTTATGCACATTTTGTCTAATTTTGTCTTTTAATCAAATTGTATTATTTTTTTATGGTGATTTATATAAATACATACAGGTGAATTAAACGGGTACCTCCTTGAAATGCTAGAGCGCCGTATGACAGCCGTGCTAAAGCCAGGGTAATAATCGGGAGCGCCAGGAGGGTCAAATCTGACTGACATGAGCGCTATACAAGAACCCACTATTATTATTATTATTATTATTATACTACCAACTTTAAACCATTGTACTTTTCGATATTAGATAAGTGTTTCTTCAGTTTTGTAATTTTTTTTGCATGACTCCCTTAATACTGGTATAGACCCTATAAAAAATTCATATATCTTTCTTTACAATTTATTTCTATGTTAGACCTGTTCAAAACTGACATCTGTGGTACAAGACCAGCATATAGACAGAAATTTGCCGAAATAGTAGGTGGCGTGGATGCAAATGAAGGCGAATTTCCCTGGATGGTATATTTGAAAGATAACGGATCCGGTTTCTGCGGAGGTACTCTAATCTCTTCCGAATGGGTAGTGACAGCAGCTCACTGTGTGTAAGTTGGACCTTTGCACTTGTTTTCATAAAGCACACCGTACCAGTTACAAGGTAACCAATCAAAGGGCGTACAGCATTATTACCCTGGTCAGTGGATTGATTCTGCGATTTACAGTGCACACTCTTTACTCCCTTTGGAGCATTCCAGTAGGTAACTTTTACAGGCTTGCACATGCTAATCTATTAAAACACAGTTATGTTTGCATCCCACTGGGTATCCATCTAACACTTGGATGAAGAGCAGCAATGTAGAGAAAATGCCTCGCTGAAGGACATAGTACCATGCTGGGCCTAAAACCCAGGACCTTTGTATCCCCATTCAAATGTTTAAAATACATATATGACTCCTATTTCATTCAATAATGATTTTTCAATGTTTGCTGTAGAGGTCTAAAGCAGGTTCCTGCAAAATCACAGCAATACTATATTTCCCATCCATCATTTGGTCGTGGGCAACTTCAATAGCCCCTTTTCTTGAAGGAATATTCTATATAGAATAAGAAGCTCATGCAATAATTGGTTTGGTATTATTTCCTTAATAACATATTTTAGAAATAGAAAGTATAAAGTGTCTTCATATCACTGGGAGGCTCTAAACAGTATTACAACTGGTGATTGGATGTCCCCTCCTAGATTTGATAATCATAATTGCTGTATTATTAATTTACGGCTCAAAAAGTATGTAGAAAGAGCATAAATATTGTAATATACCAGGTAAACAATTTTACAAAATGGAGATATTGTTTTATTTTCATTTCATGAGGAACATACATGTATGGATTGAAGAAAGTTTGGCAGTCTATTATCTTTTGCTTGATAATACAGAACTATCACTTCCGAAACACATCAAATGTTTATCCTTTATACAGGCGCGGATCCAGGATTTTCCAATAGGGGGGGGCCGGAAATTTGAAAATTGCGCAGACCTTTTTTTAAAACTCAACATATCAATACTTACAAGGTCATATTAGAAGCACCATACCGGTACAATTTTTGTCGTTTCAATCGGGGGGGGGGGGCTATAGCCTCTTGCCCGAAAAAGTAATTTTCTGGTTTCACAATTCGGCTAGTGAGCGAAGTGATCGAGCAAAAATTTGAGCATAATATGTACATGTATATTACGAAAGTGTTATTTATCACGAAAATAAACGAGAGCTCGCTGTCCCCCCCCCCCCCACCCCATTACGCGCGAAGCGCAGAAGCTGTGATGTTTCATGAAATTATTAGAGGAGAGGATTCGTTGAACCATTCTCGACTCTAAATCATTGTTTGAATTTATTTCGTCCCCCCCCCCCTCTCGCGCGAAGCGCAGAAACTTTGACCTTTCATAGTTTAATAAAATTATTAGAGAAAGAATTAGAAGATTCGTTGTTCCATTCTCGACTCTAACTTCTTGTTTGAATTTAGTTCGTCCCCCCCCCTCTCGCGCAAAGCGCGGAAGCTTTGACCTTTCATTAATTATTAGAGAAAGAAGAAGATTTGTTGTACCATTCTCGACTCTTCTTCTTTGTCTGAATTCAGTTCCCCTCCCCCTCCGCGCGAAGCTCGGAAACTTTGACCTTCCATAGTATTGAAATTATTAGAGAAAGAATTAGAAGATTCGTTGTTCCATTCTCGACTCCAAATCCTTGTTTGAATTTAGTACGTCATCCCCCCCCCTCGCGCGAAGCGCAGAAGCTTTGACCTTTCATTAATTATTAGGGAAAGAAGAAGATTTGTTGTACCATTCTCGACTCTTATTTCTTGTCTGAATTCAGTTCCCCTCCCCCTCCCGCGCAAAGCGCGGAAACTTTGACCTTTCATAGTTTAATGAAATTATTAGAGAAAGAACTAGAAGATTCGTTGTTCCATTCTCGACTCTAAATCCTTGTTTGAATTTAGTTCGCCCTCCCCCCTCTCGCGCGAAGCGCGGAAGCTTTGACCTTTCATTAATTATTAGAGAAAGAAGAAGATTTGTTGTACCATTCTCGACTCTTATTCTTTGTCTGAATTCAGTTCCCCTCCCCCTCCGCGCGAAGCTCGGAAACTTTGACCTTCCATAGTATTGAAATTATTAGAGAAAGAATTAGAAGATTCGTTGTTCCATTCTCGACTCCAAATCCTTGTTTGAATTTAGTCCGTCATCCCCCCCCCCCCCCCCTCTCGCGCGAAGCGCGGAAGCTTTGACCTTTCATTAATTATTAGGGAAAGAAGAAGATTTGTTGTACCATTCTCGACTCTAACTTCTTGTTTGAATTTAGTTCGTCCCCCCCCCCTCTCGCGCAAAGCGCGGAAGCTATGACCTTTCATTAATTATAAGAGAAAGAAGAAGATTTGTTGTACCATTCTCGACTCTTATTCCTTGTCTGAATTCAGTTCCCCTCCCCATCCCGCGCGAAGCGCGGAAACTTTGACCTTTCATAGTTTAATGAAATTATTATTAGAGAAAGAATTAGAAGATTCGTTGTTCCATTCTAGACTCTAAATCCTTGTTTGAATTTAGTTCACCCTCCCCCCTCTCGCGCGAAGCGCGGAAGCTTTGACCTTTCATTAATTATTAGAGAAAGAATTAGAAGATTCGTTGTTCCATTCTCGACTCTAAATCCTTGTTTGAATTTCGTTCGCCCTCCCCCCTCTCGCGCGAAGCGCGGAAGCTTTGACCTTTCATTAATTATTAGAGAAAGAAGAAGATTTGTTGTACCATTCTCGACTCTTATTCCTTGTCTGAATTCAGTTCCCCTCCCCCTCCTGCGCGAAGCGCGGAAATTTTTGACCTTTCATAGTTTAATGAAATTATTAGAGAAAGAATAAGAGGATTTGTTGTTCCATTCTCGACTCTAAATCCTTGTTTGAATTTAGTTCGTCCCCCCCCCCCTCTCGCGCGAAGCGCGGAAGCTATGACCTTTCATTAATTATAAGAGAAAGAAGAAGATTTGTTGTACCATTCTCGACTCTTATTCTTTGTCTGAATTCAGTTACCCTCCCCCTCCGCGCCAAGCGCGGAAACTTTGACCTTTCATAGTTTAATGAAATTATTAGAGAAAGAATTAGAAGATTCGTTGTTCCATTCTCGACTCTTAATCTTTCTCTGAACGTAAAGCGCAGAAGCTTAACGTTTTATTAAATTATTAGAGAAAGAAGACGATTTGTTGTACCATTCTCGACTCCTGATCCTTATTTGGATTTAGTTTACCCCTCCCGCGCGAAGCGCGGAAGCTTTGACGTTTCATTAAATTATTAGAGAAAGAAGACGATTCGTTATACCATCCTCGTCTCTTAATCCTTGTTTGAATTCAGTTTCCCCTCTCTCCCACGCGAAGCGCGGAAGCTTTGACGTTTCATTAAATTAGTAGATAAAAGTATAATTTGTTGTTCCATTCTCGGCTCTAAAATCTTGTTTTAATACAGTTTCCCCCCTCCTGCGCGAAGCGCGGAAGCTTTGACATTTCATTACATTATTAGAGAAAGAAGATAATTCGTTGTTCCATTCTCGACTCTATATCGTTGTTTGAATTTAGTTTTTCCCCGCTCGCGCGTAGCGCGGAAGCTTTGACATTTCATTAAATTATTAGAGAAAGAAGACGATTCTTTGTACCGTTCTCGACTTGTCAGAATTTCAAAAATATTTCCTTGTCTGCTCCTTTTTCGTCTTATGTCCTCTCACTGCCCCTACCGCCCCTGGCTACGCGCCTGCTTTACAGGGAAAATGAAACAATCATGATTGTGATAGCACACAATTAGACTAGTAGAAATGAAAGATTTATTACACCAACCATGGATAAATCCATGGTTTTACCAACATGAGTTCAAATACAAGCACAAGCGAGTTGGTATGAGCTCAATCCAAATGAAGGGCAAAATAAGAGTTGTGAAGCGGCCCTACCGCTAATTTAAAATTTGACTGTTGAGTATATAGCTTCTATTTAAAAGACATCCAAAATAGTGTGCCCTTTTTAAATTTCTCACTAAAGAGTGGTGACCTTTGTAGCGCAGGGGCTGTTTTTAACGTTTAACTTTGAATCCGCGGCTCGAGATTTTTTGCGGCCGGCCCGGCCCCCTCTATTTAATGACGTTTGCCAAGCCTACTGGAATGACCCCAAATCTCCCGATTACAGTTTTTCCCTTATTCGTTGTTACTGTCACTAAGCGCCATTTCCTCCCCCCCCCCCACCCCCCCCCCCCCCCCACTCACTCAGTGTTATCTAGGGTACGCGCAATTATGTTCCCTCTCTTTGAAAGCACCCCTCTATCTCTGGTGTGTAAAGTCAGTACGGGCCGGACTTTGTTGCGTGAAAAGTAACCCTTTTTTTGAGATTTTGGAAACACAAATGGGGGGGGGGGGGACTTTCTTCGTTATCATTTCTCCTTTTTTTTTCTCTCTCTCTCTCTCTGTTTCTTTTCTCTTCTTTCTTTTCTCTTCTCTTTTCTTTTCTCTTCTCTTTTCTTTTCTCTTCTCCTTTTTTTCTTCTCTTCTTTCCTTTTTTTTCTCTTCTTTTCTTCCTCTTTTTTTCTTTTTTTTTGCGCCGCCAATAGGGGGGGCCGCGGCCGTTTCGGCCCCCCCCTGGATCCGCCACTGCTTTATACCGTAGATACCATTGCCAATAGAATGGAAATAAACTTCTTTTATCAATAAAGTTGTGATTAATCATTTTGTCACAATCATTCATGAAAAGAGGTAAGAAAAACTATTCCAACTCTATGGGCAACAGTGTATGTATATGTGTATATATATATATATATATATATTTGTATATGAATGTATGTTTATATATAAATATATATATATATATATATATATATACATATACACACATATACATATTTACATACGCTCTTGCCCGTACAGGTGGAATGTTCTTTTTCTTACCTCTTTTCTTGAAATGATTGTGACAAAATGCTTGATTCTTGATAGACAAAGTATGTCTTTTCACAACTTTATTAATAAATCTCTATGACTCTTCAGATTTTTATATATACGGTATACATATATATGTACATGTGTGTGTGTGTGTGTGTGTACACATTATGCATATGCACACATACATGTTTTTGATCATGGAATCAGATTTAATGCACAAATTTTTGTTACATGCCTCGTTATTATTACAAATTATTTCATTCACCTGGTACAAATAATTATATTTCAAAAGTCGGAATGCGAGTTTCATGTTGGTCGGTAGAACAAGATATAATAGCTGTGTTCCCACAATGGCAATTTTGGTTGGCGTACGGTTCGTGTTTAGAGCTATTCGGCGTAAATATGGGCTACCAATGTAATACAAACTGAATAAGACTCACTATTTAAAGTTCAAAAGAAATGTTTAAGAATAGCTACCAACTCTCATTATGTAGCACCATCTGCACCTTTTTTTATCCCCTCGCAGACGAAGTCGGAGGGGATAAACGATGTCGTGTGACCGTCCTGTCATAACAAATCTGGTTTCCGTTCGATAACTTTAGTAACATTGAAATTAATATCGCTAGTGACATTCGTTTGTCTCGCAATGTATAGTCAGCAAGGGATCTGAAAGATCACGACGTTTCGTGTGCCGCGTGTAACGTGCTAACACGACTAGAGGGTAGGGTAAGTTGACCGTGTGGATGCTCTCACATGGCACCCTGAGTATCAAAATGATAAGAAATTTGGTCCAGTCTTGGTAAAGTTACCAGCTCTGTATATATGGGACTACACAAACATGTGGCATAAAAATCAGTCACAATTTTTATGATGTTATATGCCATATTTAGAATATCAAGGCATTTGCAGATCCATGCCTTCCAGAGAACATTTTTTTCTCTGATGTTCTTCCACACTTGCAAAATACAATGATAACACTCACAAATTATTGTTCACCTCTTCCCAGAACTCAACCTTCTCTTTAAGGTTCAACATTTTCTGGGGTCCTCAAGTGGGCCCCGGACCTTACACCATAAAGGCTTTAGCACTTTGCGCGTACAATCTGTACATTTCACACCCCCTTTTGGAAAATCCTGGATCTGCCCCTGGCTTCCGGAAGTTACGCTGATTATAAGACTGGGTCAGTGGAAGGTCGTGTTAACTTGATCGTGGCAAGTTGGTCCGAGCAAGAGGGTATGGACAACTAATGGTGTGAGTTAAATATTTATGGGATATTTACTGCTGCAGGGATTAACTTATGCCAACTAGCAAGCCCCCGTCTGAACAAGGCTTATGTTTGGCCGCAACCTAGCTAGAAGCAATTAGTGGATGTAATTCACATTCTGACTATTGAAATACAATTATTTGTAACAGGTGAGTGAAATGATTTGTAACATGGCAGTTAACAAAGAGTTATGAATAACATTTCATTACATTCCCAGAATGTTTATTACTTATCTATTAATGACTCATTTTCAATATTTTTTTTATTTTGGTGTGTGTTTCAGTGTTTTCCTTCACTCTGATGATCTCTATGCTATTTGTTTTAACAGTCTGTGATATTGAACATTTTGATGTTTCAAAACATGTATGTTATGTGTTGTTTTGATGAAAGTGTTGAAATAAACTTTGAACATTATATTTCATCTCCATAGCTCTTCTGGTAGCCCCTATACTGTGGATGAAATTGTCTTTGGGAATCTCAACATTGAAAGCACTTCACCACATGTCCTCAGCATTACACCCAGTCAAATATTCATTCATCCCGACTATGATTCTATCACCGTTGATGCAGATATAGCACTCATCCAACTCTCTACGCTAGTCAATTACACTGATTACATCAGACCAGCATGTCTTGCAAATTCATCTCAAGAAACCACTGTATACAAGCAATGTTTAGTTAGCGGATGGGGAAATACTCAAATTGGTACGTTGTAGCTCAATTTTGGTTTTACAAATTTAATTTTTTTTTGGGGGGGGGAGGGGGTAGGCGGGGAGGGGTAGCCAGGCACCTGGTACACTCTTCCAAAATTGTCATAACAAAAGGGTCCTCATATTTTAGGGATCCCATTCAAAACAAGAGTAGGAAAACAAAATTAACATTAACGTTCATTGGGGTCCTCGAACACCTGAGCCAGAAGCTTATAGGAACCACATCAAGTGTAGGAAAATACGGACAAAAAAGTATACATGTAAATAGATAAAGTTTCACGTTTTCCCCATTTTTAAGTTATCAGATTGTCCTAGTTTTCTATCAACATGATTAATTCTTATTGCATTATGGCTGCAGTTTTGCACAAATTATATCACAAATCCCATTGGACAGTATCGCATCTGGAATTCAAGGAGTTAAAATGGTGAATTTTTTCATATCATATTCTGTAGATGGATATCCAGACCACTTGCAGAAGGCATTCGTGGGTTTGATTAGCAGAATCACCTGTGGAAGTCTACTTGGGACTGAAAGCTTTACAGACAACATGATATGCGCAGGATATGAAAGAGGAGATATAGATACCTGTTCCGTTAGTTTTCCCTCTTCTACATTTGATAGTTGAATATTAATTCATCATTTAGATAAAATAGGGTATTTGTTAGAGAGCATACTATTGGCTTAGAAGATATTAACTAGCTGACTCTCAAAATTTTGTTATATGTGCATGAGCGTGAACCTTACATGCACAATATGTGTACTAAATTGAATTAGACTCTGCACCTCTCCCTGCATGTATCCATTCATTGCATTATCTTAGCTGTGAACATGTAATTCAAGGGCAACCTGAATATAATCGCCTGACTCCAGATATGAGATCGCAAATACCCCAAATTTTGTATAACAAATAATGCATGCATTGCATCGCTCAATATATAATACCCCCCCCCCCCCCCCCCAAATGCAGAATTTCCCAGGCTCATGCCTGTGGCCCCAGTGAAATATAACATCACTTGTGCAATTGTTAATTTGTCAGTGAAAATATTATATTGCATGAATATTGAATGCCAGAGCATGAAATAATAGTATAATATTATATTTTGAAGGGTGATAGTGGTGGTCCTTTAGCGTGTGAAGGTCCAGATGGTAGATGGCACCTGGTCGGTGTAACCAGTTGGGGATATGGATGTGCGGAACCAGGAAGTCCAGGAGTGTACGCGAGAGTCTCTGAGCTGTTGCCTTTCATTCTAGGAGTTGTGAAAAGTATGTTTAAGTTCATAAATATCTTGGTATTGAAAGAAATTTAACATATGACAACACAAGCATTTTTTTTAAATGAATGTATCTCAGAAATATATTCTGTAAAGAGAAAGCTCTAATCTGCTCTTTAAAAAAACACCAATGAAGCAACATTGGTTTAATTAAGCAACAATATATGTATAGAAACCCAATTGTTATATGAAAATTAATCATGGAGACACAATTTTTACAATTGGTAAATCTAACTTCGAGACATGTTTAGGTGAATTTATGTAGAGGATAAGTTTTGTGCCCCCTCTATGACTTAAATTTGTTTGATTTTAGTGCAGAATAGATTCTTCCTTATTATTAACAATATATAACTTCACAAAACGTGTAATGCAGAGCGAAGAGAAAACCAAGGATATATGAAATTCCAAATTTTTACATAAATGATTTCAAGTGATCTGTCTATTATCTCATTTGAACAATAAATAATTTCTTTTTTTATTGCAGATTACGCAGGCAGTGTTCCACCAACATTAGGTATTGTTGTAGTTTCAGCACTTTTATCAATTAATACATTTAAAACCATATAATGCAAACAAATATAAACGTCTTTCCACTTTCTCCAACTCCTTTATTATCTCTGTAAATTCAAGTTATTAATAAGATTGCAGGCTGGTGCAGTGTGGTGGGAATTGGTATATAGGCTAGTCCCTGGTATTTCCTCTTGTGTCGCATACGTAATGATTGGGCACCTAATATTTGACTTAAAATTTGCCAATTTTTTATTAAAATTCCTTTGATGCTTAATGTGATTCTACATGTATTCATTACATTCTTTATGTCCCCACGTCTGCACACTCATTCAATTTACATGTCGCTTTGGGATATGATTCTTGAGTGGAAATTTACCATATCGAGGCTGGTGAATAGAATTGCTAAAATTTTACAGATATGTTTTACTTGTTTTTCACATATATCTCCGAGTCTATATCTATTTATGATAACAGAGACTCAAACAAATTTCTGTACTTTTTTTTTTTTTATTTCATAAGAATCAGTTGCACGTATATGTATGCGTAGACATATATAGGCACTCTAGCGATACTATGATTCATGGAATTCTTGATTAAAACTAAAAAGTATCACTACCCTTGATATTTTCTTTTATATACTGCATATGAATATCCAAGGCCTCTGATTGGCCAAAACTGCAGGCATAAAATTTGAAACTGACTGCTGGACAGTGTAGCTAAACAAATATTGAATGCGCACAGTGCATATGTGAACATGCTTTAAATTTCACTCGAAAATGAGACAAATCCCTAAGTGCCATTAAAGGTCTGCATGGGTACAATGTATTCATGGGCATTGCATTGGGGACCCACTAAACACAAGAGTATTTATGCCATTAACAGCAGATACTGGAGATTGGCAATACACATCTTGTAGACTTGAAAGCGATTCTGTTTGTTTTTTTTAATTTAGGACTAATCAAATGTCAGGATACAAATTTTAACAAAAAATACAATTTTAACCAAAAAAATTTAACAAAAATATTTGGTATTCTCTCTGACGTACTTGTTCCCATCAGCCAAAGTCTTGGAGATAAGGTCCTTGCAGGTTGATAAAACACAGTACCGGCTGTCGAAAATCCTAGCCATAAAGCTAAACTAAAACATGATTTCAACCCTAATCCTAACCTTATGTTCTTGACGAAAATAATCCTGGATCAATCGTCTGTACAGCAGCTGTCGGAGCACAGCACAGCACAGCTGAGAGCACAGACAAGATACTGCTGATAGCGCATGCACAAATATATTGAAATTCCAATTTTAAACTACACTCAGCATAACAAGAAAGTGGACACTATTTCTAATTAAGATTTTCTAATAAGTATTGGAAGTATAGTTATATTTATATATCTAAATAAATATATATAGTAATCCTTGTTTAGATGATATGCACTTGGAATTGTACCATTCATGCATGAGTGAGCATAGCCATTTACCAATAAATGAGTTTCTAAAAGAAAATTGCGAAAATGGATCATCGATCCGACCATTCAAATGTGATGAGCATTTAGATCTTGTAGAATGAAATGTATCAAGAAACTACTAAAAAAATGGGATTTTCTTTCATTCAATTTCTTTATTCATACTGATTACCAGTCACAAGTGAAATGAAACACATTCCTATGTTTTAACAAATAATGCAATATTCTTTTGTTTTCCTAGGTACTACTACGGCCAGTCTAACCAATGACATGATTTCAGGTATTACCATGATAACTACTCCATTGGTAAACACGTCTTAAAACACTGCACTCAACGATTTCATATCTTAAACTTTAGGCAACTGTTTTTAAATAATTGTCTACATACTCTTAATTTAGTGTTTAGGAGAGTATGTGTGTGCAGTCACCTGTATTTTAAAACCATTTTATCTGAGCTTGCTGTGATGTACATTGTACCTTCTTTAAGCCTAAATGTGCATAATTATACTCTACATTAAGGGTTGTTGTTGATTTCATTTAGACACAGGAAAAACACACTTTCAGCCCCAAAAGCTGTTTTTCAGTATGTTCGTTTTTATGGTATTACACAAATGAATTTGACGACAAAATGACCATACACCTGAAAAATACAATACAAACATATGAACACCGTTAGGCAAACACAAAATTTGATTCCGATTTCCAATCATAAATATCTTGATAATGAGACAGGCGATCGGCTTGTAAAAGTCATGGGGTTCCTGACTGACCTACATATAATTATCATTGCACCATGAGCTAAATCCAGGATTTTGTTTCAGAATCTGAGACAAAGTTACCCAATCCCTTAATATTATTCAAATCGAAAAATAATCTACTACGATCTTAATCATGTTAAAATGTTGACTATTTCACCTACCCGGTATAAGTGATTTTCCATTTATGTAGAATGCTGTAATGTAGTGGAATGTGCTATTGTGTACCATGTGAATGATTTCTTAGAGACGACCAAAATGTATGACAGATCTACCTATGAATGGTTATTTTCTGCTTAGACCTGTAAGACTATCATGTATCCTACTCAAATTTAAACCAACAAGGTATTCATCTTAACTTGAAATTTAGGTTTTCCTTTTGTAAAACGTAATTTCATACTCAGGGTTTGGGCAACAGCTTATGCAATTTGCGTGCTGACAACTGTTCATGTCCTGAAGATCATTGAATACTTTTGATTTAGGGCAAGTCAATTTGTAATGGGGGGGGGTGGGGGATTATTCTACTGGTAGAGGAAGCTGGTCAACCAAAATTTCTTGGGCCAGTTGGTTCTAACCCCAAATTATATTACTTGTGCATTTAGGTCGATTAAATTTTGGCAATGATAAAGCACTTGTCAGTAAATGATATGATCATGAATTTCTATAGTTTCATGTTGACCAGGGTGTAGCAGTGACTCTTTCACATGTACTAACAAGAATTGCATTCTGAATTGTCAAACTTGTGACGGTTTTGATGATTGTGGTGACTTTTCTGATGAGGAGTATTGCCGTAAGCATACACATTTTCTTCAGTTGACTTGTTCAATCTTGTGAATTTGAAATGGCATCATCCTTTCCAGGTCACAAGGTCCTTTTTTCAAGTTTGCATCGTAGAATGCAGCAAAATTTTAAAAGTCTGGGTTTTTATATATTGACTACCAAAACAATTGTAAATCATTGCAACATTTATGTACTTTATATTTTTGCATGCATATGCACTAGTGACTTTTAGTTCAACTGGCATTAACTGTATAAGTGCACTTTATTCCAGCAACCCCCCCAGCAAACTCGTCCTGCTTCGAGTGTGCATCTACCCTAGTAAAAAATAAATAGGAAAAAAATAGAAAAAAAATAGGGAAAAAATAAATGCAAAAATATATTTTTTTCCTATTTTTCTCATCCCCAAAAAAGCTATTTAATTGCTATAGTTTTGGAACAAAAAATAGGAAAAAAATAAAGCCACAAATAGTTTTGAAATATATTTTTTTCCTATTTTTCTCGTCCCCTAAAAATAGGAAAAAAATAAAGCCACAAATAGTTTTGAAATATATTTTTTCCCTATTTTTCTCATCCCCCCAAAAAGCTATTTAATTGCTATAGTTTTGGAACAAAAAATAGGAAAAAAATAAAGCCACAAATAGTTTTGAAATATATTTTTTTCCTATTTTTCTCGTCCCCTAAAAATACCCAAAAAAGCTATTTCAAATAGCATAGTTTTGGAACAAAAATAGGAAAAAAATAGGAGACTTAAATAGCGTTGAAATAAAAATAGTTTATAAATATATTTCAGACATATTTTTTTCTGAAATATATTTCTAACATATTTTTTTTACAAACCAAATATATTTAAAATCTATTTTTAAAAAAATGGAATATTAATTGAATGATTGGTGTACTGTATAATTGTTTGGTAGCAATTAAATCTCTGTCAAGCTCTACTTTGTAGCACCTTGTTGTACAATATATGCATGTAAGTGCATGTCATGCGCACATGTACAAAATAATTGGATTAGTCGAATCCCCGTCCACATATTACCCGTGTAAAAACTAAAATAGGAATAAAATAGGGGGGGAATAAATACACTAAAATATTTCTATCCTATTTTTCTGCTGCCAGATGTACAAGATAAATAAAATGCAAACACATTTTTATTTCAGTTTGAAACGTTAGAACACTTTATTACATAAAATATCACATGCAATGTACACCCATAGGGTGAATGAGAATACTAAACAAACAGTCCACAAACTATTAAAACATATTTACAAAAGTCACACTTACAAAACTTGAGCAGCATTTCATATAGAAAATTTTGGATTTAGAGGTAAGAACGGCCGGTAAATATTATGTATCTTTGGCAAACCGATTGGCGTATACCCGTCTTATAAATGATACAAATATTACGCAAAGGTAGTACTAGGTCTTTGTAAACATAAACGCAAGAAAGAAAAAAAATATATCTTTTTCTTCTTCATTAAATTGTTCCCTATATAATCACTGGTAAAAATTGCAGATATTGGGTTCACATATATATATGTATTAGTTGTGTAAACGAAACTATTATAATGTAAATCTAATCTGAATGTAAGATATTAGAATTTAAAAAAAAAAATGAATTTTCACATTTTTGGCTAATAAAATACTAGCATATATACAGGATGTGAACCAGTATTGAACAGCTTATACATGACTATAAAGTGTTACATGATACTAGTAGCAAGGCTATCTGGCAAGTTTCAACAGTCTAAACAAAATCTTTAAAAATGTCTATAAATGAAAACATGTGAAGGCAAAGGTATAGTTCACATCTATAACAATGTAAAAAGTGTTAATAGCACTGGCAACTTGGTCTATCTGTCAAGTGTCATAAGGATGTCAAACATGAATAGTCTTCAGATGTCTTTAAAACTTTAAATGAATACTAAGACAAAGCTTTATTACTGTTACATGAATACACATCTATAAAGTGTTACATAATACTAGCATCAACTACATAGTACACGTGAGCTGACATGGCAAAGAGTATAGTGAAACAAAGTTATACAAAAATATTCATACGCAGATATAGAATATATATATATATATACATCAATACATGTATATATTTAATTACACCGTGAGGTAATTCAATTTGTGTTTGTTAAGATTGCCTTGGTAAAAATTAAGCTGTGTATTGAAGATTTATGTCTCAGATTCATTCCGACCGCGAACACATGTTTGATTGTGGCAGGGCGAGGCAACCTGGAAGTACTTGCTGAATGTTTGTTGGACGGCATTATTGGCATCATTTTGAAATGCTTTCCATTAATTACAGATGAACAATAAGTCATTAACCATGTATGATTCTAATACTTTCACTCATGTCTTGCATTTCCTTGATGTGTGTTGGACAGTTCAGTCTAACAAATTAAGACTGTATGTACATGTACTCTAGAAGACAAGGGTGCCAGTGCCACACAGTCCAAGTTGATGACTTTCCAGCAGCCGAAGCTAAGATACCCTGAAGAAGAAAAAATAATAAGTAAAAAAAAAATAAGCAGGTTGTAGTATATTCTATTATGCTTTCAAATCAAATCTAGGAAAATTTAAGAGTTGAACGTGGAATGTACACTGTACAAATAAAATTCATGTAAGAACTACAGTTACTTGCATCCTTCACAAATTCATGACATGATAGATGCTTGACTACTTACATGTATGAATTATGATGATTGAATGATGAGCTATACTTTGCAACTATATGGTCATGCATGATGCAATACACATACATGTGCATGCAGGATCTGCACAGCCAATTGAATGCGGATTGTGATGGAAAAAAAATCATAACACACATAATATATACAGTGTATGTGACATACAAATGTACGGCTTCTAAGAATCAACTTTGCCATTCAATTTCTGTTAAAAATATGCAAGAAAATCTTGCACGTATGATTTAGGATGATTTATTGGCTTATGAAATTTCTACCTGGCTGTAAAAAGTGTAAAGAATTGCAATTCATTCAAAACGAGTGCAGATCCTGTGCCATGTGTTGAATGGAGATGCTATATATCCACATGCGTTCACATGTCTTACCAACTACCATGCAGCCAGCACGCGCATGTGGCGGAATCTAGCCTACACTGCACTGCGTTAATTTGCTCAAATATATTTGTGAATGAGTAGACCTACTATAATACGCTAATTCCATTCTTTAATGAGATTCGTCATGTTTGATTGTTCACTTCCAATGAAAAGCCTTACGTAAACACAGATATATAGGTGACTATGTAAATTATGTAGACATTACTACTAGGGAATATAATCTACGATCTTCGTCAACTGTGATCAGTTTGATGATGGTTTGGATTTTTTCATGAACCAAATAAATTTACAAAATCAAGATTTAACCAATTTCCTAATTTAATTGTACAGAAAGCAATTTTATTACTCACCTTCAAAATGAAGATCTTTAAAGTAGCTCCAGCAGCTAGCAGTAGCAGTCCAGTGCATGTAGTGCAAAGCAAGTTGATCGTATTTCTCCAACACAAGAGTGCTAGTGTGGGACTGTAGGCCTAATCTTGGTAATAAATTCGATCCTTTCATTTTGTTCTTTCAATTCTTGCGCTGGAATTACTCTTGAAATTGTCCTTTCCTGGTGTAAATCTACCCCTTATTACCCATACTGTGGGTTTTACAGGAAGACAAGTCTGGCGAAATGGCAAAGTAATGATGGAAATATGCGCCGTTGAGCTGATCATCACAGAGTCTGAGTGAAGATTTGAATTTGAAAATAAACTACCGGTTGGCCTATTCGCTTTCTACCACTAGATGGCAGCACACATTTAGTTGTGTTTCATTATGATTCAACATTTTTGAAGAGTACCCTTTCACCTTTGTATTTATTATGGGGAAATTGTTACAATTACATCCAATTGGATAAGTTCTAGTCACTATAACACTATAGTAGTAAGCTAATTCTTTTGCTAATTACATACTTTTTTACTTGAAATATTCAAAATCGATAGTCATTTCATTTAAAGATAAAATTAAAACATTCTTAATTCTTGATTAAATGTTCACAGGCCTATACGATATATTTATGCTCCCTTAAAATGTTCACAGGCCTACGAAATAATTATGCTCCCTTAAAGGAAGAGTTGAGTTCTAAGGAGGGCCAGTAATTTGTCCAAATCTTCTTTGAATTTTTTTTTTTTCATTTTAAAAGACGAAATATCGCAATTTTTGTTAACATTATAGTTATATTGTGAAATATGTTTTGAATTGTGCAAATATATATTTATAAAGTGTAAAAAAGTTTCAACAACCTTAAAAATCAAATATCGGCCTATATTAAAAGCAAAAAGGTGACAAAATCCATTAAGTCTGTGAACATAGTAAACAAAATATAGGGAAAAAATGGTGATAAAAAAATTAAGTCCCTAACCCTAAAAAAAATAGGAAGAAAATGGGTGAGAAAATTGAAATCCAAAAACATAGTAAAAAAATAGGAAGAAAATGGCACAGAAAAATATAAGTCCAAAAACATAGTAAAACAATAAGAAGAAAATGAGTAAGAAAATCTAAGTCCAGAAACATAGTAAAAAAATAGGAAGAAAATGAGTAAGAAAATCAAAGTCCAGAAACATAGTAAAAAAATAGGAAGAAAATGGCAGAGAAAAATTTAAGTCCAAAAACATAGTAAAAAAATAGGAAGAAAATGGCAGAGAAAATATAAGTCCAAAAACATAGTAAAAAAATAGGAAGAAAATGGCAGAGAAAAATCTAAGTACAAAAACATAGTAAAAAAATAGAAAGAAAATGAGTAAGAAAAATCAAAGTCCAGAAACATAGTAAAAAAAAAAGGAAGAAAATAGCAGAGAAAAATCTAAGTACAAAAACATAGTAAAAAAATAGAAAGAAAATGAGTAAGAAAATCTAAGTCCAGAAACATAGTAAAAAAATAGGAAGAAAATGAGTAAGAAAATCAAAGTCCAGAAACATAGTAAAAAAATAGGAAGAAAATGGCAGAGAAAAATTTAAGTCCAAAAACATAGTAAAAAAATAGGAAGAAAATGGCAGAGAAAATATAAGTACAAAACATAGCCAAATAGGAAGAAAATGGGTGAAAAAATCTAAGTCCCAAAACATAGTAACAAAAATAGGAAGAAAATGGGTGAAAACATCAAAGTCCAGAAACATAGTGAAAAAATAGGACAAAATCTGGTGACAAAAAAACTAAGTCGAAAAGAATAGGGAAAAAATAGTAAAAAATAGGTAAAAAATAGGAAGAAAATGGCAGAAAAAAATCCAAGTCCAAAAACATAGTAAAAAAATAGGAAGAAAATGGCAGAGAAAATATAAGTCCAAAAACATAGTAAAAAAATAGGAAGAAAATGGCAGAGAAAAATCTAAGTACAAAAACATAGTAAAAAAATAGAAAGAAAATGAGTAAGAAAAATCAAAGTCCAGAAACATAGTAAAAAAAAAAGGAAGAAAATGGCAGAGAAAAATCTAAGTACAAAAACATAGTAAAAAAATAGAAAGAAAATGAGTAAGAAAATCTAAGTCCAGAAACATAGTAAAAAAATAGGAAGAAAATGAGTAAGAAAATCAAAGTCCAGAAACATAGTAAAAAAATAGGAAGAAAATGGCAGAGAAAAATTTAAGTCCAAAAACATAGTAAAAAAATAGGAAGAAAATGGCAGAGAAAATATAAGTACAAAACATAGCCAAATAGGAAGAAAATGGGTGAAACAGGGCAAAGTCCAGAAACAAAGTGAAAATATAGGACGAAATCTGGTGACAAAAAATCTAAGTCGAAAAGAATAGGGAAAAAATAGTAAGAAATAGGTTAAAAATAAGAAGAAAATGGCAGAAAAAATCTAAGTCCCAAAACATAGTAAAAAAATAGGAAGAAAATGGGTGAAAACATCAAAGTCCAGAAACATAGTGAAAAAATAGGACAAAATCTGGTGACAAAAAAACTAAGTCGAAAAGAATAGGGAAAAAATAGTAAAAAATAGGTAAAAAATAGGAAGAAAATGGCAGAAAAAAATCCAAGTCCAAAAACATAGTAAAAAAATAGGAAGAAATAGGTAAAAAATAGTTATCAAACCACCAATTCCTAGAAATAGAAAAAAAATAGGCTGTCATATGCTATTTTTAATCTATTTTTAATAAAAAATAGTGTTTAAATAGGGTACATTCACATAAAAATAGGAAATAAATAGTAAAAAATAGGAAAAAAATATATTTTTCCAGAGCCCATTTTGACTAGGGTAACTATGAATGTGTGTATGATCCAAGCTGGGTTTGCGATGGTATCGATGATTGCGATAACAGCGAGGATGAATTTAACTGCACAGGTAAGATTGAAATTGTTTAAAATCACAGTAGGGGAAGGCGGGGTAAGTTGAGCATAGGGGTAAGTTGATCCACCCCCTCTAAGCCATTTATGAATGAGTCAAACATTGTGGTGGCGCCATCTATAGATGAAATATTGCATATCCCCACACCCTGCCATATTGCTTTTTAGATTGAAACAGAAACCAACGTTGCAGAGGGAAAAATCTGATTTTCTGCCATAAAAGTGAATAGGTGTGAATGAGGTAAGTGTACTTTTCTTCCATATGCAGCATAGATATAATATGGATACATGATGACAATTGTTAGTCCATTTATGGGTCTCCATGCTTGTCATAGCCTTTTACACAATGAATGCATAGAAAATGTGTGTATGTGGTGATATCTCAGAAAGTTCAGACTGGGGTAAGTTGAGCCAGACCCTATGGGGCAAGTTGAGCCATGGCTCAACTTACCCCGTAGGGTCTGACCAACTTACTAAATATTGTTGGATGAGTATTACAAAACAATTTGCATTGTATTTTGGAATTTAGAATTGAATAACAATGTTTTGAGATGGACTTTGTACTAAACATATATTTTATATCCATTATTATCTTTCAGAAGCACATGAGAAATGCGTAACTACAAGCGAAAGACGAATCGAGGACAAACTCCCCGCGATGTTATGGAACGAGCGGCTGATGCTGTTGCTGGCGGAAAGAGTGTGCGGAGTGCAGCTAAGGACTTTGCCATTGATCGAATGACGCTGAAACGTTATATTGAAAGGAGAGATGGACAACAAGGGACTGCCTATGCACCCGTCGCCTTGCGGCATCAGGTGTTTTCTCCTGACATGGAGACAGATTTGGGAGATCATGTGAAACAGTTATCAGATATGTTTCATGGTCTGTCAGTGAACAGGTGCTGTACATTGGCATATGAGTTTGCAAAACAAAACAATGTTGACGTGCCAGCCAGCTGGGACCGTGAGAAAAAGGCAGGCCAGGATTGGTGGTTAGGCTTCAAGAAGCGACAAAACCTGGCAATAAGGCATCCAGAGGCCACATCTTTAGGACGTGCCACTGCGTTCAACCGACCAGTTGTTGATAAGTTCTTTGACAATCTTGCCCGGGTGATGGACAAATACAAGTTTTCACCAAGTGAAATCTACAACACAGACGAAACTGGGTGCACCACAGTTCAAAAGCCTGCTGCTGTTGTGACCGAGAAGGGGAAAAAACAGGTCGGCGCAATCACCTCTGCTGAACGTGGGGAACTGGTAACCGTTGTGTACACTGTGAGTGCAATTGGCTCAGTCGTGCCTCCTTTATTCATCTTTCCAAGAGTAAACTATAGAGAACACTTTGTTAGAGGGGGGCCAACTCAGTGCATAGGCAGATCAACCCGTAGTGGCTGGATAAATCAGGAGACATTCGTGGAATACCTCAATCACATCATCAAGCACACCAGATGTACACCAGAGAGGAAGATTCTCCTGATACTTGACAACCATGACACCCACATTTCTCTTGATGCTGTGGACACTGCAAGATCTCATGGTGTTGTTATGCTAACATTACCACCTCACACGTCACATCGCCTCCAGCCTCTAGATCGATCAGTGTATGGGCCATTGAAGACGGCTTACAACAGAGCCTTGGATGGATGGTTACGTTCTAACCCTGGGAAAACTGTGACTATCTATGAAATTCCAACCCTGGTGAACCAAGCACAAATGCTTGCTGTGACGCCATCGAACATCATTGCAGGCTTTCAAGCGACAGGTATCCATCCATTCAACAGGGACATTTTCAATGACTTAGATTTTGCCCCTGCTGTCCCGACTGACCGTGAGCAAGATGATGCTGCTGCAGATGGCATCGAGGTGAATCCACCCCCTGTAGATGCAAGGCCACCAGGTGAGACTCCTGCTGCTGGTTCTGCCCCTGCTGCCCCGACCGAACGTGAGCGAGATCATGCTGCTGCAGATGGCACCGAGATGAATCAACCCCCTGTAGATGCAAGACCACCAGGTGGTGATGTCCAGCCACAAAGACAGCAAATAGATGGTCTTCAGCCGTCCACCTCCAGGGAACCCAGTCTGAGCAATGTTGTGCCTCGTCCATACGTATCACCATCTGGTGTTCATCCGTTTCCTAAAGCAACAGCAAGAAAGAAGACGAGAGCCGGTCGCAAAAAAGGCAGCACAAAGATTCTGACTGATACCCCAGTTCGCCAAGAGCTTGCAGCCCTATCCGAAAATCGCAAACGGAAGCCATCTGCCAAGAAACCAAAGAGATCCTTGTTCAAAGTTAAAGAGAAGAAGAAATGTCCCCCAAGATCCAAAACCCCTAGTTCCAGTGAGACAGATTGTGATTCAGAAGTTGAGTACGATGACGAATCAGATGTGGACAGTGATGGTGATATGGATATCATTGAAGGTGACTTTGTAGTTGTCAGATGTGCTGGAAAATCAAGATTTTTGCATTACATTGCTCGGGTGGATGTACTGAATGGAGAGGATTGTCAGTTTGAAGGTGTCTTCCTGCAGAAAGTTGCTGGAAAAGTCGGAACTGACCCAGTGTTTGTTCCAAACCCAGATGATAAAGCAGGCTTTGAACTGGAAGACATCTTGCGTAAGCTGCCACAGCCGAAGAGCGTTGGCAGTTCTGCCCGTTGTTCTGGACAGCTTGTGTTCAAAACTGACTTGTCACGTTGGCAGCTTAGTTGACTTGATATCTGACATGTTTAAGAGTTTCAGATGATGAAACCGACATTGATAAGCGAGATATATTGTGCCTTAATTGCCACCGTCCGATTATTGGCCTTTCTGGGTGTACTTGGCACCATTTTGTTTTAATGTGACTTGAAACTGTGGCAGCTGGATTGAATTATAAATGAACACAACTGAGGTGCATTAAAATATTTTGTTAGGTAGTGCACTTTAACTGTTTTTGAGACAGAATAATGGTTTTGTACTTCAATTAGTTTTACTTGGGGTGAAAGATAATTTAAGTATTTTGGACATATGTTTTTGAATATAACTGTTGACTTGAAGCTGTGACAGGGGGGATCTTACCAGTAAACAATGTTGTTTTTTTCTATGAGAGTGTGACTCAATATGTTTGTAACTACTGATTACTAGAACCACGAAGACAAAGTAATCATTTTGTTAAGTGTTGTAGAACATTACCACATTAAATATTTTTCAGGTGAAACAATGATTTTGTACTTCAGTTGTCTTCATTTGGGGCAATGATCAACTTACCCCTGTGTGGCTCAACATACCCCAGAGGGTGGATCAACTTACCCCTCAGGTGGGGCATGTTGAGCCATTTGACCCAAGTTTTTTCGAAGGTCACAGTGACTTTCGGTGTGGGGTTAGAAACTTAAACTAGCTACAAAATGTTTCCCAAGCATTAAATTAGAAGGTAAGCTACTCACTTCTGCAAAATCATCAATCATTTCGGTCCTAACATGCAAATACCAAAAACTGGCTCAACTTACCCCGCCTTCCCCTACTATTATGTAAATTGAATGTTGCATCACTCTTTTGCTCAATGTTGCAACACTGTTTTGTAGAAGGTTACAGCTCACTTATTTTGTATGTTGCAACTCTCTTGTTTTAATGCTGTATCACACTTATGTTAAAGATGGCAAGATTCTTAGGTTGAATATTGCAACACTTTTTCTGTGGAAGATGACAACATTCTTAGGTTGTAAAATGACTAAAATATAGCCGTTGACAAATTAATTTCTTTTATGCTAACCCTTCACCCCACAAAAGCAACAGCTTATTTATGCAATTTGCGTGCTGACATCTGTTCATGTCCTTAAAATCATTGAATACTTTTGGTTTAGGGCAAGTCAATCTGTAATGGGGCGGGGGGGGGGATTAATCTATTGGTAGAGGAAGCTGGTCAACCAAAATTTCTTGGGCCAGTTGGTTCCAACCCACAATTATATTACTTGTGCATTTAGGTTGATTAAATTTTGGCAATGATAAAGCACTTTATCAGTAAGTGATATGATCATGAATTTCTATATTTTCATGTTGACCAGGGTGTGGCAATGACTCTTTCACATGTACTAACAAGAATTACGTTCTGAATTCTCAAACTTGTGACGGTTTCAATGATTGTAATGACTTTTCTGATGAGGAGTATTGTCGTAAGGATACACATTTTTCTTCAGTTGACTTGTTCAATCTTGTGAATTTGAATTGGCATCATCCATTCCAAGTCACGAGGTCCTTTTTTCAAATTTGCAACATAGAATACCGCAAAGTTATAAAAGTCAGGGTTTGTATAAAATCATTAACTTACAAAACAATTGTAATTCATTGCGAAATGTATGTACTTTATATTTTTGCACCCCCTAGCAAACTCGTCCTGCTTCGAGTGTGCATCTAACTTTGAATGTGTGTATGATCCAAGCTGGGTTTGCGATGGTGACTATGATTGCTTTAACGGAGAGGATGAATTTAACTGCACTGGTAAGATTGAAATTGTTTAAAATCACAGTACTATTATGTAAATTGAATGTTGCATCACTCTTTTGCTCAGTTGACTTGTTCAATCTTGTGAATTGGAGATGGCATCATCCATTTCAGTTCAGCTAGAAATATACGAATAAAAACGGACTATAGCAAAACCTTTGTATAAGACTATCTAAAATTATCAAAACTGAAAGCTTTCATCTGGGCCCTCCTTCGTGAACCTTAATATTAACAATAAGAAAAGCTCAATTTTATGACAAATTTGCTCTTTGCCAATCAAATGCGTTGATTCAGTAGCTTATAACAGTTATTGTTATTTGTTATTGATAACAATTTTAATGAAATAGGGCCCAGGTGTGGAGTAAATGATGATTATGAATGAACTGCATCAGTTTAGTTGTTATTGAAGGCAAGGTCGTTATGGAGTGCAATTATTGTATGGAATTCCTTTGCAAATATCATTGTACTTATGATGATGTCTTTGTGCTTAGAATTGATTAGGATATTCGATCTTATTTTACTCTTTGAAAATGAATATTTTACTAGAATTTCCAAGGATCTTTCATCCTGCTTTTGTATAGCTTTTGTATTTCGACTCCCTGGGGAGCATTGCAGCCAGGCATCATTTTACAGACGCTCAAAATGCTGAGCATACTTCATTAACTTTCGCATCCTACCGGGTACCCATTTAACGACTGGGTGGAGTGTGGGAAATTTAGATTAACGTCTTGCCAAAGGACGTTTATGCTGGGCTGGGATTTGAACCCCATACCTTGTGATCTGCAGTTCGATGACTTATCCACTAGACCACAACACCTCTACTACCTTTCTTAACCCTATATAGCCCGGGGGTTTGGGCTTTAGAAGCCCCCCCCCCCCCCTCTACATTTTTCGCAATCATTTTTTAGTGCAAAAAACTCTTGCGCTGAAATTTTATGATTTTTTTCTTCTTCCGGGTCTTGAGCATCTTTTGAAATGAATTTTTCGAAAATCAAACCTCCTGTTACAAAGTCAGCCCCAAAATCACTCATTTTTGTGATTTGTGTAAAAACAAAAGAGATAAAACATTGGTTATTCGGTCTTGTTTATAATTTACCGGTAGGTGTTTGTTTTGGGGGTCAAAATAGTTGAATTATAGTTAAAAATGAAATAAAACAACAAAAACAATAAAATACATGAGTTAAAAAACAAAGAAAACTAGAAATTTAATGCGTCATGGGGACGAATTAGGTGGTCTGTCTTCAATTCTAATGATCATTGAAAGGTCAAAAAGAAAAAAAAGTGAAGAACAAAAATTGTTGGAGACGCCCGGACTCGAACCAGGGACCTTGAGGTCGGAAGTCAAGTGCGTTACCGATATACCAAAACGTTTCCCATAGCGATTACACGTAAACGGAAAATGAAATTCTCAAATCATACGTTGCAAGTGAAATATGAGCATGATCCCGGCATCTGATCGAGAAATAAATAGGACACTTGTGATAGCTTACTGTCTCAGCTACAACATACTCGAAGCTCAGCAAGAACGAAGCAAAAACGACGGGGATATTGCTTGTGAAAGACGGGAATGTAGAATCCAGTTTTGAGAAAAAGTCATGCCCCATAGAGAATACACGCAAAATGTGAAAAATTGACATGCCTCCTTTAATCGCAAAAATACGCCATGATACTTTCGTCAAAATGAAAATTCGTGAATACTGCATTTGTAGAGAATTGTCTCAGCTAAAACATATCAAAAATTGGAATTAAATTGATCAATATTTACAGAGATACAATCAATTTTCCAAAAATATGCTGATGTCATAATATGCATATTGAAATTTTGAGTTCGGAGGCCATTATGATGACGTCATGAGTTAATTAAGGGTCAAATGAGACATGAAATCATATCTCCAATTCATACTCTATCAAAATATGGAGAAAAAAATTGGGTTCACCTTGCATCCTAAAGTGCTACAATGGATTTTGTATAGGCATGTTTTTGCCCATGTATGCTAGGTATTACAAGAGCTCGCACGCACGGAAATTATCTTAAACGGACGCTCATTCCCTTATTAATGGGCAGAAAAAGATGAACAAGGTATCAAAATGCTTTGAAAAATGTGCCAAATATGATGACAGAGAAAATCTGGCGATTCTATGTTGAAAAATACCAGTACGCTTGAAAACGCGCACGCATGCGTGCGAGCGCGTTTTTTTGCAAAATGCTTAAAATGGCCTGAAACATATGCAAAATAAATTTGAGACGATTTGGAGCATTTTTATTTTTTGCGCGCGCGCGTTCTTTGACCTGAAATTGACCGGACGGATATTGACCTTGATCATGATAAATATGAATAAGAAATGCCTTTCCGTTATGAATATATGATCATGAGTTGAAAGAACAAAAAAAAAAAAAAAAATGGCGCCTGGATGACGTCATAAAGACTTGATGACCTTGAAAATGTTCCTGTCATGTCTTATGGCAATGACCTATGACTGTGCCAAAATTGAACGAAATTGACTGAACCGATCTTGAGTTATCATCGGAACAAAAAAGTGTGGAGAAATAAAAATAAATAATAATAATAATAATAATAAGAAAGAAAATTCTGACGAAAGCAATAGGTGATCTGTCGTAAACGACAGACCACCTAATTATCAAAGCAATAGATAACATACGGACTAACCTGGCTATTTCAAATTTGTTTGCTTTATTATTATTCCAAATGAATATATGTAGTAAAAATGAATGTTTAAATATAAAGAATATATGATTTTGGGGTAAAAAGTTAAATATTATGACCTTAGTAGCATAAATTACCATAAATGCAAACATCAGCTTATTTTCATGCAATTTGCATTCAGACAATTATTGCCAAAAGATAATAGCAAGTGAATGAAATACTTCATCACTGCACACACACGTGGGAAGAAAGCGCCTATAGATTTGAATACATTTGCTTGATAAACGACTTTGCATAGTAGGCCTATGATATCGAGCAAATGGCGATGCCTATGTTGTCCTTAGAAACTGTACATTATGCTAAGAATATCTTGTTTTATATACATCTCACATACGCTTTGGTAGGGTATCGTGTAGATTAATTGGGCAAGATTACAAGAAAATCTCTCAGAATAACTTAAGTTATTTTTAGGGGTGAGGTTTCCTTTAATCATCTTAACAGACAAAATTTATCATATTATTGTACATGGGTTTTTTTCTTTACACTACTAAATTTTCAGCAGTGCACCTGACTCTAGGAGAAATGTGTTTGATCTCATCACCAAACTATCCTTCATTATTTCATATCTTACACTTTAAACAAATATTTAAAAATAATTTTCTACATACTCTTAATTAATAGTGTTGAGAAAAGTATGTGTGTGCATATATGTGTGATTGTATATTTCTTTATTCATACTGATTAACAGGCAAAATTGAAATGAAACACGTGCCAGTGTTTTATATTTAAGCAAATAATGCAATATTCTTTTGTTTTCCTAGGTACTACAACCAATGACACGATTTCAGGTATTACTATGATAACTACTCCATTAGTAAACACGTCTTTAAACACTGCACTCAATTATTTCATATATCTTTAGACAAACGTTTTTAAATAATTTTCTACATACTCTTATTTTAGTGTTGAAAAGAGTATGTGTGTGCAAATGTATGTAAGTGTGTGCTATTTTTATGTGCAAATACCCCATGTGTCACCTGTATTTTATAACTATTTTATCTGACCTTCTTTGAACCTAAATGTGCATACCTTATATTAAGCTACATTAAGGGTTGTTGTTGATTTTATTTAGACACGGTAAAAACAAACTTTCAGCACCAAAGGCTGTGTTTCAGTATGTCCGTTTGTATGGTAATACCCAAATGAATTTGACATCAAGATTACCATACACAGGAAAAAATACAATACAATCATATGAGCAAAAATAATGTTGGACATTACGGCAAAGAGCAATTGCAGTAAATAAAAGTAAATGAAATAGATTTTTTTTTAAGAATTTAAATCTATGACTTGAACCAATTTGATGATCTGCATGTTCTTTTTTCATTTAAACAGACAAAATTTATCATCAAATTATTGTACTTGGTTTATTTCTTACACTACTAAAGTTTCAGCGGTTAACCTGACTGTTGGAGAAACGTGGTCAATTTCATCACCAAACTATCCTCATGAGTATCCAAACTACGCCTATTATACTTGGTACATCACGGCTCCATCAAACTACTCTGTGATCATCACATTCATAGCATTTAATCTGGAATCTTGCTGTGACCATCTGAGCATAGGGAATGGTCATACACCTGGGAACTTGGTGGTAAAAATTTTCTCAGGACAAGATATACCAGCGTCTTTGAGGTTTGTGTAAATGTATACATTATTTAATTTGTGCATTTTTAATGCACATGTACTTGCATTTTAACTTGAAGAAGCCATATGAACAAAATAGTGTTTCACCTATACATGTGTCTCTAAATTTGCGCATGTGTGTGTGTTCATGTAACTCAAATGTTCTGTTATGGTGGGTGTGACGTCTCATCCCAACAAATTTTGATATACGTACCAGTACATTAGTTTTTGTTGTGTGTCAGTTTCTATATTAATGCAATTTTGTCATTTTGGTCGGTCCGTTGTCAGTCGGTCTGTCAGACTTTTGTAGGTCTTTTGTCATTGTGATAAGGATATTTCTCTATTAAAGAAAGTAGGTGATCTTGCTCTCAACAGCAACTCACTTTCTCCTGTGCTACAAACTGAAAACCTCTGAGACTCTGATGTTATCTGCCATGTCTCAGATATTTAAAACCATTTTTGCCTGTACGACAGATTATGAGTTGGTGCCAGGAGGTTCCTTCACACTGGAAAAGAAAAGAAAGAAACGATGAAATCATACTTTGGGTAGTCTCTCCCAATGACATCTGATGTGGTTTTGGACCTAACACTGCTCTATGAAACGACCAACTATAATAATATGCAAATCAGGATGGTTTACAGGCAAGCTACAGTTAGATGAGTTTTGGGGTGTTCTTGCAAATGCAAACAAAAATCGAAAGGATTGCTATGACTATGAAATGTGTTTTTTTTTATGATACTACGTCATTGGTGCTGAAGTGTGAAATAACAGTGTATCCAGAACATAGTGAATAATCAGATAGTATGTATTAATATCAGAAAAAGTATTGACACAATTTTGTCTTGTTCTACAGATTGTACAGTTCTAACAGTTGGATGCGATTCACCAGTGACGATTCAGTCACGCATCAGGGATTCCAACTGCAGCTAACAGTGATCCCTAGATCTCTAGGTATGTACACACATCTAGTTTTGGTTTTGGTTTAAGCTCATCTGGCCCGATTGGTGCGATGAGCTAAACAGTATGCAATTGCATTTGGCGTCCATCATCCATCCACAATTTCTAAATGCTTCCTCTTCATAATTTCTCATCCGATTTGGATTCTGTTTGCTTTATGGATAGGGCTGGGTAGGGGGAGTGGAAACTTCTACACAGAATTGTGAAATTTGTATTAATTTTGCATATTCATGCAAATTGATTCAAAGTCACAAAAAACATTTTCTCCTTCATTCATTGACCAACTTTGATTTTTTTTTCTTTTACAGAGCTGAATGAGATCCGCAGAAATTTTTCATATAATTTTGAAAGTTTGCTTTAAAATTGCCCTCCCCCCCCCCCCAAAAAAAAAAAAAATGCAAGAAATTACAAGAAAAACCTTCTTCTCCATAATTCATTGACCAGTTTTAATTTTGTCTGTTTTCTCTAATAGAGCTAAGTTACATACACAAAAATTCTACACAAAATGTTGAAATATTGACTCAAACATCAATTATATTTTTTGCTATTACAGCAGAACCTAGCATAACGCAAAAAACAGCAGAACAGGGATAGAATGACGCTAAAATGCAGCGGAACATAGAATTACGCTGAAATACAGCAAAACGTAGAATGACGCTGATATACAGCAAAACATATAATGAGGCTAAAATACAGCAGAAAATAGAATGATGCTGAAATACAGCGGAACATAAAATGATGCTTAAAAATGCAGCAGAAAATAGAATGATGCTAAAATACAGCAGAACCTAGAATTATGCCAAAATACAGCAGAACCTAGAATTATGCTAAAAAACAGCAGAACCTAGATTTATGCTGAAATACAGCATGAAGTAGAATTATGCCAAAATACAGCAGAACCTAAAATTATGCTAAAAACAGCAGAACCTAGAATTATGCTGAACTACAGCAGGAAGTAGAAATTAGGGTGAAATGCAGCAGAACATAGACAAACAAATCAAGAGAACACAGAATTGCGCTAAAATACAGCAGAACATAAAATTAAACTAAAATATGTAGGATATGATATTTTAGTGTAATATATAGGGGAACCCTGTGTCTGCTCTCCTAATATTTCACTTGAAATCAACAAGATTTGTTACCGTTATATTGTGCTCCCCTTATGCTTGATGTCATTTAATTTCTTATATATATAACTAGATTAAAGATACTATGTCCCTTTTGCAGCCAACATCACATTATGTAGAACGTTGCAGGAATTATGAATATGTCATGAATGTCCTATCTGTGAAATTTAAATGTTAGCAGTGTCCTAGTATTCAAATTATGCAAGGAAACCCATTTACTTTCTAGACTTCCCTGTCAGACACTATTGAGTGACTGACTGACATCTTCTTTTTCTTTGGTAATAATTACATACATAAAATGAGCTGTATAGGTACATTTGTCTACATCAATAACCCACTACTTGTAATGACCAAAATCAAACTGATTGAATGTTTGTGCAGCACCAAACGTAAGACCATTCGGTACAAGGGTCTGAAAATCAGACTATTACTTAGGTGATTGCAATCACTTATGTGGATTCAACAACTAATGGTCGTTATTTTTGTAAAAAAGCAATTTTCAAACCCTTTCGTTTTGAAGGTAGTTCTAAATAAGAATTGTCTTTCAAATGCCGTTGGAATCTAACATTTTTGATTTTTTTTTTTTTGACCTGCAAATTAAATGGGACATAGAACCTTTAAAGTGTGCCACAGGTTTTGTCAAAATTTGTGTAAGAACAATGTCATTTTGACATTGCAAAAAACAAAGGTTCTAATGTCTGCCCACTCATTCACTTTACATTCAGTTCGTAATTTCAACATGAAAATCTGTCTAGGCTTGTGGATAAAAGTACTAAATCGGATATATCTCATTACTCTAGCCACACATTTATTCAAAGAAGTGTTTTGGGTGGTCTTTTAACATTAACTGTTTATGTCCGTTGGGCCGTTCAATACTTTGGATTGAGGGCAAGTCGATTAGATATTACATCTGCATTTAGGTTGATTCAATTTTTATCAGTAGTTGATTTGTTTATGAGTTTCTATATTTTCATTTTGACCAGGGTGTGGCAATGACTCTTTCACATGTATCAACAACAATTGCGTTCTGAATTCTCTAACTTGTGACGGTTACAATGATTGTGGTGACTTTTCTGATGAGGAGTATTGTCGTAAGCATACACATTATTCTTCAGTTGACTCGTATAATCATGTGAATTTGAAAGGGCATCATCCGTTCCAATTGGCGAGAAATAACTATAACGGACGATATCAAAACCTAAATCTAAAATAATCTAAAATTATAAAAACTGAAAGCTTTCAACTGTCTCAACACCTTGGCCCTGTTTCATAAAACTTTTTATCATTAACAAGTAACAAAAACTGTTACAAGCTACTGAAATCGTGGCATTTGATTGGCAGAAAGCAAAATTGGCATAGAAATTTAGCTTTTGTTATTGTTAACAAGATTTATAAAACAGGGCCCAGGTGTTGAGTTAATGATACTTATTAATGTACCTACCAGTTAGATGTTATTGAAGGCAATGGATCACAACAATTGTATTGAATTCCTTTGCAATTTTACTTTTGATGATGTCTTTATGCTTAGAATAGAATACAACACAACACCTCTACTACCTTCCTTTAAGGCATCGGGTAACATTGTTAAATCTGAGAGGCATGGTCCTACGTGTTATCAGTGTCTGTGATATGGTGTAATAATGAAGCCCTGAAAAAATTGCGCTTCAAAATGATCATGAAGTGCCTCAAAAGAGTAAAAATCTTTGAGTGACCGGTTTTACCACACTCATTTTCCCCAATAGACTGTAGTGTTATGAAAACCGTTAGGCAAACACAAAATTTGATTCCGATTTCCAATCATAAATATCTTGATAATGAGACAGGCGACAGGCTTGTAAAAGTCATGGGGTTCCTGACTGACCTATTTATAATTATCATTGCAGCATGAGCTAAATCCAGGATTTTGTTTCAGAATCTGAGACAAAGTTACCCAATCCCTTAATATTATTCAAATCGAAAAATAATCTACTACGATCTTAATCATGTTAAAATGTTGACTATTTCACCTACCCGGTATATAAGTGATTTTCCATTTATGTAGAATGCTGTAATGTAGTGGAATGTGCTATTGTGTACCATTTGAATGATTTCTTAGAGACGACCAAAATATATGACAGATCTACCTATGAATGGTTATTTTCTGCTTAGTTAGACCTGTAAGACTCTTTATCATGTATTCTACCCAAATTTAAACCAACAAGGGATTCATCTTAACTTGAGATTTAGGTTTTCCTTTTGTAAAACGTAATTTCATACTCGGGGTTTGGGATTTGGTTTACTGAATTAGTAAAACACGAAACTACATGTACATGAATATACACATACAACTGTTCATGTTAATTTTCCCCTTCTTATTATGATATTTTCTGTTTATCAAACAGCACCCTGTGTTCCTCTAGAGAATATAGGTGAATGTGGACAATTACCGTATGACAGAACATACTTCTCGAATCAGTATTCTCCAAATTCTCCTCAGGCAGTTCTTTCTTACAATTTTGTGAGTAGCTCCAGTGTGTTTATATCTTATTTCATTCTCTGGATTACACATAAATATTTCTTTACACTTGATAACTAATGTGCTGTAGTAAAGCAATTTTTTTTCAGAAAGAAATTTATGAAGGATGTTATCAGTATTATTACAAAGGAGAAACTTGCATCATAACATCCATGCTGAAAGTGTCCATATAGATTTCCTTCATACAAAAAAGTTGCTTTATGAGATGAACTAAATTTTATACAGGCCAAAACGATTGCATTGAACATACAAAATATATAACAGTAGCAATATGAGGGACTGCGGTGATGCTAGTTGCACAGTTTGTGTCGAACCTCTTTCTTATAATATTGAGTTGTAGTACATGTACCTTTACATTGGGAAACCCCATTTCATTTCATCCATCCTGCATTCATATTGAAAAGGCAATGTTTTGTTTTCTTCTCTATGCTGTTTGGGTCCATGTACTTTTGCTGTACACCTTGCCAATTAAATATTTGTATTTTTAATTACACTGTGCCATGAACCTGGGTTGAAAGGGAAGTCCACCCTGATATTAAGTTGGTTTTAAGAGAAACACGTCAGTGAAAGTTTGTGCAAAAACCAATTAAAAATAACAGAGTTTTTTATTTTTGAAATTGCTATCAATCAAACATAAATTGGTAACCCTGTGACGTATCTTGTGAGCTCTCCTTCCATTTGCCCTGTACTAAAAAACTTTCAAAAATTATATTTTCCCTGAAGAAAATTGTCAATCATACATTCACTCTAGATATAGTTATTGCACATATGTTGTATGGCAACCCATTTAAGAAACAAATGTATGCCGTCATCAATAACTAAGAAAAAAAATGAAACTTTATGAAACTTTCTGTGCCAAGCAAATTGGACAGGAGGTCTCAAGATACATCACAGAACTGCCAATTCATGTTTGATTTATCGCAACATCGCAACTTCAAAATTCAAAAAAATTCTTTAATATTTTTAATCGACTTTTTCTCAAACTCTCTCTTTCTGATCTGTTTCTCTCATTTTTCTGCTTCTATACCAAACCAACTTAATATCAGGGTAGACTTCCCCTTTAAATGTTTAAATCTTTTATCACATTCCTACCACTATTATTTTGAATGAAGATTATACACAGTTTACAAGGTTGTCATCCCAGAGCCATCGACCTTGCATGCAACTTGCTGTTTCCTGAATGCATCCATCAAGGACCTACAAATCGCCCATGCTACTCAGATTGTGTGAATATTACAGCACACTGTAGAGAACTCTTTGAGCAGCACTCGAACATGTCTTGGCCAGTAAACTGCAAAGACTTTACAGATAAAGGGAGAACACCTAATGGTTACTGCCAGGGAGCTACAGGAGGTAGGGATGATCCAACATTTCATTTCATTTATTGGTTCAACCATTTTTTTTAAACAACATTCAGAAATACAAACAATGTTCGAAGGACATATACAAAACATGTTGGACATACAAAGTAAAAATGGTTAGGGAACCCGAGAGAAGCTTAAGCTTTTAAGTGGGGTTCTCTGTACAATAAACAGATAAAATTGTATAACAAAAACCAGATAATAAACTAAGACAAAACTAAACCATAGCACCCGTCGGCATTCACTGGCTATTTTGTTACGCCGCAATAGCCGGCAGCAACTGCTCTGGGCGTTATTTCTTGAAAGATGTAGGGTTAGGGTTGAAATTGGGATTTTACGTCAGGGTTGAGGCTATGATTAGTATAGTGTTGGGTATAGTTTTGAAATCAGGAACTCTTTTAGTTTTATAGACAATAACCATAGAGCAATTATCGCAGAAGCATGTATTGAACAATTTGATAATTTAATATGGTGTCATCTTGTGTAGCACTCATGTTCATCATGCTGTGACGACCCTAGCGCTCCAACTGGTCCAGCGGTTACTTCAAATTCGTATCCTAGCTTGTCATAGATATTGCATGATTACTTCATCAGTAATAGAAAGCCAAATCCAAATCAGGAAATGTTGAATTCTGTTCATTAATTCACACCTTGTCTCTCCCTCTCTCGTTCTCACTCTTTCCTTGTCTCTTTCTCTTCCTGTTCGTTTCCTCCCATCACTATTAAACTATCTCCCATCACTATCTATCTTTCTTAATACTGAAATTCCCACTTTTCTCTCTTTCAACCCATCCCGTCTCCAAACATATAAAATACATTCCTATTATACATATTTAATCGTTCATCATTATTCATTGCATGTTGCTGTCTTCCTTTTACTAATTTGGCACATTACAGTTGACCTTTTATGCACATTTTGTCTAATTTTGTCTTTTAATCAAATTGTATTATTTCTTATGGTGATTTATATAAATACATAATACCAACTTTAAACCATTGTACTTTTCGATATTAGATAAATGTTTCTTAAGTTTTGTAAATTATTTTGCATGACTCCCTTAATACTAGTATAGACCCTATCAAAGATTCATATATCTTTCTTTACAATTTGATTCTATGTTAGACCTGTTCAAAACTGACATCTGTGGTACAAGACCAGCATATAGACAGAAATTTGCCGAAATAGTAGGTGGCGTGGATGCAAATGAAGGCGAATTTCCCTGGATGGTATATTTGAAAGATAACGGATTTGGTTTCTGCGGAGGTACTCTAATCTCTTCCGAATGGGTAGTGACAGCAGCTCACTGTGTGTAAGTTGGACCTTTGCACTTGTTTTCATAAAGCACACCGTACCAGTTATAAGGTAACCAATCAAAGGGCGTACAGCATTATTACCCTGGTCAGTGGATTGATTCTGCGATTTACAGTGCACACTCTTTACTCCGTTTGGAGCATTCCAGTAGGTAACTTTTACAGGCTTGCACATGCTAATCTAAGCACATCCCACTGGGTATCCATCTAACACTTGGATGAAGAGCAGCAATGTAGAGAAAATGCCTCGCTGAAGGACATAGTACCATGCTGGGCCTAAAACCCAGGACCTTTGTATCCCCATTCAAATGTTTAAAATACATATATGACTCCTATTTCATTCAATAATGATTTTTCAATGTTTGCTGTAGAGGTCTAAGGCAGGTTCCTGCAAAATCACAGCAATACTATATTTCCCATCCTACATTTGGTCGTGGACAACTTCAATAGCCCCTTTTCTTAAAGGAATATTCTATATAGAATAAGAAGCTCATGCAATAATTGGTTTGGTATTATTTCCTTAATAACATATTCTAGAATATAGAAAGTATTAATTGTCCTTTTGAAGTACATGTATTGTCTTCATATCACTGTGAGGCTCTAAACAGTATTACAACTGGTGATTGGATGTCCCCTCCTAGATTTAATAATAATTAATTTACGGCTCGAAAAGTATGTAGAAAGAGCAAAAATATTGTAATATACCAGGTAAACAATTTTACAAAATGGAGATATTGTTTTACTTTGATTTCATGAGCAACATACATGTATGGATTGAAGAAAGTTTGGCAGTCTATTATCTTTTGCTTCATAATACAGAACTATCACTTCCGAAACACATCAAATGTTTATCCTTTATACCGTAGATACCATTGCCAATAGAATGGAAATAAACTTCTTTTATCAACAAAGTTGTGATTAGCATTTTTGTCACAATCATTCATGAAAAGAGGTAAGAAAAACTATTCCAACTCTATGGGCAACAGTGTATGTATATGTGTATATATATATATATATATATTTGTATATGAATGTATGTTTATATATAAATATATATATATATACATATACACACATATACATATTTACATACGCTCTTGCCCATACAGTTGGAATGTTCTTTTTCTTACCTCTTTTCTTGAAATGATTGTGACAAAATGCTTGATTCTTGATAGACAAAGAATGTCTTATCACAACTTTATTGATAAATCTGTATGACTTTTCAGATTGATATATATACAGTATACATATATATGTACATATGTGTGTGTGTGTGTGTGTACACATTATGCATATGCATGTATATATGTTTTTGATCATGGAATCAGATTTAATGCACAAATTTTTGTTAAGTGCCTCGTTATTATTACAAATTATTTCATTCACCTGGTACAAAAAATTTTATTTCAAAAGTCGGAATGCGAGTTTCGTGTTGTTCGGTAGGACAAAATATAATAGCTGTGTTCCCACGATGGCAATTTTGGTTGGCGTACGGTTCATGTTTAGAGCTATTTTGGGTAAATATGGGCAACTGAATAAGACTCACTATTTAAAGTTCAAAAGAAATGTTTAAGAATAGCTACCAACTCTCATTATGTAGCACCATCTGCACCTTTTTTTATCCCCTCGCAGACGAAGTCGGAGGGGATAAACGATGTCGTGTGACCGTCCTGTCATAAAAAATCTGGTTTCCGTTCGATAACTTTAGTAACATTGAAATTAATATCGCTAGTGACATTCGTTTGTCTCGCAATGTATAGTCAGCAAGGGATCTGAAAGATCACGACGTTTCGTGTGCCACGTGTAACGTGCTAACACGACTAGAGGGTAGGGTAAGTTGACCGTGCGGATGCTCTCACATGGCACCCTGAGTATCAAAATGATAAGAAATTTGGTCCAGTCTTGGTAAAGTTACCAGCTCTGTATATATGGGACTACACAAACATGTGGCATAAAAATCAGTCACAATTTTTATGATGTTATATGCCATATTTAGAATATCAAGGCATTTGCAGATCCATGCCTTCCAGAGAACATTTTTTTCTCTGATGTTCTTCCACACTTGCAAAATACAATGATAACACTCACAAATTATTGTTCACCTCTTCCCAGAACTCAACCTTCTCTTTAAGGTTCAACATTTTCTGGGGCCCTCAAGTGGGCCCCGGACCTTACACCATAAAGGCTTTAGCACTTTGCGCGTACAATCTGTACATTTCACACCCCCCTTTTGGAAAATCCTGGATCTGCCCCTGGCTTCCGGAAGTTACGCTGATTATAAGACTGGGTCAGTGGAAGGTCGTGTTAACTTGATCGTGGCAAGTTGGTCCGAGCAAGAGGGTATGGACAACTAATGGTGTGAGTTAAATATTTATGGGATATTTACTGCTGCAGGGATTAACTTATGCCAACTAGCAAGCCCCTGTCTTAACATGGCTTATGTTTGGCTAACCTAGAAGCAATTAGTGGATGTAATTCACATTCTGACTATTGAAATACAATTATTTGTAACAGGTGAGTAAAATGATTTGTAACATGGCAGTTAACAAAGAGTTATGAATATTAAACATTTTATTACATTCCCAGAATGTTTATTACTTATCTATTAATGACTCATTTTCAATATTGATTTTTTTTTTTGGTGTGTGTTTCAGTGTTTTTCTTCACTCTGATGATCTCTACGCTATTTGTTTTAACATAATGACTGTGATATTGAACATTTTGATGTTTCAAAACATGTATGTTATGTGTTGTTTTGATGAAAGTGTTGAAATAAACTTTGAACATTATATTTCATGTCCATAGCTCTTCTGGTAGCCGCTATACTGTGGATGAGGTTGTCTTTGGGAATCTCAACATTGAAAGCACTTCACCATATCGCCTCAGCATTACACCCAGTCAAATATTCATTCATCCCGACTATGATTCTTTCACCAATGATGCAGATATAGCACTCATCCAACTCTCTACGCTAGTCAATTACACTGATTACATCAGACCAGCATGTCTTGCAAATTCATCTCAAGAAACCACTGTATACAAGCAATGTATAGTAAGCGGATGGGGAAATACTCAAATTGGTACGTTGTAGCTCAATTTTGGTCTTACAATTTATTTTTTTTTTGGGGGGGGGAGGGGGTAGGCGAGGAGGGGTGGCCATGCAGGCACCTAGTACACTCTTCCAAAATTGTCATAACACAAGGGTCCTCATATTTTAGGGATCCCTTTCAAAACAAAAGTAGGAAAACAAAATTAACATTAACGTTCATTGGGGTCCTCGAACACCTGAGCCAGAAGCTTATAGGAACCGCATCCAGTGTAGGAAAATACAAACAAACAAAAAATTTAAAAATGGAAAATGCTAAAATATTTGGTATAGTAGTGGTTAGAATGAAATAATTCTGATTTCTTCATATTTTTCACTTTTATGCTGTGTATACCGGCAGCTAGTTCACTAAAGAGTGGTTTTGAGGATAGAAATGTAATACATAAATCATGATGCTTGTTGCAAAGATTGCTGGTTTGCGAGGTCTTTTTCTATTATTTTTGTTTCTCTGTGCACGTGTGCAGAGTTGCATTTATGTTTTGTTACCAGACTCGCATTATCAGTAAAACTTGTCATTTTTTATTTGTTTAGTAATGCAAGCATGAATATTATAGTAAACATGTAAATAGATGAAGTGTCACGTTTTCCCCATTTTTAAGTAATCAGATTGACCGAGTTTTCTATCAACCTGATTAATTCTTATTGCATTATGGCTGCAGTTTTGCACAAATTCTATCACAAATCCCATTGGACAGTATCACATCTGGCATTCAAGAAGTTAAAATGGTGAATTTTTTCATATCATATTGTGTAGATGGATATCCAGACCACTTGCAGAAGGCATTCGTGGGTTTGATTAGCAGAATCACCTGTGGAAGTCTACTTGGGATTGAAAGCTTTACAGACAACATGATATGCGCAGGATATGAAAGAGGAGATATAGATACCTGTGACGTTAGTTTTTCCTCTTCTACATTTGATAGTTGAATATTAATTCATTATTTAGATAAAATAGGGTATTTGTTAGAGAGCATACTATTGGCTTGGAAGATATCAACTAGCTGACTCTCAACATTTTGTTATATGTGCATGAGCGTGAACCTTACATGCACAATATGTGTACTAAATTGAATTAGACTCTGAACCTCTCCCTGCATGTATCCATTCATTGCATTATCTTAGCTGTGAACATGTCATTCAAGGGCAACCTGAATATAATCGCCTGACTCCAGATATGAGATCGCAAATACCCCAAATTTTGTATAACAAATAACGCATGCATTGCATCGCTCAATATATAATACCCCCCCCCCCCCCAAATGCAGAATTTCCCAGGCTCATGCCTGTGGCCCCAGTGAAATATAACATCACTTGTGCAATTGTTAATTTGTCAGTGAAAATATTATATTGCATGAATATTGAATGCCAGAGCATGAAATAATAGTATAATATTATATTTTGAAGGGTGATAGTGGTGGTCCTTTAGCATGTGAAGGTCCAGATGGTAGATGGCACCTGGTCGGTGTAACCAGTTGGGGATATGGATGTGCGGAACCAGGAAGTCCAGGAGTGTACGCGAGAGTCTCTGAGCTGTTGCCTTTCATTCTAGGAGTTGTGAAAAGTATGTTTAAGTTCATAAATATCTTGGTATTGAAAGAAATTTAACATATGACAACACAAGCATTTTTTTTTAATGAATGTATCTCAGAAATATATTCTGTAAAGAGAAAGCTCTAATCTGCTCTTTAAAAAAACACCAATGAAGCAACATTGGTTTAATTAAGCAACAATATATGTATAGAAACCCAATTGTTATATGAAAATTAATCATGGAGACACAATTTTTACAATTGGTAAATCTAACTTCGAGACATGTTTAGGTGAATTTATGTAGAGGATAAGTTTTGTGCCCCCTCTATGACTTAAATTTGTTTGATTTTAGTGCAGAATAGATTCTTCCTTATTATTAACAATATATAACTTCACAAAACGTGTAATGCAGAGCGAAGAGAAAACCAAGGATATATGAAATTCCAAATTTTTACATAAATGATTTCAAGTGATCTGTCTATTATCTCATTTGAACAATAAATAATTTCTTTTTATTGCAGATTACGCAGGCAGTGTTCCACCAACATTAGGTATTGTTGTAGTTTCAGCACTTTTATCAATTAATACATTTAAAACCATATAATGCAAACAAATATAAACGTCTTTCCACTTTCTCCAACTCCTTTATTATCTCTTTAAATTCAAGTTATTAATTAGATTGCAGGCTGGTGCAGTGTGGTGGGAATTGGTATATAGGCTAGTCCCTGGTATTTCCTCTTGTGTCGCATACGTAATGATTGGGCACCTAATATTTGACTTAAAATTTGCCAATTTTTTATTAAAATTCCTTTGATGCTTAATGTGATTCTACATGTATTCATTACATTCTTTATGTTCCCACGTCTGCACACTCATTCAATTTACATGTCGCTTTGGGATATGATTCTTGAGTGGAAATTTACCATATCGAGGCTGGTGAATAGAATTGCTAAAATTTTACAGATATGTTTTACTTGTTTTTCACATATATCTCCGAGTCTATATCTATTTATGATAACAGAGACTCAAACAAATTTCTGTTCATTAGTTTTTTTATTTCATAAGAATCAGTTGCACGTATATGTATGCGTAGACATATATAGGCACTCTAGCAATACTATGATTCATGGAATTCTTGATTAAAACTAAAAAGTATCACTACCCTTGATATTTTCTTTTATATACTGCATATGAATATCCAAGGCCTCTGATTGGCCAAAACTGCAGGCATAAAATTTGAAACTGACTGCTGGACAGTGTAGCTAAACAAATATTGAATGCGCACAGTGCATATGTGAACATGCTTTAAATTTCACTAGAAAATGAGACAAATCCCTAAGTGCCATTAAAGGTCTGCATGGGTACAATGTATTCATGGGCATTGCATTGGGGACCCACTAAACACAAGAGTATTTATGCCATTAACAGCAGATACTGGAGATTGGCAATACACATCTTGTAGACTTGAAAGCGATTCTGTTTGTTTTTTTTAATTTAGGACTAATCAAATGTCAGGATACAAATTTTAACAAAAAATACAATTTTAACCAAAAAAAATTTAACAAAAATATTTGGTATTCTCTCTGACGTACTTGTTCCCATCAGCCAAAGTCTTGGAGATAAGGTCCTTGCAGGTTGATAAAACACAGTACCGGCTGTCGAAAATCCTAGCCATAAAGCTAAACTAAAACATGATTTCAACCCTAATCCTAACCTTATGTTCTTGACGAAAATAATCCTGGATCAATCGTCTGTACAGCAGCTGTCGGAGCACAGCACAGCTGAGAGCACAGACAAGATACTGCTGATAGCGCATGCACAAATATATTGAAATTCCAATTTTAAACTACACTCAGCATAACAAGAAAGTGGACACTATTTCTAATTAAGATTTTCTAATAAGTATTGGAAGTATAGTTATATTTATATATCTAAATAAATATATATAGTAATCCTTGTTTAGATGATATGCACTTGGAATTGTACCATTCATGCATGAGTGAGCATAGCCATTTACCAATAAATGAGTTTCTAAAAGAAAATTGCGAAAATGGATCATCGATCCGACCATTCAAATGATGAGCATTTAGATCTTGTAGAATGAAATGTATCAAGAAACTACTAAAAAAATGGGATTTTCTTTCATTCAATTTCTTTATTCATACTGATTACCAGTCACAAGTGAAATGAAACACATTCCTATGTTTTAACAAATAATGCAATATTCTTTTGTTTTCCTAGGTACTACTACGGCCAGTCTAACCAATGACATGATTTCAGGTATTACCATGATAACTACTCCATTGGTAAACACGTCTTAAAACACTGCACTCAACGATTTCATATCTTAAACTTTAGGCAACTGTTTTTAAATAATTTTCTACATACTCTTAATTTAGTGTTTAGGAGAGTATGTGTGTGTAGTCACCTGTATTTTAAAACCATTTTATCTGAGCTTGCTGTGATGTACATTGTTCCTTCTTTAAGCCTAAATGTGCATAATTATACTCTACATTAAGGGTTGTTGTTGATTTCATTTAGACACAGGAAAAACACACTTTCAGCCCCAAAAGCTGTTTTTCAGTATGTTCGTTTTTATGGTATTACACAAATGAATTTGACGACAAAATGACCATACACCTGAAAAATACAATACAAACATATGAACACCGTTAGGCAAACACAAAATTTGATTCCGATTTCCAATCATAAATATCTTGATAATGAGACAGGAGATCGGCTTGTAAAAGTCATGGGGTTCCTGACTGACCTATATATAATTATCATTGCACCATGAGCTAAATCCAGGATTTTGTTTCAGAATCTGAGACAAAGTTACCCAATCCCTTAATATTATTCAAATCGAAAAATAATCTACTACGATCTTAATCATGTTAAAATGTTGACTATTTCACCTACCCGGTATAAGTGATTTTCCATTTATGTAGAATGCTGTAATGTAGTGGAATGTGCTATTGTGTACCATGTGAATGATTTCTTAGAGACGACCAAAATGTATGACAGATCTACCTATGAATGGTTATTTTCTGCTTAGTTAGACCTGTAAGACTCTTTATCATGTATCCTACTCAAATTTAAACCAACAAGGGATTCATCTTAACTTGAGATTTAGGTTTTCTTTTCGTAAACGTAATTTCATACTCAGGGTTTGGGCAACAGCTTATGCAATTTGTGTGCTGACATCTGTTCATGTCCTGAAGATCATTGAATACCTTTGATTTAGGGCAAGTCAATTTGTAATGGGGGGGGGGGAGTGGGGGATTAATCTACTGGTAGAGGAAGCTGGTCAACCAAAATTTCTTGAGCCAGTTGTTGCAACCCCAAATTATATTACTTGTGCATTTAGGTTGATTAAATTTTGGCAATGATAAAGCACCTGTCAGTAAATGATATGATCATGAATTTCTATAGTTTCATGTTGACCAGGGTGTAGCAATGACTCTTTCACATGTACTAACAAGAATTGCATTCTGAATTGTCAAACTTGTGACGGTTTCAATGATCGTGGTGACTTTTCTGATGAGGAGTATTGTCGTAAGCAAACACATGTTTCTTCAGTTGACTTGTTCAATCTTGTGAATTTGAAATGGCATCATCCTTTCCAGGTCACAAGGTCCTTTTTTCAAGTTTGCATCGTAGAGTGCAGCAAAATTTTAAAAGTCTGGGTTTTTATATATTGACTACCAAAACAATTGTAAATCATTGCGACATTTATGTACTTTATATTTTTGCATGCATATGCACTAGTGACTTTTAGTTCAACTGGCATTAACTGTATAAGTGCACTTTATTCCAGCAACCCCCCCAGCAAACTCGATCTGCTTCGAGTGTGCATCTGACTATGAATGTGTGTATGATCCAAGCTGGGTTTGCGATGGTATCGATGATTGCGATAACAGAGAGGATGAATTGAACTGCATAGGTAAGATTGAAATTGTTTAAAATCACAGTACTATTATGTAAATTGAATGTTGCATCACTCTTTTGCTCAGTTGACATGTTCAATCCATACATGCCAACTGTTCAGATTAAAGAGGAACATTCCTCTTTTTGGGAGAAGATAATTATCATTTTAATGCAGGTGTTCCTCTTCCTGTACAAATTTGTCTGTAGTATTGAATAGGAGAGTTAGGATTGTTCCTCTTTTTTTTAAAAATAGCATAATTTGTACAGATTTCTGATTTTCAAATGTTGGCATGTATGTCAATCTTGTGAATTTGAAATGGCATCATCCATTTCAGTTCAGCTAGAAATATACGAATAAAAAACGGACTATAGCAAAACCTTTGTATATGACTATCTAAAATTATCAAAACTAAAAGCTTTCATCTGGGCCCTCCTTTATGAACCTTAATATTAACAATAAGAAAAGCTCAATTTCTACGACAAATTTGCTCTTTGCCAATCAAATGCGTTGATTTCAGTAGCTTATAACAGTTATTGTAATTGATAACAATTTTAATGAAACAGGGCCCGGGTGTGGAGTAAAAAAAATGAATGTTTAAATATGAAGAATATATGATTTTTTGGTAAAACAGTTAAATATTATGACCTTAATTGCATAAATTACCACAAATATGCAAACATCAGCTTATTTCCATGCAATTTGCATTCAGAAAATTATAGCACAAAAGATAATTGCAAGCGAATGAAATACTTCATCATTGCACACACATGTGGGAAGGAAGCGTCTATAGATTTGAATACATTTGCTTGATAAACGACTTTGCATAGTAGGCCTATGATATCGAGCAAATGGCGATGCCTATGTTGTCCTTAGAAACTGTACATTATGCTAAGAATATCTTGTTTTATATACCTCTCACATACACTTTGATGGGGTATCGTGTAGATTAATTGGGCAAGAATACAATAAATCTCTCAGAATAACTTAAGTTATTTTTTGGGGTGAGGTTTCCTTTAATCATTTTAACAGACAAGATTCATCATATTATTGTACATGGGTTTTCTTCTTTACGCTACTAAATTTTCAGCAGTGCACCTGACTCTAGGAGAAATGTGTTTGATCTCATCACCAAACTATCCTTCATTATTTCATATCTTAAACTTTAAACAAATATTTAAAAATAATTTTCTACCTACTCTTAATTAATAGTGTTGAGAAAAGTATGTGTGTGCATATATGTGTGATTGTATATTTCTTTATTCATACTGATTAACAGGCAAAATTGAAATGAAACACATGCCAGTGTTTTATATTTAAGCAAATAATGCAATATTCTTTTGTTTTCCTAGGTACTACAACCAATGACACGATTTCAGGTATTACTATGATAACTACTCCATTAGTAAACACGTCTTTAAACACTGCACTCAATTATTTCATATATCTTTAGACAAACGTTTTTAAATAATTTTCTACATACTCTTATTTTAGTGTTGAAAAGAGTATGTGTGTGCAAATGTATGTAAGTGTGTGCTATTTTTATGTGCAAATACCCCATGTGTCACCTGTATTTTATAACTATTTTATGTGACCTTCTTTGAACCTAAATGTGCATACCTTATATTAAGCTACATTAAGGGTTGTTGTTGATTTTATTTAGACACGGTAAAAACAAACTTTCAGCACCAAAGGCTGTGTTTCAGTATGTCTGTTTGTATGGTAATACCCAAATGAATTTGACATCAAGATTACCATACACAGGAAAAAATACAATACAATCATATGAGCAAAAATAATGTTGGACATTACGGCAAAGAGCAATTGCAGTAAATTAAAGTAAATGAAATAGATTTTGTTTTAAGAATTGAAATCTATGACTTGAACCAATTTGATGATCTGCATGTTCTTTTTTCATTTAAACAGACAAAATTTATCATCAAATTATTGTACTTGGTTTATTTCTTACACTACTAAAGTTGGAGAAACGTGGTCAATTTCATCACCAAACTATCCTCATGAGTATCCAAACTACGCCTATTATACTTGGTACATCACGGCTCCATCAAACTACTCTGTGATCATCACATTCATAACATTTAATCTGGAATCTTGCTGTGACCATCTGAGCATAGGGAATGGTCATACACCTGGGAACTTGGTGGTAAAAACTTTCTCAGGACAAGATATACCAGCGTCTTTGAGGTTTGTGTAAATGTATACATTATTTAATTTGTGCATTTTTAATGCACATGTACTTGCATTTTAACTTGAAGAAGCCATATGAACAAAATAGTGTTTCACCTATACATGTGTCTCTAAATTTGCGCATGTGTGTGTGTTCATGTAACTCAAATGTTCTGTTATGGTGGGTGTGACGTCTCATCCCAACAAATTTTGATATACGTACCAGTACATTAGTTTTTGTTGTGTGTCAGTTTCTATATTAATGCAATTTTGTCATTTTGGTCGGTCCGTTGTCAGTCGGTCTGTCAGACTTTTGTAGGTCTTTTGTCATTGTGATAAGGATATTTCTCTATTAAAGAAAGTAGGTGATCTCGCTCTCAACAGCAACTCACTTTCTCCTGTGCTACAAACTGAAAACCTCTGAGACTCTGATGTTATCTGCCATGTCTCAGATATTTAAAACCATTTTTGCCTGTAAGACAGATTATGAGTTGGTGCCAGGTGGTTCCTTCACACTGGAAAAGAAAAGAAAGAAACGATGAAATCATACTTTGGGTAGTCTCTCCCAATGACATCTGATGTGGTTTTGGACCTAACACTGCTCTATGAAACGACCAACTATAATAATATGCAAATCAGGATGGTTTACAGGCAAGCTACAGTTAGATGAGTTTTGGGGTGTTCTTGCAAATGCAAACAAAAATCGAAAGGATTACTATGACTATGAAATGTTTTTTTTTTTATGATACTACGTCATTGGTGCTGAAGTGTGAAATAACAGTGTATCCAGAACATAGTGAATAATCAGATAGTATGTATTAATATCAGAAAAAGTATTGACACAATTTTGTCTTGTTCTACAGATTGTACAGTTCTAACAGTTGGATGCGATTCACCAGTGACGATTCAGTCACGCATCAGGGATTCCAACTGCAGCTAACAGTGATCCCTAGATCTCTAGGTATGTACACACATCTAGTTTTGGTTTTGGTTTAAGCTCATCTGGCCCGATTGGTGCGATGAGCTAAACAGTATGCAATTGCATTTGGCGTCCATCATCCATCCACAATTTCTAAATGCTTCCTCTTCATAATTTCTCATCCGATTTGGATTCTGTTTGCTTTATGGATAGGGCTGGGTAGGGGGAGTGGAAACTTCTACACAGAATTGTGAAATTTGTATTAATTTTGCATATTCATGCAAATTGATTCAAAGTCACAAAAAACATTTTCTCCTTCATTCATTGACCAACTTTGATTTTTTTTTCTTTTACAGAGCTGAATGAGATCCGCAGAAATTTTTCATATAATTTTGAAAGTTTGCTTTAAAATTGCCCCCCCCCCCCCAAAAAAAAAAAAAAATGCAAGAAATTACAAGAAAAACCTTCTTCTCCATAATTCATTGACCAGTTTTAATTTTGTCTGTTTTCTCTAATAGAGCTAAGTTACATACACAAAAATTCTACACAAAATGTTGAAATATTGACTCAAACATCAATTATATTTTTTGCTATTACAGCAGAACCTAGCATAACGCTAAAAAACAGCAGAACAGGGATAGAATGACGCTAAAATGCAGCGGAACATAGAATTACGCTGAAATACAGCAAAACGTAGAATGACGCTGATATACAGCAAAACATATAATGAGGCTAAAATACAGCAGAAAATAGAATGATGCTGAAATACAGCGGAACATAAAATGATGCTTAAAAATGCAGCAGAAAATAGAATGATGCTAAAATACAGCAGAACCTAGAATTATGCCAAAATACAGCAGAACCTAGAATTATGCTAAAAAACAGCAGAACCTAGATTTATGCTGAAATACAGCATGAAGTAGAATTATGCCAAAATACAGCAGAACCTAAAATTATGCTAAAAACAGCAGAACCTAGAATTATGCTGAACTACAGCAGGAAGTAGAAATTAGGGTGAAATGCAGCAGAACATAGACAAACAAATCAAGAGAACACAGAATTGCGCTAAAATACAGCAGAACATAAAATTAAACTAAAATATGTAGGATATGATATTTTAGTGTAATATATAGGGGAACCCTGTGTCTGCTCTCCTAATATTTCACTTGAAATCAACAAGATTTGTTACCGTTATATTGTGCTCCCCTTATGCTTGATGTCATTTAATTTCTTATATATATAACTAGATTAAAGATACTATGTCCCTTTTGCAGCCAACATCACATTATGTAGAACGTTGCAGGAATTATGAATATGTCATGAAGGTCCTATCTGTGAAATTTAAATGTTAGCAGTGTCCTAGTATTCAAATTATGCAAGGAAACCCATTTACTTTCTAGACTTCCCTGTCAGACACTATTGAGTGACTGACTGACATCTTCTTTTTCTTTGGTAATAATTACATACATAAAATGAGCTGTATAGGTACATTTGTCTACATCAATAACCCACTACTTGTAATGACCAAAATCAAACTGATTGAATGTTTGTGCAGCACCAAACGTAAGACCATTCGGTACAAGGGTCTGAAAATCAGACTATTACTTAGGTGATTGCAATCACTTATGTGGATTCAACAACTAATGGTCGTTATTTTTGTAAAAAAGCAATTTTCAAACCCTTTCGTTTTGAAGGTAGTTCTAAATAAGAATTGTCTTTCAAATGCCGTTGGAATCTAACATTTTTGATTTTTTTTTTTTTTGACCTGCAAATTAAATGGGACATAGAACCTTTAAAGTGTGCCACAGGTTTTGTCAAAATTTGTGTAAGAACAATGTCATTTTGACATTGCAAAAAACAAAGGTTCTAATGTCTGCCCACTCATTCACTTTACATTCAGTTCGTAATTTCGACATGAAAATCTGTCTAGGCTTGTGGATAAAAGTACTAAATCGGATATATCTCATTACTCTAGCCACACATTTATTCAAAGAAGTGTTTTGGGTGGTCTTTTAACATTAACTGTTTATGTCCGTTGGGCCGTTCAATACTTTGGATTGAGGGCAAGTCGATTTGATATTACATCTGCATTTAGGTTGATTCAATTTTTATCAGTAATTGATTTGTTTATGAGTTTCTATATTTTCATTTTGACCAGGGTGCGGCAACGACTCTTTCACATGTATCAACAACAATTGCGTTCTGAATTCTCTAACTTGTGACGGTTACAATGATTGTGGTGACTTTTCTGATGAGGAGTATTGTCGTAAGCATACACATTATTCTTCAGTTGACTCGTATAATCATGTGAATTTGAAAGGGCATCATCCGTTCCAATTGGCGAGAAATAACTATAACGGACGATATCAAAATCTAAATCTAAAATAATCTAAAATTATAAAAACTGAAAGCTTTCAACTGTCTCAACACCTTGGCCCTGTTTCATAAAACTTTTTATCATTTTGTATAGGCATGTTTTTGCCCATGTATGCTAGGTATTACAAGAGCTCGCACGAACGGAAATTATCTTAAACGGACGCTCATTCCCTTATTAATGGGCAGAAAAAGATGAACAAGGTATCAAAATGCTTTGAAAAATGTGCCAAATATGATGACAGAGAAAATCTGGCGATTCTATGTTGAAAAATACCAGTACGCTTGAAAACGCGCACGCATGCGTGCGAGCGCGTTTTTTTGCAAAATGCTTAAAATGGCCTGAAACATATGCAAAATAAATTTGAGACGATTTGGAGCATTTTTTTTTTTGCGCGCGCGCTTACGCGCGGACGTACACATGCGCGCGCGTTCTTTGACCTGAAATTGACCGGACGGATATTGACCTTGATCATGATAAATATGAATAAGAAATGCCTTTCCGTTATGAATATATGATCATGAGTTGAAAGAACAAAAAAACAAAAAAAATGGTGCCTGGATGACGTCATAAAGACTTGATGACCTTGAAAATGTTCCTGTCATGTCTTATGGCAATGACCTATGACTGTGCCAAAATTGAACGAAATTGACTGAACCGATCTTGAGTTATCATCGGAACAAAAAAGTGTGGAGAAATAAAAATAAATAATAATAATAATAATAATAAGAAAGAAAATTCTGACGAAAACAATAGGTGATCTGTCGTAAACGACAGACCACCTAATTATCAAAGCAATAGATAACATACGGACTAACCTGGCTATTTCAAATTTGTTTGCTTTATTATTATTCCAAATGAATATATGTAGTAAAAATGAATGTTTAAATATAAAGAATATATGATTTTGGGGTAAAAAAATTAAATATTATGACCTTAGTAGCATAAATTACCATAAATGCAAACATTAGCTTATTTTCATGCAATTTGCATTCAGACAATTATTTCCAAAAGATAATAGCAAGTGAATGAAATAATTCATCACTGCACACACACGGAAGAAAGCGCCTATAGATTTGAAAACATTTGCTTGATAAACGACTTTGCATAGTAGGCCTATGATATCGAGCAAATGGCGATGCCTATGTTGTCCTTAGAAACTGTACATTATGCTAAGAATATCTTGTTTTATATACCTCTCACATACGCTTTGGTAGGGTATCGTGTAGATTAATTGGGCAAGAATACAATAAAACTCTCAGAATAACTTAAGTTATTTCTTGGGGTGAGGTTTCCTTTAATCATTTTAACAGACAAAATTTATCATATTATTGTACATGGGTTTTCTTCTTTACACTACTAAATTTTCAGCAGTGCACCTGACTCTAGGAGAAATGTGTTTGATCTCATCACCAAACTATCCTTCATTATTTCATATCTTACACTTTAAACAAATATTTAAAAATAATTTTCTACATACTCTTAATGAATAGTGTTGAGAAAAGTATGTGTGTGCATATATGTGTGATTGTATATTTCTTTATTCATACTGATTAACAGGCAAAATTGAAATGAAACACATGCCAGTGTTTTATATTTAAGCAAATAATGCAATATTCTTTTGTTTTCCTAGGTACTACAACCAATGACACGATTTCAGGTATTACTATGATAACTACTCCATTAGTAAACACGTCTTTAAACACTGCACTCAATTATTTCATATATCTTTAGACAAACGTTTTTAAATAATTTTCTACATACTCTTATTTTAGTGTTGAAAAGAGTATGTGTGTGCAAATGTATGTAAGTGTGTGCTATTTTTATGTGCAAATACCCCATGTGTCACCTGTATTTTATAACTATTTTATCTGACCTTCTTTGAACCTAAATGTGCATACCTTATATTAAGCTACATTAAGGGTTGTTGTTGATTTTATTTAGACACGGTAAAAACAAACTTTCAGCACCAAAGGCTGTGTTTCAGTATGTCCGTTTGTATGGTAATACCCAAATGAATTTGACATCAAGATTACCATACACAGGAAAAAATACAATACAATCATATGAGCAAAAATAATGTTGGACATTACGGCAAAGAGCAATTGCAGTAAATAAAAGTAAATGAAATAGATTTTTTTTTAAGAATTGAAATCTATGACTTGAACCAATTTGATGATCTGCATGTTCTTTTTTCATTTAAACAGACAAAATTTATCATCAAATTATTGTACTTGGTTTATTTCTTACACTACTAAAGTTTCAGCGGTTAACTTGACTGTTGGAGAAACGTGGTCAATTTCATCACCAAACTATCCTCATGAGTATCCAAACCACGCCTATAATACTTGGTACATCACGGCTCCATCAAACTACTCTGTGATCATCACATTCATAGCATTTAATCTGGAATCTTGCTGTGACCATCTGAGCATAGGGAATGGTCATACACCTGGGAACTTGGTGGTAAAAACTTTCTCAGGACAAGATATACCAGCGTCTTTGAGGTTTGTGTAAATGTATACATTATTTAATTTGTGCATTTTTAATGCACATGTACTTGCATTTTAACTTGAAGAAGCCATATGAACAAAATAGTGTTTCACCTATACATGTGTCTCTAAATTTGCGCATGTGTGTGTGTTCATGTAACTCAAATGTTCTGTTATGGTGGGTGTGACGTCTCATCCCAACAAATTTTGATATACGTACCAGTACATTAGTTTTTGTTGTGTGTCAGTTTCTATATTAATGCAATTTTGTCATTTTGGTCGGTCCGTTGTCAGTCGGTCTGTCAGACTTTTGTAGGTCTTTTGTCATTGTGATAAGGATATTTCTCTATTAAAGAAAGTAGGTGATCTCGCTCTCAACAGCAACTCACTTTCTCCTGTGCTACAAACTTAAAACCTCTGAGACTCTGATGTTATCTGCCATGTCTCAGATATTTAAAACCATTTTTGCCTGTACGACAGATTATGAGTTGGTGCCAGGAGGTTCCTTCACACTGGAAAAGAAAAGAAAGAAACGATGAAATCATACTTTGGGTAGTCTCTCCCAATGACATCTGATGTGGTTTTGGACCTAACACTGCTCTATGAAACGACCAACTATAATAATATGCAAATCAGGATGGTTTACAGGCAAGCTACAGTTAGATGAGTTTTGGGGTGTTCTTGCAAATGCAAACAAAAATCGAAAGGATTGCTATGACTATGAAATGTGTTTTTTTTTATGATACTACGTCATTGGTGCTGAAGTGTGAAATAACAGTGTATCCAGAACATAGTGAATAATCAGATAGTATGTATTAATATCAGAAAAAGTATTGACACAATTTTGTCTTGTTCTACAGATTGTACAGTTCTAACAGTTGGATGCGATTCACCAGTGACGATTCAGTCACGCATCAGGGATTCCAACTGCAGCTAACAGTGATCCCTAGATCTCTAGGTATGTACACACATCTAGTTTTGGTTTTGGTTTAAGCTCATCTGGCCCGATTGGTGCGATGAGCTAAACAGTATGCAATTGCATTTGGCGTCCATCATCCATCCACAATTTCTAAATGCTTCCTCTTCATAATTTCTCATCCGATTTGGATTCTGTTTGCTTTATGGATAGGGCTGGGTAGGGGGAGTGGAAACTTCTACACAGAATTGTGAAATTTGTATTAATTTTGCATATTCATGCAAATTGATTCAAAGTCACAAAAAACATTTTCTCCTTCATTCATTGACCAACTTTGATTTTTTTTTCTTTTACAGAGCTGAATGAGATCCGCAGAAATTTTTCATATAATTTTGAAAGTTTGCTTTAAAATTGCCCCCCCCCCCCCCCCAAAAAAAAAAAAAAAATGCAAGAAATTACAAGAAAAACCTTCTTCTCCATAATTCATTGACCAGTTTTAATTTTGTCTGTTTTCTCTAATAGAGCTAAGTTACATACACAAAAATTCTACACAAAATGTTGAAATATTGACTCAAACATCAATTATATTTTTTGCTATTACAGCAGAACCTAGCATAACGCTAAAAAACAGCAGAACAGGGATAGAATGACGCTAAAATGCAGCGGAACATAGAATTACGCTGAAATACAGCAAAACGTAGAATGACGCTGATATACAGCAAAACATATAATGAGGCTAAAATACAGCAGAAAATAGAATGATGCTGAAATACAGCGGAACATAAAATGATGCTTAAAAATGCAGCAGAAAATAGAATGATGCTAAAATACAGCAGAACCTAGAATTATGCCAAAATACAGCAGAACCTAGAATTATGCTAAAAAACAGCAGAACCTAGATTTATGCTGAAATACAGCATGAAGTAGAATTATGCCAAAATACAGCAGAACCTAAAATTATGCTAAAAACAGCAGAACCTAGAATTATGCTGAACTACAGCAGGAAGTAGAAATTAGGGTGAAATGCAGCAGAACATAGACAAACAAATCAAGAGAACACAGAATTGCGCTAAAATACAGCAGAACATAAAATTAAACTAAAATATGTAGGATATGATATTTTAGTGTAATATATAGGGGAACCCTGTGTCTGCTCTCCTAATATTTCACTTGAAATCAACAAGATTTGTTACCGTTATATTGTGCTCCCCTTATGCTTGATGTCATTTAATTTCTTATATATATAACTAGATTAAAGATACTATGTCCCTTTTGCAGCCAACATCACATTATGTAGAACGTTGCAGGAATTATGAATATGTCATGAATGTCCTATCTGTGAAATTTAAATGTTAGCAGTGTCCTAGTATTCAAATTATGCAAGGAAACCCATTTACTTTCTAGACTTCCCTGTCAGACACTATTGAGTGACTGACTGACATCTTCTTTTTCTTTGGTAATAATTACATACATAAAATGAGCTGTATAGGTACATTTGTCTACATCAATAACCCACTACTTGTAATGACCAAAATCAAACTGATTGAATGTTTGTGCAGCACCAAACGTAAGACCATTCGGTACAAGGGTCTGAAAATCAGACTATTACTTAGGTGATTGCAATCACTTATGTGGATTCAACAACTAATGGTCGTTATTTTTGTAAAAAAGCAATTTTCAAACCCTTTCGTTTTGAAGGTAGTTCTAAATAAGAATTGTCTTTCAAATGCCGTTGGAATCTAACATTTTTGATTTTTTTTTTTTTTGACCTGCAAATTAAATGGGACATAGAACCTTTAAAGTGTGCCACAGGTTTTGTCAAAATTTGTGTAAGAACAATGTCATTTTGACATTGCAAAAAACAAAGGTTCTAATGTCTGCCCACTCATTCACTTTACATTCAGTTCGTAATTTCGACATGAAAATCTGTCTAGGCTTGTGGATAAAAGTACTAAATCGGATATATCTCATTACTCTAGCCACACATTTATTCAAAGAAGTGTTTTGGGTGGTCTTTTAACATTAACTGTTTATGTCCGTTGGGCCGTTCAATACTTTGGATTGAGGGCAAGTCGATTTGATATTACATCTGCATTTAGGTTGATTCAATTTTTATCAGTAATTGATTTGTTTATGAGTTTCTATATTTTCATTTTGACCAGGGTGCGGCAATGACTCTTTCACATGTATCAACAACAATTGCGTTCTGAATTCTCTAACTTGTGACGGTTACAATGATTGTGGTGACTTTTCTGATGAGGAGTATTGTCGTAAGCATACACATTATTCTTCAGTTGACTCGTATAATCATGTGAATTTGAAAGGGCATCATCCGTTCCAATTGGCGAGAAATAACTATAACGGACGATATCAAAACCTAAATCTAAAATAATCTAAAATTATAAAAACTGAAAGCTTTCAACTGTCTCAACACCTTGGCCCTGTTTCATAAAACTTTTTATCATTAACAAGTAACACTAACTGTTACAAGCTACTGAAATCGTGGCATTTGATTGGCAGAAAGCAAAATTGGCATAGAAATTTAGCTTTTGTTATTGTTAACAAGATTTATAAAACAGGGCCCAGGTGTTGAGTTAATGATACTTATTAATGTACCTACCAGTTAGATGTTATTGAAGGCAATGGATCACAACAATTGTATTGAATTCCCTAGCAATTTTACTTTTGATGATGTCTTTATGCTTAGAATAGAATACAACACAACACCTCTACTACCTTCCTTTAAGGCATCGGGTAACATTGTTAAATCTGAGAGGCATGGTCCTACGTGTTATCAGTGTCTGTGATATGGTGTAATAATGAAGCCCTGAAAAAATTGCGCTTCAAAATGATCATGAAGTGCCTCAAAAGAGTAAAAATCTTTGAGTGACCGGTTTTACCACACTCATTTTCCCCAATAGACTGTAGTGTTATGAAAACCGTTAGGCAAACACAAAATTTGATTGCGATTTCCAATCATAAATATCTTGATAATGAGACAGGCGACAGGCTTGTAAAAGTCATGGGGTTCCTGACTGACCTATTTATAATTATTATTGCAGCATGAGCTAAATCCAGGATTTTGTTACAGAATCTGAGACAAAGTTACCCAATCCCTTAATATTATTCAAATCGAAAAATAATCTACTACGATCTTAATCATGTTAAAATGTTGACTATTTCACCTACCCGGTATATAAGTGATTTTCCATTTATGTAGAATGCTGTAATGTAGTGGAATGTGCTATTGTGTACCATTTGAATGATTTCTTAGAGACGACCAAAATATATGACAGATCTACCTATGAATGGTTATTTTCTGCTTAGTTAGACCTGTAAGACTCTTTATCATGTATTCTACCCAAATTTAAACCAACAAGGGATTCATCTTAACTTGAGATTTAGGTTTTCCTTTTGTAAAACGTAATTTCATACTCGGGGTTTGGGATTTGGTTTACTGAATTAGTAAAACACGAACCTACATGTACATGAATATACACATACAGCTGTTCATGTTAATTTTCCCCTTCTTATTATATGATATTTTCTGTTTATCAAACAGCACCCTGTGTTCCTCTAGAGAATATAGGTGAATGTGGACAATTACCGTATGACAGAACATACTTCTCGAATCAGTATTCTCCAAATTCTCCTCAGGCAGTTCTTTCTTACAATTTTGTGAGTAGCTCCAGTGTGTTTATATCTTATTTCATTCTCTGGATTACACATAAATATTTCTTTACACTCGATAACTAATGTGCTGTAGTAAAGCAATTTTTTTTCAGAAAGAAATTTATGAAGGATGTTATCAGTATTATTACAAAGGAGAAACTTGTATCATAACGTCCATGCTGAAAGTGTCCATATAGATTTCCTTCATACAAAAAAGTTGCTTTATGAGATGAACTAAATTTTATACAGGCCAAAACGATTGCATTGAACATACAAAATATATAACAGTAGCAATATGAGGGACTGCGGTGATGCTAGTTGCACAGTTTGTGTCGAACCTCTTTCTTATAATATTGAGTTGTAGTACATGTACCTTTACATTGGGAAACCCCATTTCATTTCATCCATCCTGCATTCATATTGAAAAGGCAATGTTTTGTTTTCTTCTCTATGCTGTTTGGGTCCATGTATTTTTGCTGTACACCTTGCCAATTAAATATTTGTATTTTTAATTACACTGTGCCATGAACCTGGGTTGAAAGGGAAGTCCACCCTGATATTAAGTTGGTTTTAAGAGAAACACGTCAGTGAAAGTTTGTGCAAAAACCAATTAAAAATAACAGAGTTTTTAATTTTTGAAATTGCTATCAATCAAACATAAATTGGTAACCCTGTGACGTATCTTGTGAGCTCTCCTTCCATTTGCCCTGTACTAAAAAACTTTCAAAAATTATATTTTCCCTGAAGAAAATTGTCAATCATACATTCACTCTAGATATAGTTATTGCACATATGTTGTATGGCAACCCATGTAAGAAACAAATGTATGTCGTCATCAATAACTAAGAAAAAAAATGAAACTTTATGAAACTTTCTGTGCCAAGCAAATTGGACAGGAGGTCTCAAGATACATCACAGAACTGCCAATTCATGTTTGATTTATCGCAACATCGCAACTTCAAAATTCAAAAAAATTCTTTAATATTTTTAATCGACTTTTTCTCAAACTCTCAATTTCTGATCTGTTTCTCTCATTTTTCTGCTTCTATACCAAACCAACTTAATATCAGGGTAGACTTCCCCTTTTAATGTTTAAATCTTTTATCACATTCCTACAACTATTATTTTGAATGAAGATTATACACAGTTTACAAGGTTGTCATCCCAGAGCCATCGACCTTGCATGCAACTTGCTGTTTCCTGAATGCATCCATCAAGGACCTACAAATCGCCCATGCTACTCAGATTGTGTGAATATTACAGCACACTGTAGAGAACTCTTTGAGCAGCACTCAAACATGTCTTGGCCAGTAAACTGCAAAGACTTTACAGATAAAGGGAGAACACCTAATGGTTACTGCCAGGGAGCTACAGGAGGTAGGGATGATCCAACATTTCATTTCATTTATTGATTCAACCATTTTTTAAACAACATTCAGAAATACAAACAATGTTCGAAGGACATATACAAAACATGTTGGACATACAAAGTAAAAATGGTTAGGGAACCCGAGAGAAGCTTAAGCTTGTAAGTGGGGTTCTCTGTACAATAAACAGATAAAATTATATAACAAAAACCAGATAATAAACTAAGACAAAACTAAACCATAGCACCCGTCGGCATTCACTGGCTAATTTGTTACGCCGCAATAGCCGGCAGCAACTGCTCTGGGCGTTATTTCTTGAAAGATGTAGGGTTAGGGTTGAAATTGGGATTTTAGGTCAGGGTTGAGGCTATGATTAGTATAGTGTTGGGTATAGTTTTGAAATCAGGAACTCTTTTAGTTTTATAGACAATAACCATAGAGCAATTATCGCAGAAGCATGTATTGAACAATTTGATAATTTAATATGGTGTCATCTTGTGTAGCACTCATGTTCATCATGCTGTGACGACCCTAGCGCTCCAACTGGTCCAGCGGTTACTTCAAATTCGTATCCTAGCTTGTCATAGATATTGCATGATTACTTCATCAGTAATAGAAAGCCAAATCCAAATCAGGAAATGTTGAATTCTGCTCTTTAATTCACACCTTGTCTCTCCCTCTCTCGTTCTCACTCTTTCCTTGTCTCTTTCTCTTCCTGTTCGTTTCCTCCCATCACTATTAAACTATCTCCCATCACTATCTATCTTTCTTAATATTGAAATTCCCACTTTTCTCTCTTTCAACCCATCCCGTCTCCAAACATATAAAATACATTCCTATTATACATATTTAATCGTTTATCATTATTCATTGCATGTTGCTGTCTTCCTTTTACTAATTTGGCACATTATAGTTGAGTTTTTATGCACATTTTGTCTAATTTTGTCTTTTAATCAAATTGTATTATTTTTTTATGGTGATTTATATAAATACATACAGGTGAATTAAACGGGTACCTCCTTGAAATGCTAGAGCGCCGTATGACAGCCGTGCTAAAGCCAGGGTAATAATCGGGAGCGCCAGGAGGGTCAAATCTGACTGACATGAGCGCTATACAAGAACCCACTATTATTATTATTATTATTATTATACTACCAACTTTAAACCATTGTACTTTTCGATATTAGATAAGTGTTTCTTCAGTTTTGTAATTTTTTTTGCATGACTCCCTTAATACTGGTATAGACCCTATAAAAAATTCATATATCTTTCTTTACAATTTGTTTCTATGTTAGACCTGTTCAAAACTGACATCTGTGGTACAAGACCAGCATATAGACAGAAATTTGCCGAAATAGTAGGTGGCGTGGATGCAAATGAAGGCGAATTTCCCTGGATGGTATATTTGAAAGATAACGGATCCGGTTTCTGCGGAGGTACTCTAATCTCTTCCGAATGGGTAGTGACAGCAGCTCACTGTGTGTAAGTTGGACCTTTGCACTTGTTTTCAAAACACACCGTACCAGTTACAAGGTAACCAACCAAAGTGCTTAAAGCATTATTATCCTGGTCAGTGGATTCTGCTATGATTCTGCAGTTTACAGTGCACACTCTTTACTCCCTTTGGAGCATTCCAGTCGGTAACTTTTACAGGCTTGCACATGCTAATCTAAGCACATCCCACTGGGTATCCATCTAACACTTGGATGAAGAGCAGCAATGTAGAGAAAATGCCTCGCTGAAGGACATAGTACCATGCTGGGCCTAAAACCCAGGACCTTTGTATCCCCATTCAAATGTTTAAAATACATATATGACTCCTATTTCATTCAATAATGATTTTTCAATGTTTGCTGTAGAGGTCTAAGGCAGGTTCCTGCAAAATCACAGCAATACTATATTTCCCATCCTACATTTGGTCGTGGACAACTTCAATAGCCCCTTTTCTTAAAGGAATATTCTATATAGAATAAGAAGCTCATGCAATAATTGGTTTGGTATTATTTCCTTAATAACATATTCTAGAATATAGAAAGTATTAATTGTCCTTTTGAAGTACATGTATTGTCTTCATATCACTGTGAGGCTCTAAACAGTATTACAACTGGTGATTGGATGTCCCCTCCTAGATTTAATAATCATAATTGCTGTATCATTAATTTACGGCTCGAAAAGTATGTAGAAAGAGCAAAAATATTGTAATATACCAGGTAAACAATTTTACAAAATGGAGATATTGTTTTACTTTGATTTCATGAGCAACATACATGTATGGATTGAAGAAAGTTTGGCAGTCTATTATCTTTTGCTTCATAATACAGAACTATCACTTCCGAAACACATCAAATGTTTATCCTTTATACCGTAGATACCATTGCCAATAGAATGGAAATAAACTTCTTTTATCAACAAAGTTGTGATTAGCATTTTTGTCACAATCATTCATGAAAAGAGGTAAGAAAAACTATTCCAACTCTATGGGCAACAGTGTATGTATATGTGTATATATATATATATATATTTGTATATGAATGTATGTTTATATATAAATATATATATATATACATATACACACATATACATATTTACATACGCTCTTGCCCATACAGTTGGAATGTTCTTTTTCTTACCTCTTTTCTTGAAATGATTGTGACAAAATGCTTGATTCTTGATAGACAAAGAATGTCTTATCACAACTTTATTGATAAATCTCTATGACTTTTCAGATTGATATATATACAGTATACATATATATGTTCATATGTGTGTGTGTGTGTGTGTACACATTATGCATATGCATGTATATATGTTTTTGATCATGGAATCAGATTTAATGCACAAATTTTTGTTAAGTGCCTCGTTATTATTACAAATTATTTCATTCACCTGGTACAAAAAATTTTATTTCAAAAGTCGGAATGCGAGTTTCGTGTTGTTCGGTAGGACAACATATAATAGCTGTGTTCCCACGATGGCAATTTTGGTTGGCGTACGGTTCATGTTTAGAGCTATTTTGGGTAAATATGGGCAACTGAATAAGACTCACTATTTAAAGTTCAAAAGAAATGTTTAAGAATAGCTACCAACTCTCATTATGTAGCACCATCTGCACCTTTTTTTATCCCCTCGCAGACGAAGTCGGAGGGGATAAACGATGTCGTGTGACCGTCCTGTCATAACAAATCTGGTTTCCGTTCGATAACTTTAGTAACATTGAAATTAATATCGCTAGTGACATTCGTTTGTCTCGCAATGTATAGTCAGCAAGGGATCTGAAAGATCACGACGTTTCGTGTGCCGCGTGTAACGTGCTAACACGACTAGAGGGTAGGGTAAGTTGACCGTGCGGATGCTCTCACATGGCACCCTGAGTATCAAAATGATAAGAAATTTGGTCCAGTCTTGGTAAAGTTACCAGCTCTGTATATATGGGACTACACACACATGTGGCATAAAAATCAGTCACAATTTTTATGATGTTATATGCCATATTTAGAATATCAAGGCATTTGCAGATCCATGCCTTCCAGAGAACATTTTTTTCTCTGATGTTCTTCCACACTTGCAAAATACAATGATAACACTCACAAATTATTGTTCACCTCTTCCCAGAACTCAACCTTCTCTTTAAGGTTCAACATTTTCTGGGGCCCTCAAGTGGGCCCCGGACCTTACACCATAAAGGCTTTAGCACTTTGCGCGTACAATCTGTACATTTCACACCCCCCTTTTGGAAAATCCTGGATCTGCCCCTGGCTTCCGGAAGTTACGCTGATTATAAGACTGGGTCAGTGGAAGGTCGTGTTAACTTGATCGTGGCAAGTTGGTCCGAGCAAGAGGGTATGGACAACTAATGGTGTGAGTTAAATATTTATGGGATATTTACTGCTGCAGGGATTAACTTATGCCAACTAGCAAGCCCCTGTCTTAACATGGCTTATGTTTGGCTAACCTAGAAGCAATTAGTGGATGTAATTCACATTCTGACTATTGAAATACAATTATTTGTAACAGGTGAGTAAAATGATTTGTAACATGGCAGTTAACAAAGAGTTATGAATATTAAACATTTTATTACATTCCCAGAATGTTTATTACTTATCTATTAATGACTCATTTTCAATATTGATTTTTTTTTTGGTGTGTGTTTCAGTGTTTTTCTTCACTCTGATGATCTCTACGCTATTTGTTTTAACATAATGACTGTGATATTGAACATTTTGATGTTTCAAAACATGAATGTTATGTGTTGTTTTGATGAAAGTGTTGAAATAAACTTTGAACATTATTTTTCATCTCCATAGCTCTTCTGGTAGCCGCTATACTGTGGATGAGGTTGTCTTTGGGAATCTCAACATTGAAAGCACTTCACCATATCGCCTCAGCATTACACCCAGTCAAATATTCATTCATCCCGACTATGATTCTTTCACCAATGATGCAGATATAGCACTCATCCAACTCTCTACGCTAGTCAATTACACTGATTACATCAGACCAGCATGTCTTGCAAATTCATCTCAAGAAACCACTGTATACAAGCAATGTATAGTAAGCGGATGGGGAAATACTCAAATTGGTATGTTGTAGCTCAATTTTGGTCTTACAATTTATTTATTTTTTTTTGGGGGGGAGGGGGTAGGCGAGGAGGGGTGGCCATGCAGGCACCTAGTACACTCTTCCAAAATTGTCATAACACAAGGGTCCTCATATTTTAGGGATCCCTTTCAAAACAAAAGTAGGAAAACAAAATTAACATTAACGTTCATTGGGGTCCTCGAACACCTGAGCCAGAAGCTTATAGGAACCGTATCCAGTGTAGGAAAATACGAACAAACAAAAAATTTAAAAATGGAAAATGCTAAAATATTTGGTATAGTAGTGGTTAGAATGATGAAATAATTCTGATTTCTTCATATTTTTCACTTTTATGCTGTGTATACCGGCAGCTAGTTCACTAAAGAGTGGTTTTGAGGATAGAAATGTAATACATAAATCATGATGCTTGTTGCAAAGATTGCTGGTTTGCGAGGTCTTTTTCTATTATTTTTGTTTCTCTGTGCACGTGTGCAGAGTTGCATTTATGTTTTGTTACCAGACTCGCATTATCAGTCAAACTTGTCATTTTTTATTTGTTTAGTAATGCAAGCATGAATATGATAGTAAACATGTAAATAGATGAAGTGTCACGTTTTCCCCATTTTTAAGTAATCAGATTGACCGAGTTTTCTATCAACCTGACTAATTCTTATTGCATTATGGCTGCAGTTTTGCACAAATTCTATCACAAATCCCATTGGACAGTATCACATCTGGCATTCAAGAAGTTAAAATGGTGAATTTTTTCATATCATATTCTGTAGATGGATATCCAGACCACTTGCAGAAGGCAGTCGTGGGTTTGATTAGCAGAATCACCTGTGGAAGTCTACTTGGGATTGAAAGCTTTACAGACAACATGATATGCGCAGGATATGAAAGAGGAGATATAGATACCTGTGACGTTAGTTTTTCCTCTTCTACATTTGATAGTTGAATATTAATTCATTATTTAGATAAAATAGGGTATTTGTTAGAGAGCATACTATTGGCTTGGAAGATATCAACTAGCTGACTCTCAACATTTTGTTATATGTGCATGAGCGTGAACCTTACATGCACAATATGTGTACTAAATTGAATTAGACTCTGCACCTCTCCCCTGCATGTATCCATTCATTGCATTATCTTAGCTGTGAACATGTAATTCAAGGGCAACCTGAATATAATCGCCTGACTCCAGATATGAGATCGCAAATACCCCAAATTTTGTATAACAAATAATGCATGCATTGCATCGCTCAATATATAATACCCCCCCCCCCCCCCCAAATGCAGAATTTCCCAGGCTCATGCCTGTGGCCCCAGTGAAATATAACATCACTTGTGCAATTGTTAATTTGTCAGTGAAAATATTATATTGCATGAATATTGAATGCCAGAGCATGAAATAATAGTATAATATTATATTTTGAAGGGTGATAGTGGTGGTCCTTTAGCATGTGAAGGTCCAGATGGTAGATGGCACCTGGTCGGTGTAACCAGTTGGGGATATGGATGTGCGGAACCAGGAAGTCCAGGAGTGTACGCGAGAGTCTCTGAGCTGTTGCCTTTCATTCTAGGAGTTGTGAAAAGTATGTTTAAGTTCATAAATATCTTGGTATTGAAAGAAATTTAACATATGACAACACAAGCATTTTTTTTTAATGAATGTATCTCAGAAATATATTCTGTAAAGAGAAAGCTCTAATCTGCTCTTTAAAAAAACACCAATGAAGCAACATTGGTTTAATTAAGCAACAATATATGTATAGAAACCCAATTGTTATATGAAAATTAATCATGGAGACACAATTTTTACAATTGGTAAATCTAACTTAGAGACATGTTTAGGTGAATTTATGTAGAGGATAAGTTTTGTGCCCCCTCTATGACTTAAATTTGTTTGATTTTAGTGCAGAATAGATTCTTCCTTATTATTAACAATATATAACTTCACAAAATGTGTAATGCAGAGCGAAGAGAAAACCAAGGATATATGAAATTCCAAATTTTTACATAAATGATTTCAAGTGATCTGTCTATTATCTCATTTGAACAATAAATAATTTCTTTTTATTGCAGATTACGCAGGCAGTGTTCCACCAACATTAGGTATTGTTGTAGTTTCAGCACTTTTATCAATTAATACATTTAAAACCATATAATGCAAACAAATATAAACGTCTTTCCACTTTCTCCAACTCCTTTATTATCTCTTTAAATTCAAGTTATTAATTAGATTGCAGGCTGGTGCAGTGTGGTGGGAATTGGTATATAGGCTAGTCCCTGGTATTTCCTCTTGTGTCGCATACGTAATGATTGGGCACCTAATATTTGACTTAAAATTTGCCAATTTTTTATTAAAATTCCTTTGATGCTTAATGTGATTCTACATGTATTCATTACATTCTTTATGTTCCCACGTCTGCACACTCATTCAATTTACATGTCGCTTTGGGATATGATTCTTGAGTGGAAATTTACCATATCGAGGCTGGTGAATAGAATTGCTAAAATTTTACAGATATGTTTTACTTGTTTTTCACATATATCTCCGAGTCTATATCTATTTATGATAACAGAGACTCAAACAAATTTCTGTACTTTTTTTTTTTTTATTTCATAAGAATCAGTTGCACGTATATGTATGCGTAGACATATATAGGCACTCTAGCAATACTATGATTCATGGAATTCTTGATTAAAACTAAAAAGTATCACTACCCTTGATATTTTCTTTTATATACTGCATATGAATATCCAAGGCCTCTGATTGGCCAAAACTGCAGGCATAAAATTTGAAACTGACTGCTGGACAGTGTAGCTAAACAAATATTGAATGCGCACAGTGCATATGTGAACATGCTTTAAATTTCACTAGAAAATGAGACAAATCCCTAAGTGCCATTAAAGGTCTGCATGGGTACAATGTATTCATGGGCATTGCATTGGGGACCCACTAAACACAAGAGTATTTATGCCATTAACAGCAGATACTGGAGATTGGCAATACACATCTTGTAGACTTGAAAGCGATTCTATTTGTTTTTTTTAATTTAGGACTAATCAAATGTCAGGATACAAATTTTAACAAAAAATACAATTTTAACCAAAAAAAATTTAACAAAAATATTTGGTATTCTCTCTGACGTACTTGTTCCCATCAGCCAAAGTCTTGGAGATAAGGTCCTTGCAGGTTGATAAAACACAGTACCGGCTGTCGAAAATCCTAGCCATAAAGCTAAACTAAAACATGATTTCAACCCTAATCCTAACCTTATGTTCTTGACGAAAATAATCCTGGATCAATCGTCTGTACAGCAGCTGTCGGAGCACAGCACAGCTGAGAGCACAGACAAGATACTGCTGATAGCGCATGCACAAATATATTGAAATTCCAATTTTAAACTACACTCAGCATAACAAGAAAGTGGACACTATTTCTAATTAAGATTTTCTAATAAGTATTGGAAGTATAGTTATATTTATATATCTAAATAAATATATATAGTAATCCTTGTTTAGATGATATGCACTTGGAATTGTACCATTCATGCATGAGTGAGCATAGCCATTTACCAATAAATGAGTTTCTAAAAGAAAATTGCGAAAATGGATCATCGATCCGACCATTCAAATGTGATGAGCATTTAGATCTTGTAGAATGAAATGTATCAAGAAACTACTAAAAAAATGGGATTTTCTTTCATTCAATTTCTTTATTCATACTGATTACCAGTCACAAGTGAAATGAAACACATTCCTATGTTTTAACAAATAATGCAATATTCTTTTGTTTTCCTAGGTACTACTACGGCCAGTCTAACCAATGACATGATTTCAGGTATTACCATGATAACTACTCCATTGGTAAACATGTCTTAAAACACTGCACTCAACGATTTCATATCTTAAACTTTAGGCAACTGTTTTTAAATAATTTTCTACATACTCTTAATTTAGTGTTTAGGAGAGTATGTGAGTGCAGTCACCTGTATTTTAAAACCATTTTATCTGAGCTTGCTGTGATGTACATTGTACCTTCTTTAAGCCTAAATGTGCATAATTATACTCTACATTAAGGGTTGTTGTTGATTTCATTTAGACACAGGAAAAACACACTTTCAGCCCCAAAAGCTGTTTTTCAGTATGTTCGTTTGTATGGTATTACACAAATGAATTTGACGACAAAATGACCATACACCTGAAAAATACAATACAAACATATGAACACCGTTAGGCAAACACAAAATTTGATTCCGATTTCCAATCATAAATATCTTGATAATGAGACAGGCGATCGGCTTGTAAAAGTCATGGGGTTCCTGACTGACCTATATATAATTATCATTGCACCATGAGCTAAATCCAGGATTTTGTTTCAGAATCTGAGACAAAGTTACCCAATCCCTTAATATTATTCAAATCGAAAAATAATCTACTACGATCTTAATCATGTTAAAATGTTGACTATTTCACCTACCCGGTATAAGTGATTTTCCATTTATGTAGAATGCTGTAATGTAGTGGAATGTGCTATTGTGTACCATGTGAATGATTTCTTAGAGACGACCAAAATGTATGACAGATCTACCTATGAATGGTTATTTTCTGCTTAGTTAGACCTGTAAGACTCTTTATCATGTATCCTACTCAAATTTAAACCAACAAGGGATTCATCTTAACTTGAAATTTAGGTTTTCCTTTTGTAAAACGTAATTTCATACTCAGGGTTTGGGCAACAGCTTATGCAATTTGTGTGCTGACATCTGTTCATGTCCTGAAGATCATTAAATACCTTTGATTTAGGGCAAGTCAATTTGTAATGGGGGGGGGGAGTGGGGGATTAATCTACTGGTAGAGGAAGCTGGTCAACCAAAATTTCTTGAGCCAGTTGGTTCCAACCCCAAATTATATTACTTGTGCATTTAGGTTGATTAAATTTTGGCAATGATAAAGCACCTGTCAGTAAATGATATGATCATGAATTTCTATAGTTTCATGTTTACCAGGGTGTAGCAGTGACTCTTTCACATGTACTAACAAGAATTGCATTCTGAATTGTCAAACTTGTGACGGTTTCAATGATCGTGGTGACTTTTCTGATGAGGAGTATTGTCGTAAGCATACACATTTTTCTTCAGTTGACTTGTTCAATCTTGTGAATTTGAAATGGCATCATCCTTTCCAGGTCACAAGGTCCTTTTTTCAAGTTTGCAACATAGAATGCAGCAAAATTTTAAAAGTCTGGGTTTTTATATATTGACTACCAAAACAATTGTAAATCATTGCGACATTTATGTAGTTTATATATGCATATGCACTAGTGACTTTTAGTTCAACTGGCATTAACTGTATAAGTGCACTTTATTCCAGCAACCCCCCCAGCAAACTCGTCCTGCTTCGAGTGTGCATCTAACTATGAATGTGTGTATGATCCAAGCTGGGTTTGCGATGGTATCGATGATTGCGATAACAGAGAGGATGAATTGAACTGCATAGGTAAGATTAGAAATTGTTTAAAATCACAGTACTATTATGTAAATTGAATGTTGCATCACTCTTTTGCTCAATGTTGCAACACTGTTATGTAAAAGGTTACAGCTCACTTATTTTGAATGTTGCAACTCTCTTGTTTAAATGCTGCATCACACTTATGTTAAAGATGGCAACATTCTTAGGTTGTAAAATTACTAAAATATAGCAGTTGACAAATTAATTTCATTCATGCTAACAGTTCACCCCACAAAAGCAACAGCTTATTTATGCAAATTGCATGCTGACAACTGTTCAAGTCCTTAAGATCATTGAATACTTTGGATTTAGGGCAAGTCAATTTGTAATGGGGGAGGGGGGGGGATTAATCTACTGGTAGAGGAAGCTGGTCAACCAAAATATCTTTGGCCGGTTGGTTCCAACCCCAAATTATATTACTTGTGCATTTAGGTTGATTAAATTTTGGCAATGATGAAGCACTTATCAGTTAATGATATTATCATGAATTTCTATATTTTCATGTTGACCAGGGTGTCGCAATGACTCTTTCACATGTACTAACAAGAATTGCATTCTGAATTGTCAAACTTGTGACGGTTTCAATGATTGTGACTTTTCTGATGAGGAGTATTGTCGTAAGCATACACATTTTTCTTCAGTTGACTTGTTCAATCTTGTGAATTTGAAATGGCATCATCCTTTCCAGGTCACAAGGTCCTTTTTTCAAGTTTGCAACATAGAATGCAGCAAAATTATAAAAGTCTGGTTTTTATATATTGACTACCAAAACAATTGTAAATCATCGCGACATGTATGTACTATATATTTTTGCATGCATATGCACTAGTGACTTTTAGTTCAACTGGCATTAACTGTATAAGTGCACTTTATTCCAGCAACCCCCCCAGCAAACTCGTCCTGCTTTGAGTGTGCATCTGACTATGAATGTGTGCCTGATCCAAGCTGGGTTTGCGATGGTATTGATGATTGCTTTAACAGAGAGGATGAATTGAACTGCACAGGTAAGATTGAAATTGTTTAAAATCACAGTACTATTATGTAAATTGAATGTTGCATCACTCTTTTGCTCAGTTGACTTGTTCAATCTTGTGACTTTGAAATGGCATCATCCATTTCAGTTCAGCTAGAAATATACGAATAAAAAATGGACTATAGCAAAACCTTTGTATATGACTATCTAAAATTATCAAAACTAAAAGCTTTCATCTGGGCCCTCCTTTATGAACCTTAATATTAACAATAAGAAAAGTTCAATTTCTACGACAAATTTGCTCTTTGCCAATCAAATGCGTTCTTCTTCTTCTTATCGTGTCACTACACAAGTCCCGTCCAGTGGTAGTTACTAAAAGAAACTTGAGTAGTGTGGTTGAAGGATTCGCAGATTTTCATCTGACGGACCGCGACGTGAACGCTCCTTCAATGGCCCCACTGTTTTTACTGTTCTCCTACACTTAACTATAGTCTGGATACAGTACAGGTGATTGATCTGCAGTAACCTCTAAATAAGCTATATGGTAATGCAGCAGAATTAATGATAGTCTATCGTATATATTTTGAGGAGGTATCAGCAAGGTAGACTAAACTATAAAAAAAAAAAAATTAAAAAAAGATAAAGACGTATGACATAAAAAAATATAATCGAAATGTCCGACTAGGTTCCGTGGCACAAACTCGGCATTATTGGACAAACCTACCATTGGAGAAACCTAACAATTACAGAGCTTGGTCTTGTTGCTCTGTTCGCCAGCAGTTTAAGGATATGAAACCCCGCGGCACACTACTCACAAGAGCTCTAACAAGCCAAGCTTATACAGAGCCTAAAAGTAAAATAAAATAATACCGCGTATGTACCACTCACCCAATCGATTCAAGAACAAATTATGATTAAGTTAATCACGTAAAACAGGAAAATATAAAAACAATAATTGAATAAACACCAAATTGTGAACTATAATAATATTATCAGCACTCAAACACACTCAACGCACATATCAGTACAAAGCGTAATATATATATCTTTACAAATCCAGTAATATAATTATTTATTATTATTATTATTATTATTCATTTATTTATTTATTATTCATATTATTTCATATTATTGGTAACATAAAATGTTCATATTGTATTCCTCTGCGCGTACTTCAAATGCGTTGATTTCAGTAGCTTATAACAGTTATTGTAATTGATAACAATTTTAATGAAACAGGGCCCAGGTGTAGAGTGAACAAAATGAATGTTTAAATATGAAGAATATATGATTTATGGGTAAAAAGTTAAATATTATGACCTTAATTGCATAAATTACCATAAATACATGTATGCAAACATCAGCTTATTTTCATGCAATTTGCATTCAGAAAATTATAGCACAAAAGATAATTGCAAGCGAATGAAATACTTCATCACTGCACACACACGTGGGAAGGAAGCGTCTATAGATTTGAATACATTTGCTTGATAAACGACTTTGCATAGTAGGCCTATGATATCGAGCAAATGGCGATGCCTATGTTGTCCTTAGAAACTGTACATTATGCTAAGAATATCTTGTTTTATATACCTCTCACATACACTTTGATGGGGTATCATGTAGATTAATGGGCAAGAATACAATAAATCTCTCAGAATAACTTAAGTTATTTTTTGGGGTGAGGTTTCCTTTAATCATTTTAACAGACAAGATTCATCATATTATTGTACATGGGTTTTCTTCTTTACGCTACTAAATTTTCAGCAGTGCACCTGACTCTAAGAGAAATGTGTTTGATCTCATCACCAAACTATCCTTCATTATTTCATATCTTAAACTTTAAACAAATATTTAAAAATAATTTTCTACATACTCTTAATTAATAGTGTTGAGAAAAGTATGTGTGTGCATATATGTGTGATTGTATATTTCTTTATTCATACTGATTAACAGGCAAAAGTGAAATGAAACACATGCCTATGTTTAAGCAAATAATGCAATATTCTTTTGTTTTTCTAGGTACTACTACGGCTAGTCCAACCAATGACACGATTTCAGGTATTACCATGATAACTACTCCATTGCTAAACACGTCTTTAAACACTGCACTCAATTATTTCATATATCTTTAGACAAACGTTTTAAAATAATTTTCTACATACTCTTATTTTAGTGTTGAAAAGAGTATGTGTGTGCAAATGTATGTAAGTGTGTGCTATTTTTATGTGCAAATACCCCATGTGTTACCTGTATTTTAAAACTATTTTATCTGACCTTCTTTGAACCTAAATGTGCATACCTTATATTAAGCTACATTAAGGGTTGTTGTTGATTTTATTTAGACACGGTAAAAACACACTTTCAACCCCAAAGGCTGTTTTTCAGTATGTCCATTTGTATGGTAATACCCAAATGAATTTGACGTCAAGATTACCATACACCGGAAAAAACACAATACAATCATATGAGCAAAAATAATGTTGGACATTATGGCAAAGTGCAATTGCAGTAAATAAAAGTAAATGAAATAGATTTTTTTTCAAGAATTTAAATCTATGACTTGAACCAATTTGATGATCTGCATGTCCTTTTTTTATTTAAACAGACAAAATTTATCATCAAATTATTGTACTTGGTTTATTTCTTTACACTACTAAAGTTTCAGTGGTTAACCTGACTGTTGGAGAAACGCGGTCAATTTCATCACCAAACTATCCTAATGAGTATCCAAACAACGCCTATTATACTTGGTACATCACGGCTCCATCAAACTACTCGGTGCTCATCACATTCATAGCATTTAATCTGGAGAGTGGCTATGACCATCTGAGCATAGGGAATGGTCATACGCCTGGGAACTTGGTGGCAAAAACTTTCTCAGGACAAGATATACCAGCTTCTTTGAGGTTTGTGTAAATGTATACATTATTTATATTTGTGCATTTTTAATGCACATGTACTTGCATTTTAACTTGAAGAAGCCATATGAACAAAATAGTGTTTCACCTATACATGTGTCTCTAAATTTGCGCATGTGTGTGTGTTCATGTAACTGAAATGTTCTGTTATGGTGGGTGTGACGTCTCATCCCAACAAATTTTGATATAAAGTACCGGTACATTAGTTTTTGTTGTATGTCAGTTTCTGGATTAATGCAATTTTGTCATTGTGATAAGGATATTTCTCTATTAAAGAAAGTAGGTGATCTTGCTCTCAACAGCAACTCACTTTCTCCTGTGCTACAAACTGAAAACCTCTGAGACTCTGATGTTATCTGCCATGTCTCAGATATTTAAAACCATTTTTGCCTGTACGACAGATTATGAGTTGGTGCCAGGTGGTTCCTTCACACTGGAAAAGAAAAGAAAGAAACGATGAAATCATACTTTGGGTAGTCTCTCCCAATGACATCTGATGTGGTTTTGGACGTAACACCTGCTCTATGAAACAACTAACTATAATAATATGCAAATCAGGATGGTTTACAGGCAAGCTACAGTTAGATGAGTTTTAGGGGTGTTCTTGCAAGTGCAAACAAAAATTGAAAGGATTGCTATGACTATGAAATGTTTGTTTTTTATTCGTAAAAAAGCTAACCTTTAATAATACTATGGCATTTGGTTATGAAGTGTGAAATAGCAGTGTATCCAGAACATAGTGAATAATCAGATAATATGTATTGATATGATGAAAGGTGTTTTACAATTTTGTCTTGTTCTACAGATTGTACAGTTCTAATAGTTGGATGCGATTCACCAGTGACTTTTCAATCACGCATCAGGGATTCCAGCTGCAGCTAACAGTGATCGCTGGATCTTTAGGTATGTACACATATCTGGTTTTGGTTTTGGTTTTAGCTCATCCAGCCCGCATTGGTGCGATGAGCTAAACAGTATGCAATTGCATTTGGCGTCCATCATCCATCCACAATTTCTAAATGCTTCCTCTTCATAATTTCTCATCCGATTTTGATTCTGTTTGCTTTATGGGTAGGGGGAGTGGAAACTTCTACACAGAATTGTGAAATTTGTATTAATTTTGCTTATTCATGCAAATTGATTCAAAATCACAAAAAACATTTTCTCCTTCATTCATTGACCAACTTTGATTTTTTTTTCTTTTACAGAGGTGAATGAGATCCGCAGAAATTTTTCATATAATTTTGAAAGTTTGCTTTAATATGATAATTTATGCCATTTTTTCCAAAAATTGCCCCCCCCCCCAAAAAAAAAAAAAAAGAAAGAAATTACAAGAAAAACCTTCTTCTCCATAATTCATTGACCAGTTTTGTTTTGTCTGTTTTCTCTAATAGAGCTAAGTTACATACACAAAAATTCTACACAAAATGTTGAAATATTGACTCAAACATCAATTATATTTTTTGCTATTACAGCAGAACCTAGCATAATGCTAAAAAACAGCAGAACAGGGATAGAATGACGCTAAAATGCAGCAGAACATAGAATTACGCTGAAATACAGCAAAACGTAGAATGACGCTGATATACAGCAAAACATAGAATGAGGCTAAAATGCAGCAGAAAATAGAATGATGCTAAAATACAGCGGAACATAAAATGATGCTTAAAAATACAGCAGAAAATAGAATGATGCTAAATACAGCAGAACCTAGAATTATGCCAAAATACAGCAGAACCTAGAATTACGCTAAAAAACAGCAGAACCTAGAATTATGCTGAAATACAGCATGAAGTAGAATTATGCCAAAATACAGCAGAACCTAAAATTATGCTAAAAACAGCAGAACCTAGAATTATGCTGAACTACAGCAGGAAGTAGAAATTAGGGTGAAATGCAGCAGAACATAGACAAACAAATCAAGAGAACACAGAATTGCGCTAAAATACAGCAGAACATAAAATTAAACTAAAATATGTAGGATATGATATTTTAGTGTAATATATAGGGGAACCCTGTGTCTGCTCTCCTAATATTTCACTTGAAATCAACAAGATTTGTTACCGTTATATTGTGCTCCCCTTATGCTTGATGTCATTTAATTTCTTAT